GCGTTGGGCAAGGTGCCGGAGGCTGAGCTCAGAGCTATGCGAGTTCGCGCCTTCAGGTTGTACGCCACGTTCTACAAGGCTTTCCTGGGCGTTGATGGCCACACGCGGGCTTCACTCCCCCACGCTCGATAGCTCGCCTACAAGTGAGAATGGTGCGCATGGCGCATGGCAACCCCAGTGATTACCTTCCTTCCATTCCTCATGCAAATGTGCGTGTGGTGCATCGGGTCGTGTTTAAATGTGCTGTCAAGTTGCAGGCTAGTCGAGCTGCTCCCGCAGGCCTACCCCAATCAGATGTCGGAATGGAGATTCCCTAAGGTGCACATGATCAAGCATCATCTTAAAGCCAGGATCTCAAGTAAGAGAAATTGGCTTCAATTGCAAAACACTTGCCACTCGAGTCACCCTATTTGTGTAAGCGAAATCGAGTGGTTGGATTGGAGGTTCAGTGTGCGACAGATTTCCGTTTTGCTCGTGAATCTCATTTGCAAAACAAATTGCTGTACATTTTTTGGCAGCTGAGACACATTGCTGGGAAATGAGCTTCGGAACCCAACCTAAATTCCTTGCCTAGGTGGTTCGGAATCAGCCTGCGATTTTTGTTTGCTTCGCATCCCTCGTTTCAGCTCTCGTCAACTACTCTACCTCGTCAACCAATTACAGTCTAGCGCAATTCACTAACTGCAAAACAGCCAATCTACATGAGATCCTGGCGTTAAGGGGCATGCCGCACCATTACAACACAGAGTTGTGGGAGCATACCCACAAGGGCACGGTCAAAGTGCCGGAGCGCGGCAGCAACTGGAAGGACATCCCCAGGCGGATTGTGGAGGAGGAGGTGCAAAGGGAGATTTGCCGGGAAGTCGCAGCTGATGCTGGAGGTGGGAGACAGTACACCACTGCACTAAGAGAGGTGACGCATGTGCTCCAATGTGTTGATTGCGCTTATTACGTGCCTGTGCGACTAGTGGCAGTTTCTAGTTAATCCATCGGTTGTGTTGTTCATTGTCGCAGGCGGTGAGGACCAAGAAGCCAGTGCTTACAAGGAAGGGCCGCACCATGCAGTCAGGTGTGGAGGACGATGAATTGCGGGCGCTGTACAGCGCCCAGCACGGAGACGACATGGGAGAAGGCTGTAACTCAGTTACACTGCAAAGTTCCTAACATCGAGTAAACTCAGAGAAACTAGAAAATTGTGAGATGTGTCAGAATAAAGGAAGATCAGAAACAGGAAAGAGGGTTTTCACTAGCAGGCAGTTGAGTACATATAGCAAACCCTAATTCAAGTTGTACTCGCTATAGAGTACCCCACTGCAGGCTAGACAAACATCACATTCTGACACACCCCCATAGTCAAAGTGGGGTACAATCAACACAACAAGCAGGCAGAGCAATAGTTCACAATGATAAGCAAAGCTAGAGGCAGTCACAGAGGGCAAGTGAGGAGGAGGAGGGACTGTGAGAGGAGTGGAGATAGGAGGCGTCGGGTGAAGCCGCAGACACACGGGCAACAGGAACGGCGCGCACGGCGGCTACCGGAGCACTCAACCTCCGGACTACAGGAGTAACTGGCTCCGCACTAAGCTGCAGGAGCACTGGACCCACGGGCGGCTGGCGCAGCAGGCTCGCTGGGCTACCGGAGTACTCAACCCCCGGACTACTGGCGCTGCTGACGTCACAACGGCTACCTCCGGTCAACCTCCCCCAACTGTCCCACACCCCTTTCACACACCCCCTGCTGTACCTCTAGCACTGCTCACACGCCACCCCCCTCGTACCACTCCGACGGCTCCAACACATCCACCCCCCTCAGCGGCAGCTGCAGCAGTGGGAGACGGAGGAGGAGGAGGAGCAGGGGACGGCGCACACACCCGTTACCCCCATACGCGCCACCCCCACACTTGCCACCCCCAAACCCTAACACAGACAGCAGCTGGGGGGCGGTGCGCGGGCAGCAGCTCGGGGGATGGCGCGCGGCTCCCCAGGGCGCCACGACGCGCGGCTCCCCAGAGCGCCGCGACGGGGCAGCGGGGGCCGCGCGCGGCTCCTCAGGGCGTCGCGACGGGGTCGCGGGGGCCGCGCGCGGCTCCCTAGGGCGTCGCGACGGGGTCCCGGGGGGCGACGCGACCGGCGACGGGGGGCGACGCGCGGGTCGACGGGGCAGAAAACCGCCGCGCGCCTCGAGCGCACGGCGGGAAGAAAAAACGCCGCGCGCCCTGAACGCGCGGCAGGCAGCAAACATTGCGCGCCCAGGGCGTGCGATAGGCAGGACAGCAGCGGAAGCATCGGGCGGGACCACCCACAGGATCGACCCAGGAGGGTCGACCTGCTCTGATAGCATGTCAAAACAGTAGGCTAAGTTCAGAAACAGGAAAGAGGGTTTTCACTAGCAGGCAGTTGAGTACATATAGCAAACCCTAATTCGGGCTGTACTCGCTATAGAGTACCCCACTGCAGGCTAGACAAACATCACATTCTGACATTCCAATCTATCCGCTGAACTCACCACTCGCTCCTGATCCATCACCATCGCATCGATGTCATCCAAAACACCTTGATCCATTGCAGCGAGCTTGGCGGGGGCCGCCATTTGATATCTCAATACACCGTACAAACACGGCTAAGCGTGCAGAACAAAGAAGAACGCAAACTTTTGCAGCATGAGCTGGAAACGGCTAGGATGATAGCAGGCTGAAACACTCGTAGCTTTTTCCTCTCGGCCTGTCATAGTGGCGGGAAAGACATTCAAAGGCACAAATCAGGAATTCCTCTTCGATTCAAGCCTCTGCGCAGCTTTTGTACAGCAACATTGCTTGACTATCGCCTTTGTTTGTTACAAGCGGAGTCAGAAATTGATGACCAGCCCAAAACAGCAGCTTGCTGGAAATCCAAACAAATACGATTTACATTTCTGGATGTTGTAAGTTAGTCAATACGCCTTGGCTGCAAACCCAGGGAGGGATATCAACTACAACTGATACCTGGACAATTGAAAAGAGAACTAGAGTAATAGTTTTATGGCTGTCCAACGTCACCTTACAGCCTATCACAATGGCGACGATACACAGCGGAACAATTCGTTTCTCCATATCCTGCAGCACCTCCGCGGCGCGGCTACTGGTTCTAACATCGCTCCTATTAGCACTCAGCCTTTCCCAAGCTGCGAACCCGTTCCCATCAAGCCAGGAAAGGAAACAGATGTGCGAAAAAGGCCTGTCACTGGACAGCTGCGGGGACTATTCACCCTCAAGCGAGTTCCCAGGAATCGCGGGAGGCTTCGTTCGCTACGCTCCGGTGGGTCTGCTTATGGAGGAAATTGAGGGTATCGAGGGCGGTCCGGCGAAGTGCGCTTCCAAGTGCTCGCCAGCCAACGGATGCACTTTCTGGCATTACGTTCCGCCCATTCCGGCAGACGAACGAGAGCGCGCTTTGTGAGTGCTGGGAGTTACACGTCGAGGAACCCCTGGGCGTGACCAGTAGTACTATATAAATCACTACTACTACTACTGACGTACTATGATGCTTCGATTTCGATGCTCCCCCGAGGAGGTTAGCTCTCATCACTCTCGTTAAGGTTCTCCAGAATCACGTTACCGTCTTTCCCTTTTGTTCCTTTGTTTGCAGTCCTCCTACATGTAACCTATACGGGGGCAAGGCGGATTGTTCGAATTACTTTTACGTGATGGAAACCGCCTCCTGGAAAAGCCAGCAGCGTGTCGGGCCAGGCTGTGCCAAACCTAACGCTGCTAACGATCCGCATCTTGTCGGCGCCCACGGCACACGCTACGACTTCAACGGCCGTCCGGACCGCGCGTTCTGCCTGTTAACTGACCGTGACGTCCACGTGAATATGATGCTGCGGGGATACTATAGCGAGGACACGAGGAGCGCCACTCTCATTGTGGATGGGAAGGCCGTTCACACGTGGATTAAGTGAGTCATTTCTTCTTTTGGCCTTACGATCTTTTTTTTTTTTTTGTTCGTCTTTCAGTCTGAACAACTTCTGAGCACCATTTCCATTCGCGGTAACCTACTGAGCTCTCTCATCCTCTGCGGTATTTTCCCCCTCCGTCCTTCCCCCCACTCCGCGGAACAGGGAGCTTGGGATCGTGTGGTTCGCAAATGGTGCGACTCACACTGCGCGCCTGGTGGCAAGAAATGGCAAGCAGCAGCGCCGAGGCGACGGATTCATGAAGGCGATCGAAATCGACGGCCAGATTCAGCCGCGCATGAAACTGGGCGACACAATTTTTCCATCCAACGGCACTCGTCTCACGATAGCGTTCAAGGCAGAAGAGAAAGAAGGGCCGTACGACGTGGACTACTACACTCTTGAAATCGACGGGTTGTTGTCGCTTGACGTGAAGATGCGTATAGCGCAACCGAAGCTCCAAACCCCAACGGACGCGGAAGTTCACATCAATGTGGGGGTGTCGGAATTTGCGCACACGGATGCGATTCACGGCGTCTTGGGGCAGACTTACCGCGCGGACCACGCCCAGAGGGCAGCGGACTTCCAGAAGTTGGTGGCTTCTCTGCACCGCCGCGTTTCCGCTGATGCCGAAGAGGGGAAGGGCTTCCTTGACGGAACTCCCCGCTCCTATGAGACAAGTGGTGTACTCAATACGGACTGCGCATTTGCTGCATATAACCATGCCTAACACTTGGGTTGGTTAATAAGGTGTGTGGTCTACAGTTGCTTTGTTTTGTACTGTATCGGTATGGGTGGGTGAATGTGCAAAGATAGTTGATTTGTTAGATTATTGTTAGCTAAATAGGTGATTTGCAAGAATTGATTTGTGGAGCTTATTCAAGAATCGTGGTAATGTATTAATTTGGCGAGATTCGATCAGAGGTATTGATCTCATCTGCAGAGACAGTAAACCCCTGTAATGTGCTGGGTAATAACAGCTTACATGTGCAATAACCTCACACTGAAAGACCATACTGTTATGGCCTGCCAGAGAGCAGTCTCAGCAGAATTACAGTGTATTATACAACTACCTATAGTATGCCATGTGCCTACCAGCTCCAGCAAAGGGATCCACTCTTTTTGGCAAGTCCCCTTTTCTCTTCGCCTCTTCTGCCTCTTTCTCCCTCTTCGCCTTATCCTCCCTCAGCCAAGGTTCCACCATTTCCAGTAACGATGGCAATTGCAAAGAAGTTGACTTGTGTAAATCAGCAGTTTGTTGCGTTGATGAGTGTAGCAGAGGAAACTGTTCCACAGTTTCCAACCGCTGCAACTTGCCAGCAGAGACAAAAGCGAGGTAGCTTGCCCAGGACTCCAGGCCGTCAAAGATATGAGTTGCATACACTACTGTAGCTCCTCTCTGCCAAAGGAAGGCGAACAGCAAGAGACTAGAAGGTTCAAGACTGGAAGATTCTCAGCACACACATCCTACGCAGTGCCAGCAGCAATCAGACAAACATTGTGAGGCTCACAGTGTTCGGTGGTGCCATAACCAAGAGGCAGTCGCCCAAGAGCGTGTTGTCCCAGAGCTGGTCTGTCCTCCCCAGCATCACTGCTTACTAGTCCGTCCTCCCCAGCATCACTGCTTACTAACCACAGCTTACCTCTTCACACTCTTGTTGGAAGAAGGAGAGGAGATCCATCCTGGCGACAACATCTAGGTCCACCGTCACCTCATCCAGCAGCAGCACCTGTAGCAAGGTGGAAGGGGGTGGGGGGGGGAGATCTAGTTAAAAAGTCTCCCCAACTAGCAGGCATAAGCTGGCGACAACTCCACCGTCACCTCATCCAGCAGCAGCACCTGCGGTAAGGCAATGGGGAGTAATGAATGAGCACATAGGTCGGAAGGGGGAGAGGCATAAGCTGGCGACAACTCCACCGTCACCTCATCCAGCAGCAGCACCTGCGGTAAGGCAATGGGGAGTAATGAATGAGCACATAGGTCGGAAGGGGGAGAGGCATAAGCTGGCGACAACTCCACCGTCACCTCATCCAGCAGCAGCACCTGCGGTAAGGCAATGGGGAGTAATGAATGAGCACATAGGTCGGAAGGGGGAGAGGCATAAGCTGGCGACAACTCCACCGTCACCTCATCCAGCAGCAGCACCTGCGGTAAGGCAATGGGGAGTAATGAATGAGCACATAGGTCGGAAGGGGGAGAGGCATAAGCTGGCGACAACTCCACCGTCACCTCATCCAGCAGCAGCACCTGCGGTAAGGCAATGGGGAGTAATGAATGAGCACATAGGTCGGAAGGGGGAGAGGCATAAGCTGGCGACAACTCCACCTTCACCTCATCCAGCAGCAGCACCTGCGGTAAGGCAATGGGGAGTAATGAATGAGCACATAGGTCGGAAGGGGGAGAGGCATAAGCTGGCGACAACTCCACCTGCACCTCATCCAGCAGCAGCACCTGCGGTAAGGCAATGGGGATTAATGAATGAGCACATAGGTCGGAAGGGGGAGAGGCATAAGCTGGCGACAACTCCACCGTCACCTCATCCAGCAGCAGCACCTGCGGTAAGGCAATGGGGATTAATGAATGAGCACATAGGTCGGAAGGGGGAGAGGCATAAGCTGGCGACAACTCCACCGTCACCTCATCCAGCAGCAGCACCTGTAGGGGGGGGGGGGGGGGGGGGGGGGGGCAAGATCTAGTTAAAAAGTCTCCCCAACTAGCAGGCCCATGCATATCTGCGCTCGACTCCTCTATCCACCCTGCCAGCAGCGCATACGCCATAAGATGTCACTTTCACAAGATCCACCTGGCAATCCTGGCTGCAGTCAGGGCTCATCCAAGTAGGTAGCTCACCTGGAAGGGTCGCAGCAACCCCACGCATATCTGCACTTGCCTCTTCTGCCCACCCTGCCCTCCGCGCATACGCCATAGGAGGACAACACCTAGCAACTCCGCCTCGCAATGCTGGGTAATATCAGGGCTCACTAGCTGCAGCTCACCTGGAAGGGTCGCAGCAACCCCACGCATATCTGCACTTGCCTCTTCTGCCCACCCTGCCCTCCGCGCATACGCCATAGGAGGACAAAACCTAGCAACTCCACCTCGCAATGCTGGGTAAAATCAGGGCTCATCAGCTGCAGCTCACCTGGAAGGGTCGCAGCAACCCCATGCGTATCTGCACTCGCTTCCTCTGCCCACCCTGCCTGTGGTGCATGCTCCATAGGAGGTCAAGATGCAACAACAGCTCCACACGGCTGTTCTTGCTAGAACCAGGGCTCATCAACAGTAGCTCACCTGGAATGGTCGCAGCAGCCCCATGCATATCTGCACTCGCCTCCTCTGCCCATCTGACACGCGGTGCATGCGCCACGTCAGATCAATGTCCAGCAGCTCCACCAGGTGGTCCCTGCGCGTGGCGTCCACGTCAGCAACTCCATAAATCATGTGCTCCGCACTGAAATCGCCTTGCAGAGGTACTTCGCCCTGTAGCAGGGGAGACATGGCAGGAACAGTGGGATTTAATCAACAGACAGAGGGAGATGAAACTCCAGCACCCCTACAAGGTGGCCCTTGCAAATTGCGCCCATGTCAGCCGCGCCATAGACCACGTGCTCTGCGCTGAAATCGCCTTGCAGAGGAACTTCGCCCTGCAGCAGGGGAGACATGGCAGGAACAGTGGGATTTAATCAACAGACAGAGGGAGGTGAAACTCCAGCACCTCTACGAGGTGGCCCTTGCAGATTGCGTCCACGTCAGCCTCGCCGTTGTCCTGTGCTCCGCACTAGAGTCTCCCTGCAAAGAAACTTCGCCCTGCAGCGAGGGGGGAAAGAGAATCAGCGATGGGAGAGGAGAGGGAGTAAGAGGGACACTGGGAGCGGTGGGCACGGGGGCGAGAGGGACACTGGAAAAGCGATGGGCGAAAGCATAAGAGGCTTCGGCGGAATTATGCCAACTGAGATCAACAGTACCATGACATAAGCCCACGCCAACTGGGCCCCGGCCCATGCAGAAGGTGGGCAGAAGCATGACAGTGGTGCTTTGCCACACGCCCACTGAGAGTGGTGCAACAGTAGTGGTTCAGATCCTACGGCTTCTGAGAAGCAGCCGCAGAGCGACTGAAAGCTGTGTGTAAGTGTTTCACATTGTGACTTCTGTGAAGCTTTTGGAAATTAACAAGCAGTGTGCAGCCGTTGTCGTAGATTCCACGCCAATTCATAAGGCAAAAGCTTGTGAATAATCACTGTGCTATTACAAAGAATGGGAACCCGTGAGAGCAAACTCACTGGACAGCCGACGGACTTGCTCCAGGTACATCGAGGTAGGCGAGAGAGCCGTCGCAGGAGAGCGATGTGTGTTCTGATGGGCATTGCTCGAACGTCATAAAAGCAGATGCGTTTCGTGGCACTCACCACACAGACGACGACTTGCTCCAGGTACACTGAGGTAGGCGAGAGAGCCGTCGCAGGAGAGCGATGTGTGTTCTAATGGGCATTTTTCAAACGCCATGTACGCAGATGCGTTTCAAGGCACACTCACCCCCACAGTCGACGACTTGATCCAGGAACCACCGAGGTAGACAAGAGAGCCATCGGAGCGATGTACGCTCTAGTGGGCGTCGTCCGTACGTCGTCCGTACGTCCGATGTAAGTAGATGCGTTTCAAGGCAAACTCACCGCACAGCCGACGGACTTGCTCCAGGAACCACCGAGGTAGGCGAGAGAGCCGTCGCAGGAGAGAGCTGTATCGTGGAATGCCGAGCGACCGAGCACTTTAACGACGTCCTTTCCACCAACCATGTGCTTTCCCGCCAACACTCTCAGGAGAGTCGTCTTGCCTGCACCGTTGGCTCCAATCAGAAGGCAGCGGCTGCCACGTGGCAGAGTCAGATTAAACTTGGAGATTAACGGAGGCTCGCCGGGATAAGCGAACTGCATAGACGTGACTTCCACGGCCGGGACTTCCGGACTCCCCGCATCGGCTGAAGCTACGGTTTCCATATCTATGTCCGCTGATTTCGAACGCTGGAAGCCCTTGATCACAGCGGTTTCACAGCGGTAAACGAGGAAATATATCACAACGTAAATACAAAGCTCGAAAAAAGTATCTTAGGCCGAGCGGGGACTTCGAAGATAGATATGTTTCCTTTTCTTTTCGAAGCTAGGCATATAGGCCGAGGCAGCTGAACTTGTGGCTGCACTCGAGCGGCTTGTCAATCTCAAGGCTGAAACCTTGTATGTCAGTTTCTGAGCGAGGTGGTGAATTTGGCGGGAAAACGAAAGTTGGTAACCACACATTGTTTGATGCCCAGACTCAATCGCTATGTGGTATCAGGTGCGAGACGTGGCGACATAGGCGACGTGGCGACTTTGCGACGTGTCGTGGCGATGTGCCGACACCACTGATGGCCCGCGCAAACCCGTTCATTCGTAGCGGCTTAAAAGCTTCTTCGATAAACCAGCCGAAGTCAGACATCGACACTTACGCTACAGCTCAAGACTTCAAGAATAGAGGTGGAATTTTTAGAACTTCGTGGTAAATTCCACGAAGGTAATACGAAACCAGAATAACCACTTTCGAACATTCTAGAAGCGCGCTGCGTTGATTCTGTGACACACGCCAACAGTGCAACCGCACGCCCGCCTCAACGTCAGCGCGCCGCAAAAAACAAACACCTCCAGGTCACGTCGGTAGCGAAGCGGGCCTACAAATACCAATCGCTTTTCCAATTTCAACATTCCAATTTCTGCTTCTCGAACAACTGTGGCAAGCTCTCTCTCTCGAGTTCACGCTCTGAAATACACTCATCAAGCGACAACCTTTTAGAGTTCGGCCTTTTTCATTTGGTCTTCGACACGCACAATGGCTCCCACCACCTGCACCTGCGGCGAGGCTTGCACCTGCACCGCTGAGAACTCCCCTTGCGGCTGCAAGTCCGCTGCCGCCGCCACTTGCAGCTGCGGCGAAGGCTGCACGTGCACTGCGGAGAACTCTCCGTGCGGATGCAAGTCCGCTGCTGCTCCCGCCGCTGGCGCTACCTGCAGCTGCGGGGAGGGTTGCACGTGCACTGCGGAGAACTCCCCTTGCGGATGCAAGTCTGTTGCTCCCGCCGCCGGCGCTACCTGCAGCTGCGGAGTAGGCTGCACGTGCACTGCTGAGAACGCGCCTTGCGGATGCAAGACCGCTGCTGCCGGTGGCTGCGGCTGCGCCAGCGGCGGCGAGTGCAAGTGCGGCAGCAGCTGCACCTGCTCCAGCTGCTAAGGCGTTTCCGTTTCCATCTTTTGTTGAGTAACCAAGGATGAAATTTGGCAACCAAGTGCTCCTATTCTGCCAGCTAGTAGCAAAGCTGTTAGTTGTGTGTAGTGGATTACTGCGTATCATGTGTACAGAAATTTTCCAGTGCTACCTATTGTCCGTGTCTCACCCGAGCATTAAACCACAAGTTGTTAGCGTTGATTAGCAGGAGAACTCAGATACTCCTTCCGCTGGTTGCGTGGGCCAGTAGGTCTCAGTCACACGAAGTATTCAGAAAACAAGCCCGCCAACACAATTGGAGGTAACTCCAGCAGCGAATAATGGTGCTGTTCGACAGCACCATTATATCTAAAAACCACGGGATAACGACGGGATCAGGAAGGTGGGTCTCGCCTTCCTGATCCCGTCAGTTAGAGTTCGTTAACCTCCGTCAGCTTGGTCAGCCCGTGAAAAAAGTGCCGAGCCTCACCTACCGTCCAAACCAACAAACAAAGTGGGCGTCTGGCGAACGCCCACTTTTCAACAACAAATCTAACAGTTCGACGGCATCGGGAAGCGGGGACGAAACTTCGTCCCCAGGCAAAATACCATCCCCTAGCCATGCCATCGTCATGCCGAGTTTTTCAAAGCACAGCGATGGCACAGCCGTCGCATTGCCGTTCAAAGGGGTTTGGGGGGAAGGTGGGGATGGACCTTCCCGATGCGGTTGCGAAATTTCGCCTTTCGGGCGCGCGTAGTTTCTCGGGCGGCATTTCGCCCAAACCTCGGAGGAGGGTTCCGCCCCCGTTTCCACATGCGGTCGCTACGCTGATGCCATCGTTTTCAATTTAAAAAACGATTTGCTGTCGAACAGCACCAATGACCGTTCATGCAAGCAAGATTCCTACTTTACCATACGAAGGGAAACATGAAAATTAGATTTAATGAATTTAGGTATAAGTTCACTTGCTCTTCGCAAATTCCGTCAAAAGCGAAGTTTAATCCAACAGGTTGAAACACATCGAGATCATGAATTGAGGTTGACATTCGATGTCACACGTCACATCAACAAGATAACTGGTTACACCTGCTCCTCGAGACAATCACGTTGATTTGCATGAATGGTTGTGCCTCTGCTCCAGCAATGACGCAGCACAAGCTTCTGGAAAACCGGTCTTTTCTTCTGACGCCAGAGTTGTGTTTCATCCACGATCCGCTCACATCTACGTGGTCGTCTTTACATCACATTTCAAGCTTCTCTTCCTCCACCTGAGAAGCAGAAATCAAGGATGGAACACGGAGTAAGCGCCAGAGCAACAGTTGCACCAAGCAGACGATCCATGCCGTATTCTGAATGCAATGTACGGGCTATTTTGACACGGAGTCACACACGAAAAAAGTCGTTACTCCGCAACACGAAGCACCGAGTAGCTCTCGCACAATCATGGGACTGAAACTTCATCAGATATCAGCTCAGCCCAGGGGGGAGTGAAATGACTGTGCTCACGAACATGATGGCAAGACATCAATGAGAACGACGGAAAGTACAGCATGCTGCATGACATAGAGGAACATGAGAATGACGGCAAAGGTCGGGCATCAGATTGTAAAAGGTGTAAAGTTGTTTCCACACGGATCATCGATCCGATCGGAGCATAAGTGATAGAATAACGATCATATGCCAGCCATTGATCAAGAACTGTGAGAAACGGCATAATGGAAATGCGCGGTCTACAGAAACCCTATAATGAACTCGCAAACCAGAACCTCAGATGCGGGAAACAGAATGATCAGAGAACTTGAACAACAAGAAATTCCAGCGTGCCTCACGAGACGAACAAGAGGACAACGGCAAAGATCTGGCATCAGATTGTCAGAGGTGTAAGGTTATTTCAGCACGGACCATTGATCCGATCAGAGTGTAGCATAAGTGATAGCTTATTGTCGCATCATATGCCAGCCATTAACCGAGAACTGTCAGATCATAATCGACATGCGCTGAAGGCGGAAATTCGACAACAACCTCGCAAGCCAGAACCTAGTCAGTCTGAAACTCACATGTACACAATGAGCCGGGCCGTGCGCAAGTCATCGTAGCAACATCCCCAGCACCAGCGACAGAACGACGTTCCAAATGCGACACTGGCACGGCGGGTTGCTGACAACGGCCGAATAACCAACTCTGCAGCTGTTTATGTCAAGACGCCAGCCAATCAAGGCGGCTTCACGTCCGGCAGTATCCATGTGTCAACACCCATGGTTCCTCTTAGAAAGTATGTCCTCTCATCTCCTCCGCAAGTTTTGAGCAGCCAACGTGGCCTACGAGCCGACGTTCATGACCTCCAGCGAGACCCTAAAATAGATTGAAGGGGTAAAGAATGGAAGAAGTCAGGATAAAGAACTGTCTAAGATCTGAGGAGATTTATGGTTGAATGATGGGGAGAAGTAAGATTAGGCACAGGCAGGACGAAGGCAGGAGATTGGATGGGGGTTTAGGCCGGGGGGGGAGGGAGGGGGGGGGGTGTGTGTTGGGGGGAAATGAGGGAGGGGGTTCGAGGGGGAGGGTGATTGGGGAGGAAAGATGGCGCGGGACGAGCAGTGCTTGACGGATAGGGGAGGAGCTGATTGCAGTTTTTCCGAGGGCGCATTCTTCTTGGTTGAGTTCGGGAAGGGGGATCTTCAACACCGGATAACTCTAATGAACATGACTAGACGCTGACTTCAAGTGAAAGTGAGGATTATTTGTGACATTCTAAACTACTTCAATTCCGTCAGCAAACACGGCATGGGGGGGTTTCTTCTTGAAACGGGACACCACCATGTGGGGGAGAGGCGGAGGTTGTGAGGGGCGGAAAGGGTTTGGGGTTTCTCGTATCATCTCTCTGTTGACTACTCGGGATTTCTGCAAACAAAGCACTGCAGATGCATTTTTCTTCTGGTTTGTTAGAAGTGGGGAATATATCGACCATTTATCATAAACCTGCTTACATTGAAATGTATTGACTGTGGATGTATAATGGATGTTTTTTTGGAGTTTGTAACGTTTATTATCACATATTTCTACGTACATAGAATAAGAAAAGGCGGGGAAGCGGGTCGATGTAGCGGTGCGGCGACCAATGGCTGGGGAAGCTCACACTCTAGAGATTAGCGTCGCGGACCCTCTGTCGCTGTCTCCTTCGCTGCTAGGGCAGTGTGGGCGCTCCATAGGAGTGGCGGCGAGGGAGTGGGAGCGTCGCAAGACGGGCGATTACGCACCCCTGCTTACACGCAACCCGGACGTGCAGTTCACCCCTTTGATAGTAGAGACGTGGGGGTGTCTAGGCGGTCGGTTTCGGCGGTGGCTTCGACGGCAGGGGGATGCACACTTGGGGCTAGCGGTGTCTCGTGGGGCATGTCGAGAGGACGACCATTCGTTTTCGACTTATCTGATGGGGTCTTTGAAGGGGCTCATCGGGGTGGCGTTACAGCGGGCACAAGCCCGTGTTATTCTGCTTCGCGCGGCGTCTTCCATGGGGGGGTCGAACATGGATTTGGTGGACAGGGAGGAGGACGATGTCGAGATGGAGGGTGGGGCTCTCTGTGTGGAGGCCCCTTACATGGTGGATGCTCGGATGTGAGCTGGGTAGGGGGGGGAAATTGGGGAGCGGTCTGGGGTGTCTCGGTTGGGTGTATGAATTAGGTGTTTTGATTGGGTGTCGGGTTTTTTCTGTATGTGCTTTTAGGATCTGGGTGTCTTGATGGGGTTTTTTTATGTTTGTGCATTTAACATCAGGGTGTCTTGATGAGGTTTTTATGTGTGTGCACTAACTTCAAAATGGTAGTAATAGTAAATGGTAATCAGCCTTGTAACGACTATGAATTCGTGAAAAAAAAAGAATACGAGCAAGAGGTTAGCGGTGGGAATCATAAGTGAGGAAAGGAGTGCATGACTGATTAAACGTGTGAGACAGAAAGATGGCATAAGGAAATGCCAAATATGCTGGGCAGTTCAAGTAGCTGATGTTTGAATAAGGTAGGTGTGTAAGCTGAGAACATCTCTAAATGGATTCTGTAACTTGTTGAATGTATCCTCGAGTACGACTGACGTGGAACTTCGAGGGCTTCTGTTCGTTTAGCCGTGCCACGCTGCACCAACGGATTGGTCATCCAAAGAACCACAAACCCGCCCCATCCGCCACTGTACTTCCCACATGTCCTCCTCTGCCCAACTCATCGTCCCCCAGCTCCATTCATTCCTGCTCCACCTGTTTCCGCCAGCCCTTCCCCGCCCCTAGATTTCCCGTCGCATACATTCCCCCTTTTCCCGTCAATTTTTGCACATTCCCCGCAATCCCTTCCCCCGTTCCCCCGCCGTCCCCCCGTCGTCCCCCACCATTCCCCCCATTCTTCATCCTTTCACAGATTGGTACTAACTAATGCTCCTCTCTACGACCCTCCTTTTTCAGCTAGGCCATTTTGGCCATACTGCCGAGCCTGGGATTGCGCCCATTCAAGCCTACTTGGTTAGGCATCGGCAGTTAAATTCCGCTCGTCTGACTGCTCGTCTTGGTAACGTGAGTCTTCCAAGCTGCACGGACTAAATCCTAATGGAGCACGGCGACTTTAAGAAACAAGGCATTGTAGCAATAATATGTCTGTTGATCATCAGTATTTCTAGCATAATGTAGTATTTTGTGATTACCGTTTTCCTATCGTGCCTTACCATTTTCGGTTCTCAATGTCTCCTCTTCTCCCTCCCTTCCATTCTTCGTTGATCAATCGGCGTTACCGATTCCAGGTTCAATCAGCGAATCCGCACTGATCCCAGAACGGCCTAAGCGGTCAGCAGTTGACACGTTTCAACGGGTACGACGTCATGGGAAACGACGCGGAAACTACGCCGCCAGCTGCTTCCGCAGCAGCGGAAGAGCAGAAGCCCACCGATGCAGCCGCGGCTGATGCGGCTCCCGCAGTAGATGCTGCTGCTGGGGAGGGGGAGGAAAAGAAACAGGAGGGGGAGGGAGCGGAGAAGAAAGAGGGGGAGGGGGAGGGAGAGGGCGAGGGCGATGGGGTTGCTAAGAAGGACGCCGATGAGCTTCAGTTGTACCCTCTGGCGGTTAAGGGACCCGCTGGAGAGGAGATCGAACTGCAGGTAGGTCCAGATCGCCGCAGGTAGGTCTTGTCGAGACGGCGCAGGTACGGGTGCTCGGCGCGTAAGTGGAATCTCGTTGGAAAAAAGCGGTGATTAGTCCGGTTGAGTGTGGTTGAGTGCCGAAGTGGAGTTAGGTTGATCGGGTTGCAGGAGTGTTAACTTGGCGGTATGTTTTTGTTCGCTCGTTTTCTCTGTTCCAACAACGAGTGATGGATGCTGGCGAGGGGTTCAAAAGGTATTGCACTCCCATGTGAGCAGTTCAACAGTGTCTACTGTCTGTCGCTCAGCCAGGCTGTCGGTGTAAGGCAAGCCGCAGCTGCATTACTAGGTTCCAGCAAGCTCAGAAGAAGAAACCTAGTTGTGAGGCGCTGATGAGGGTAGTGTCGTGTAGAGTTGAGAAGTACTAGGATACGTGTGGTAGAGTTGACTGGTATGAATTCTGATTGTGTTTTAGTCAAGCTTGCTATAGCACGGTCCAGCAAATATAGGCTCAGTCAGCTGTCCTCATTCCCCCCCCCCCCCCGCTCCACTATCCCGCTCCCTCTCGCCCTTTCAGGTGAACCCCGCAGATACAGTGATGGACTTGAAGCAGTTTCTCGCCGACGCGCCCGAGACGTGCTTCTATACCGCGTACGACCTTATTCTCACCAAGCCGGACGGATTGCGTTACCACCTGATGGATTACGTGGAGATTGGCGAGGTTGCTGACGTGGCAGCCGGCGGGTGCCTGCTCGAGATGTTCAACACGTTCTACGACGACCGCGCCGTGCGGCTGCACGTGCGTAAAACGAGGGAGCTTATATCGATGGCTGGGTCGTACTCTAGCGCGTCTACGGCCATGGCGGCGGAATATGAGCTAGTTAAGGGGTTGGCTACTGAACGGGAGCTTGGGGGGGATGAGAAGGAGGAGGGGGAGGGGAAGGAGGGCGAGGGGGAGAAGGGGGAGAAGGATGGGGAGAAGGATGGGGAGGAGGGCGGGGAGTGGAAGAAGAGCGGGAAGGGGAAGAAGGGGAAGGGGCGGCGGAGCAAGGAGGAGGAGGCCAAGGAGAAGGAGCGTCGGGAGAAGGAGAAGGAGCGGGAGCGCAAGGCGAAGCTTCCGAGCAGCAAGGCTCGGATGGAGGAGATCGCGTCGCTGGAGCAGGGCGTGGGGCTGGGCGATGATCCCAAGGGCGTGCTGGCCAAGGTGATGGTGAAAGGCGGCGCGGACGAGGACGCCGCGCCCGTCTGTGTGGAGAGCATCGCCTTCTCTTCTTTCAACCCCGTGCCCGGCCCCAGGAGGTGAGTTCATCCCCGTTCTAAGACGCCTCGTTAGTCGTGTTACGCGTGCGTTGAAAGCGCTCTCTTCTGCTCCTCAAATCCCGCTCTCGAGCGCATAAGGTAAGATAATTTTTTCTTGAGGGGCCCTGGGTTTGGATGGAGGAGTTCGCGTCGCTGGAGCAGGGAGGGCGTGGGGTTGGCGATGATCCCAAGGGCGTGCTGGCCATGGTGATAGTCAAGGGCGGCGCAGACAAGGACGCCGCGCCCATCTGCGTCGAGAGCATCGCGTTTTCCTCCTTTAACTCCGTGCCCCCGGACCAAGGAGGTGAGAATATCCTTGTTATAAGACGCCGCGAAAGCCGTGTCACGTGTGTGCGTCGAGAGCTTTGTGTTCTCCTCTTTCAACCCCATCCCTACCCAGGAGGTGAGATCATCCCCGTTTTAAGCCGCCTCAACAGTCGGTTCCAACCTGTATTCTCCCAACTCAATCGTGATGAAGTGGAACAGAAAAAACACAGCTGATGACTTACATTACGTTTAACCGGTTCTCATCCCTCCCCACCATACCAGGCTCCAACACGACCTGGTGTATATGGAGGTGGTGACAGCAGAGGGCAAGATGGCGCACACGAGGGGCTTCTTTTCCTCTCTTCACCCCTGTCAACCGAATTCCATCCCTTTGCCACCCCTAACAGGCTCCAAGGCGATCTCGTCTACCTGGAGGTGGTGACGGCAGAGGGAAAGCTCTTCTGTGTGACGGCGCACACGAGGGGCTTCTTTGTCAACCGCAGTGGCAGCGGCCGCAAGCTGGACCCGCGCCCTGCTGAGCCCAAGATGGACGCGTCCACGCTGATCGGCCTTCTGCGGCAGATCAGCCCGCTGTTCTCCAAAGGTAAGAAGACGAACCTTCTCCGAAGGTAAGAAGACGAACCGTCTCCGAAGGTAAGAAGACGAACCTTCTCCGAAGGTAAGAAGACGAACCTTCTCCGAAGGTAAGAAGACGAGCCTGTTTTTGGCAGAAGGTGAAGCGGACTGAGGGGTGAGAAAGAGCCTTTGGAGCCTCAGATGGAGCCTGCGTGCAATAAGCTTGGCCCTCTACCTGCTGAGCCCAAGATGGACGCGTCCACGCCTGCATGTGGGGAGTGTGTTCGGATCTGAGGATGAATGCGGGTTCAGGGTTTATGTCCTGTATGCCTTTCTGTGGGTCTCATAGCTCTCACACGCCAGCGTGTTAGAGTGAAAAGGAAAGAAAAGGAACTTCGTTATCTGACGGACCGAAAGTATACACACACACACCGGTCATATTGGCCAGCCGCCACCTCGAATTACTGGCCACCTAAGCAATCTCCATTTGATTTTCCCTCCCCGCTATCTCCCCTCATCAGCCTTTGCGGAGGTGATCGAGCGCAAAGCCAACCGCCACCCGTTCGAGAACATGCTGGCGCCGCTGCCGCCCAACGATTGGGCGGCAAAGCCCATCTGGGGCGGCGCGGACGGCACGGGGCCGCTACAGTACACGCGTGACGTGGCGCGATCCGAAGACGCCCTAATGGCCCCCTTCGGAATCGATTTCAGCGGCGTTTTGAGGGACTGGAATGAGGAGCTTCAGAGCTGCAGGGAGTTACCGCGTAACTCGTTACAAGACCGGATCCTGCGCGACCGGGCCTTGTATCGAGTCAGCTGCGAGTTTGCTGATTCGGCGGTTCGCGGCGCGAAGGCCGTGATTGGCCGGTCGATCCCGCCGATTAATCCCCATGACGCGGATCGGTTCCATATGTATGTGCATAATAATATCTTCTTCTCCCTGGCTGTCGATGGGGATTTCGCAGCGCTGCAGCAGATTAGAGAGGCGGAGCTGAAGCAGCAGGCTGAGGCGGAAGCTGCTAAGACGGGGGAGGGGGAGGGAGGGGAGAAGAAGGAAGGGGGAAAGGAGGTGAAGGAGGAGGGGAAGAAGGAAGGTGAGAAGGAGGAGGAGAAGAAGGCGGAGACGAAGGATGAGAAGAAGGAGAAGAGGGATAAGAAGAAGAAGGAGAAGAAGGACAAGAAGGAGAAGGAGAAGAAAGAGCAGGAGGCGGCAGAGGAGAAAAAGGCTGAGGAGGCAAAGGCAGAGGAGGGAGATAAGAAGGAAGAGGAGAAGAAGGAAGGGGAGAAGGAAGGGGAGAAGAAGGAAGGGGAGGAGGACACTAGCAGCAGCAGCAGCAGCAGCGGCGGCAGTGACGGAGGCAGAGCAGGCAACGTATGCATCGTCCAACAACGACCTCAAGGGCACCATGGCCGTGAACAACGCGGACATCCCCGGGCTCTACTCGCTTGCCATGGCCATCGTGGACTACCGCGGACACCGGGTGATCGCGCAGGTGTGTTGTGGTTTGCGGGTATAGCCACTGTTCAGGTGTGCTGTGGTGCGGGTTTTAAGGTGCCTCACCTCTCAAGGGCACCATGGCCTTGAACAATGCGGACATCCCCGGGCTCTACTCGCTCGCTATGGCCATTGTGGATTACCGGGGGCACAGAGTCATTGCTCAGGTGTGTTGTCGTCTTCTCTTTGCTCTATGGGTTGGTGGGGAGGCAAGACGCCTGATACCATGTGTTGAAAGTGAAATTTTGAGACGTCTAAAAAATTCACTTTCTGCACAGAGAATCATCCCAGTCATTCTCTACGGGTCAGTGGGGAGACAAGACGCCTGGTCCCACCCTTACACCTGTTCTACCAACTCTTCTCTTCACCTCAGCTGTTTTCCCAACCCCTTCTCCGCTCCGCCTTCTCGCCCCTTTCCACTATCACAGAGCATCATCCCAGGAATCCTGTATGGCGATCGCGCGACTCAGATGCTGTACGGGTCGGTCGACATGGGCAAGATCATCAAGTACCTTACCCTATTGTGCCCTTCTGTACCCTTCTGTACCCTCCTGTACCCCCCACCTGCCTTCGCCTTGGTCGAGCAGAGCATCATCCCAGGCATTCTGTATGGCGATCGCACGACTCAGATGCTGTACGGGTCGGTGGACACGGGCAAGACCATCAAGTGGAGCGATTCCTTCCATCCCAAGGTGCCGTGGGTGTGGTGGTGGTTGTGCGGGTGATTACAGGTTGTGTTGTGTGGGAGGGTGTATGCCCTCTGTGCGTGTAGCACTGTTACCACACAGATGCTGTACGGGTCGGTGAACACTGGCAAGACCATCAAGTGGAGCGATTCCTTCCACCCCAAGGTGCGGTGAAGGTGTGGGGGTGGGTATTGACTGGCTGGGTTGGTGTGGGTGGGTGGGTGGGTAGGTGGGTGGGTGGGTGGGTGTATGCCCTCTGTGCGTGTAGCACTGTTACCACACAGATGCTTTACGGGTCGGTGAACACTGGCAAGACCATCAAGTGGAGCGATTCCTTCCACCCCAAGGTGCGGTGAAGGTGTGGGGGTGGGTATTGACTGGCTGGGTTGGTGTGGGTGGGTGGGTGGGTGGGTGGGTGTATGCCCTCTGTGCGTGTAGCACTGTTACCACACAGATGCTGTACGGGTCGGTGAACACTGGCAAGACCATCAAGTGGAGCGATTCCTTCCACCCCAAGGTGCGGTGAAGGTGTGGGGGTGGGTATTGACTGGCTGGGTTGGTGTGGGTGGGTGGGTGGGTGGGTGGGTGTATGCCCTCTGTGCGTGTAGCACTGTTACCACACAGATGCTGTACGGGTCGGTGAACCCTGGCAAGACCGTCAAGTGGAGCGATTCCTTCCACCCCAAGGTGCGAATTTGCTGGCGAATGATGTATGTATGTGTGTGGGGGGGGGGGGGGGGGGGAAGGGTGAAGAAGGGGAGGGGTGTGAGGCTTAGTGCATTGCTGTACGGGGCTGTGAACACTGGCAAGACCATCAAGTGGAGCGACTCCTTTCACCCCAAGGTGCGTGCATAGGTGCAGTGCAATCATGTTAACGCGTTGGCTTTTGAGTCGACTCAAAAGTCATAGGTGCAGTGCAATCATGTATACGCGTTGGCTTGGTAGAATTTAGGGATGATTGTTTGGCTGTGTGGGTGCCTTGTTTCGGCAATTTGAAAGTTGACTCCCAGTGTCAATATTCCCCCACGACTCCCAACTCCTCTTCCCCCTCCCTCTCAACCCCCCCCGTCCCCGCCCCCGCCCCCTATCCCCCTCTCCCCACCCAGGTGGCGGAGCTGGGCAAGGCGCTACACCTGAAGGAGCACAAGGTGACGGACGGGTAGGGCAAGGAGTCTTGTCGGCCCTCTGACTCGCCCCTTGTGTCGCTCACTTGTACTGGTCCCCCCATCACTCCTGTTCCCGTCTCGCATTCCCAGGTGGCGGAGCTGGGCAAGGCACTGCACCTCAAGGAGCACAAGGTGACGGACGGGGAGGGCAAGGAGGCGACGCTGTGCTCGCCTGTGGAGACTAAGGGCATTCTGGGCAGCGACGACAGGTGCGTGGTGGACAGTGGTGGGGAGGGGTGATGAGTAGTGGGGAGGGATTGACGAGAAGGCGAGGATTGTGGGGGCAGGGGAGTACTGGTTTGACTGTATGGCTGAGGGCAAGGAGGCAACGCTGTGCTGGCCTGTGAAGACCAAGGGCATTTGGGGCAGCGATGCCAGGTGCGTGGTGGGGAGGCTTTACTAGTGATTCTGGGCGGGCATGAGCAGAGGGGGTTACCCGTTTAGGGAATGTAGACGCAGGGGTGTTGGACTTACAGTGGCTGAGGACCAAGCCAAAGGGGCGAGGATGAGATGTGACTTTTGAGTCGACTCAAAAGCCAAAGGGGCAAGGATGAGATGTGTTGTTTGCTTGTTGAGACCAAGGGCACTCTAGGCAGCGATGATGGGTGTGCAGTGGTGAGGGATAGAAGAGAAACGCGGTCAACCGCCTGGCCATCCTGTGGCCCGAGCTAGTGGAGAAGTTCTGCCGGGAGGAGCTGGTGGAGCGGCGGATGGCTCAGAAGGGAAAAGGGGATCCTGGTTCCTAGACTTTTTGAAACGCACCTGCATCCTATTGCTCTCTCCTTTCCTTCTACTCCCTTTCTTCCTCTTCCCTCTTCAGGAAGTACCTGTTGGATTTGATCCGCCTCACTCCCCGGGACGCCAATTTTACCGCCACCACCACCAGCACCACCACTACCACCGGCACTGATTCCAACGCCACTACCAACGCTGCCAGCGCTGCAAATGCTGCCAACCGCCTGGCGATTCTGCGTCCCGAGCTGGTGGAGAAGTTTTGCCGGGAGGAGCAGGTGGAGCGGTGGATGGCTGAGAAGGGTGTGAGCGAGCGGCCGAGTGCAGAGGAGGTGGAGGAGGTGAGGGAGAAGGGCGAGCTGCCTGACGTGCTGTTCAACCCGAACGCGCTGACAGAATTTAAGCTGGCCGATGATCCCAAGGTGAGTGTGGGAGTGAGTTGATTTTAGGGTTACTGGGAGGCCGAGTGCAGAGGAGGTGGAGGAGGTGAGGGAGAAGGGCGAGCTGCCTGACGTGCTGTTCAACCCGAACGCGTTGACAGAATTTAAGCTGGCCGATGATCCCAAGGTGCGTGGATGGAAGGGAAACACAAGTGAGGTTGAGTGAGAGTTAGTGTGATGGTGAGTCTGGGAGAAAGTGTCAATTGAGTGTAAGGATGGGACTCGTGTAGCGAGGGTGTTTTTGAGACGGATGGTGAGTCTGGGAGAAAGTGGCAATTGAGTGTAAGGATGCGACTTTGTCTGTCTCAATTGAACCGAACCCATCAGCCTCTTCTCTTCCCCTCTCCCTCTCTTATCTCCGCCTCTCTCTCCCACCCAATGCCCACGCAACAACAGGAGGTGGAGGAGGATGAAGCACTGGTGCGCAAGGCGGGCAAGTACCTGATCGACACGGCGCTGCCAGCGCTGGTGGCAGATATCAAGAGCTTCGAGGGTTGGAAACAACCAACCTGACCCATCACCCCCTCTCTTTCCCCACGCCCTCCTTTCTCCCCCCCCCCCCCCCCCCCCCCCCCCCCCCCCCCCCCCCCCCCCGCACCCTCCCCACACACACAACAGGAGGTGGAGAAGGACGAAGCGTTGGTGCGCAAGGCGGGCAAATACCTGATCGACACGGCGCTGCCGGCGCTGGTGGCGGATATCAAGAGCTCCGAGGGGTGGCCTGTGGATGGGCGCGCGCTTGCCAGCACCATGCACGCCCACGGCGTCAACCTGCGCTACCTGGGCCGGGTGAGTGTCCTTCATGGGTGCATGGCGTTTGTTTGGCGCTATCATAAGCCTTGTATGGTCAAGGGATGGCAGGGACTATTTATCATGGTTTGAGTGGATGGCTGGGGGCTTGCAAGCACCATGTATGCCCATGACGTCTACCCATGACCATGCAACCCTTGGTCCTCTTCTCCCGTCTTCGCCACAACCCTTTTGAGGCGCCTCAAAAGTCCCTCAGTACCTAGGGTCTTTTTCTGGCGTCTTCCCCACAACCCCACATTCCCCCTTGTGAAACTGCCAGGTGGCGAAGGTGGTGGCTGACGTGGAGCAGGTGGATTGGCTGTGCGTGGCGGAGATGGTGGTATGAGCCACCAAGCACGTGCTTAAAGCCGTGCTGCGCGAGACGCTCGAGCAGGATGTAGCCGGCGCCATCGCCCACTTCCTCAACTGCTTCCCTCCTTTGCTGCCTCCCCTGTCCCCTCCCCTGCTCCCCACTCCCTCCCTGCTTTTCCCCCATTCCCAACCCCTCTTCTCTTCCCCCCCCCCCCCCCCCCCCCCCCCTCCTCCTCTCTCCCCCCTCCCCCCCCTCCTGTTTAAACTGCCAGGTGGCAAAAGAGGTTGCTGACGTGGAGCAGGTGTATTGGCTGTGCGTGGCCGAAATGGTGGTACGGGCCACCAAGCACGTGCTCAAGGCTGTGCTGCGCGAGACGCTCGAGCAGGACGTGGCCGGCGCCATCGCCCACTTCCTCAACTGCTTCCTCGGCACCTCCACCACCACGCCGCCGCCCACGCTCCCCGGCGTCGGGGATACGGACAAAACCGAGGGCGGTGCGGCGGGCGGCGGGGGGAAGAAGAAGAAGAAGGGGAAGGGAGGGGAGAAGAAGGATGGGGAGGAGAGGAAGGAGGAGGGGGAGGAGAAGAAGGAGGCGTTTTTGTTTGTGGTGGATGTGCCGGGGTATACTCGTATTACGGCGGATATGGTGTGGTCTGATATTACTGAAGGCGTCAAGTACAAGTATCAGGTGAGAGAGTGAAACCTGGCTCTCTAGTTGACTGAAATGACAGGGAATGATATGTTCATTATCTGCTTCTGCCCACCTCCAGGTGTCCTCCCATGCCCTCCCCTCCCCTCCCCTGCCCTGCCCTGCCCTGTTCTGCCCTCCCTTGTCCTGCCTTACCCTCCCTTAACCTGCCCTGCCCTGTTCTGCCCTCCCTTGTCCTGCCTTACCCTCCCTTTACCTGCCCTGCCCTGTTCTGCCCTCCCATGCCCTGTCCTGCCCTCCCATGCATGCCCTGCTCGTCCCTTCCCTGCCCTTCCCTGCCCTGCCCTGCCCTGTCCGGCCCTGTTTGTGCACAGTTTGAGATCCCTCCTGAGACGCGCAAGATGGTTCGCAGCCTCGCCACCCTCCGCAACATCTGCCTCAAGGTCAGTCCCATCCCATTCAATGCGCCGTTGCCAAAGGTCCCGCTGACCAGTCAACATCCTTTTTTTCCCCCTGCGACTCGGTGCCTTGCATATCTTCTCAGGTCCCGCTCCTGCTGTGTCTCTTTTGAGGCCCAACAGGGTGCTTTTGAGAATTCTCAAAGACACATCTGTTTTGAGGCACCTCAAAGTAGACTCGCGACAGTCAGCAGTCTATTTTGATGTAACTCGCAGCCTGTCATATGTCCTCATTCCCCCATCTTTCCGCATTTCCCCTTTTCCACTGCTCCACAAGGCTACAACCTCAAGTGTGACTTGCCCATTATCATTGGAGGTGTGTACGCCGCTGCCTGCGATCTCTCCCCCAACCCCCTATCTCCCTGTATTCCCCGTTCCCCCTACTCTCCCAACAGATGGGCATTGAGGTCGTTTTTGAGGCGCCTCAAAAACAACCCCCTACCTCCCTGGTTTCCCCGTTCCCCCTACTCTCCCAACAGATGGGCATTGTGTTGGCTGCAAGGGATTACAACCTGGAGTGCGACGTGCCCATCGCCATTGCAGATGTGTGCGACCTGCTGCCACAAGTCAAGTTCGCATCACCTGCTTGCAGCGACGCACAGAAGCTGCTGGAGAAGGGCAAGAGCCTGGTGCACAAGGTATGGGCGAGGGGTGGGGGAGGGTGAGAGGAGGGGAGAGGCGTGTGTGCAAGGCAGTGCAGGCACTGCGTTAACAGAAGCTGCTGGAGAAGGGCAAGAGCCTGGTGCACAAGGTATGGGCGAGGGGTGGGGGAGGGTGAGAGGAGGGGAGAGGCGTGTGTGCAAGGTAGTGCAGGCACTGCGTTCACAGAAGCTGCTGGAGAAGGGCAAGAGCCTGGTGCACAAGGTACTGATGGGGAGGGGTGCAAGGGGTGTGTGTGCATGGTATTGGTAGCATGGGGCTCTAAAGGGGGAAGTGCGCAGGAGGATCGTGTCTCTCTCTCCTGGGTTGCCTGCCCGCATGCAGCACCACTCAGAAGCTGCTGGAGAAGGGAAAGAGCCTCGTGCACAAGGTAGGGAGAGGAGGAGTGTTTGTGTGAAGGGTATTGGTGGGGTGGCACTGTTTTGGAAGGGGGTTAGTTAGGGGACAGGAGGATCGTGTCTCCCTCGTCTCGCCTCGCCCGCCTGCAGCGACGCACAGAAGCTGCTGGAGAAGGGCAAGAGCCTCGTGCACAAGGTATGACCGGGAACGGGGAGGTGTGCGCAAAAGGCATGGGAGGGCTGTGGGCAAGGTGGGAGGGCTGTGGGCAAGGTGGGAGGGTTTGGGGCATGGTGAGGGTTTGGGAGGGTGTGCGTGCGCAGTGTTGTAGGAACCGTACTAGGCAGCCATAGCTACTAGGCAGCCGTACTAGGCAGTGTTCCAGGATGGGGCGTTTTAAGAAATATTCCAGTCCAGACAGGTGGCAAATTAGCCGGGTGCACCTGTCCCATGTGCTTCCGGTCAGTATGTCCACCAATAGCATTCCGCCACGTGGATACCCGGTGACCATGGCTGCCCATGCCATGCCCGCCTCTCGTCCCATGGTACAAGCAGTCCTGTGAAATAAGTGTTGTTTTGAGGCAAAGAAAAATACAACACTTATTTAATGCGCTACATGCAGTCCTGTCTTGTTCTTTCCATTCCATGCCCTGCCATGCCATGCACGCCCGTCTTCCCATGGTACCCAACATTTCTCTACCCAACATTTCCCTACCCAACGTTTCTCTACCCAACGTTTCTCTACCCAACATTTCTCTTCCCAACATTTCTCTACCCAACATTTCTCTACCCAACATTTCTCTACCCAACATTTCTCTACCCAACGTTTCTCTACCCAACGTTTCTCTACCCAACATTTCTCTACCCAACATTTCTCTACCCAACATTTCTCTACCCAACATTTCTCTACCCAACGTTTCTCTACCCAACGTTTCTCTACCCAACATTTCTCTACCCAACATTTCTCTACCCAACATTTCTCTACCCAACATCTCTACCCAACTCCCATGCGTCCCCACCCCACACCCTTCTTCCTTCCCAGGTCGGTTTGCCTCTGCGCCCGCGCTTCTCCGCCACCCCTCAGAGCGGCCAGTGGCTGTGGGAGCACTGACAACACCAGCACCCCTGACACTGATCCCATTTCCCCCCATCTCTTCCCGCTCATCCCCCCCTACCCCCCCACCCCGACCACCGCGACCCCCTCCGTGCAGGTGGGCCTGCCCCTGCGCCCGCGCTTCTCCGCCACGCCTCAGAGCGGGCAGTGGCTGCGGGGGCACGATCAGCTGATCCCATTTCCCACATCTCTTCTCGAATATCCCCCCCTCCCCCGCGGCCTCCCAGGTGGGCTTGCCCCTGCGCCCACGCTTCTCCGCCATGCCTCAGAGCGGGCAGTGGCTGCGGGGGCACGATCAGCTGATCCCATTTCCCACTTCTCTTCTCGAATACCTCCCCCTCCCCCGCGGCCTCCCAGGTGGGCTTGCCCCTGCGCCCACGCTTCTCCTCCATGCCTCAGAGCGGGCAGTGGCTGCGGGGGCACAATCAGCTGATCCCATTTCCCACTTCTCTTCTCGAATATCTCCCCCTCCCCCGCGGCCTCCCAGGTGGGCTTGCCCCTGCGCCCACGCTTCTCCTCCATGCCTCAGAGCGGGCAGTGGCTGCGGGGGCATGATCAGCTGATCCCATTTCCCACATCTCTTCTCAAATATCCCCCCCTCCCCCGCGGCCTCCCAGGTGGGCTTGCCCCTGCGCCCACGCTTCTCCTCCATGCCTCAGAGCGGGCAGTGGCTGCGGGGGCACGATCAGCTGATCCCATTTCCCACTTCTCTTCTCGAATATCTCCCCCTCCCCCGCGGCCTCCCAGGTGGGCTTGCCCCTGCGCCCACGCTTCTCCTCCATGCCTCAGAGCGGGCAGTGGCTGCGGGGGCACGATCAGCTGATCCCATTTCCCACTTCTCTTCTCGAATATCTCCCCCTCCCCCGCGGCCTCCCAGGTGGGCTTGCCCCTGCGCCCACGCTTCTCCTCCACGCTTCAGAGCGGGCAGTGGCTGCGGGGGCACGAGACAATTCTGCTACCATTCCAAGCTATGCCTCTTATAATCCACATCCCTGTGACCCTTCCCCCCTCGCGCTCCCCCAGGTCGGTTTGCCTCTGCGCCCACGTTTCTCCGCCACCCCTCAGAGCGGGCAGTGGCTGCGGGAGCACTGACAGCACGAGCACCCCTAACAGTGACCCCATTTCCCACTTCTCTTCCTCCCCCTTCCCTCGTGCCCCCCCAGGTCGGTTTGCCTCTGCGCCCACGTTTCTCCGCCACCCCTCAGAGCGGGCAGTGGCTGCGGGAGCACGAGATGACTCTGAACTCCGCGTTTGAGATTCTCAGCGAGGCATATCAGATCCTGCAGCAGGTGGGGGCTATGGGCTGGTGGGGGCTATGGGCAGGTGGGGGGAGGAAGAAGAGGGGGTGTTTGAAGGGGTGGTATTGGAGGGAAGCAAGTAAGGGAGGGGATGGGAACAGAGAGAGGGAGAGAGGGGGGGAGGAAGGCAATTTGTTATTGCTCTGCTTTCGCTTTTCCACAGAAGCTCACGTGCTGTAACTCCCCTAACCCCTCTTCTTTGCCTTTCCTTTCCGGTTCTCTCCTTCCCTTCTTCCTCTCTCGGTTCCTGCATCTCTCCCTCTCTTTTTTCCACCTACCGCACCTCCCTAACCCGTCTCCCAACCATTCAGGCTCCTCGAACTCCCTCTCCCCTCCACGCCCCTTCCCCCTGTGCAGGTGTGCGGGCCTCTTCATCTAGACGTTGCGGCGTGCTGCAGGTAAGCAATGCAGAGAGTCAGGTATGTTCAGTTATGATCAGCATCCCCTGCAGCACCGCCCCACATAACTGACTATGATCTTTTGTCAACCTTGGGAACTCCAATTTAGGCTTCCAATCATACTTGTCTTGAGAAAAGCAATCTTGGAAGCACACTTTCCTCTCTCTGTCCCATTTCCATCTCTGCCCCAACCCCCAGGTACCTGGCTCTGATCTTCTACCATGTGGGAGAGACCGGCAATGCCATTCTGCAGCAGCACTGTGAGCTGATCATCATCGAGCGGGTGGTGGGGACATACCACCCCGACACCCTGTTTGGCAGTGCCCTTTGTTCATCTTGTTGTCTCTCTCCCTCTCCATGCTCCACCCATCCCCCTCCCCCCACCCCATCCCTTAGGTATCTGGCTCTGATCTTCTACCATGCGGGGGAGACGGGCAACGCCATTCTGCAGCAGCACCGCGAGCTGATTATCAATGAGAGGGTGGTGGGGACAGACCACCCCGACACCGTGCACAGGTGGGTGTGTGGGGGACACTTGTGAGGGGAGCGACACTTGTGAAGGGAGCGACACTTGTGAGGGGAGCGACACTTGTGAGGGGAGCGACACTTGTGAGGGGAGCGGCACTTGTGAGGGGAGCGGCACTTGTGAGGGGAGCGGCACTTGTGAGGGGAGCGACACTTGTGAGGGGAGCGATACTTGTGAGGGGAGCGACACTTGTGAGGGGAGCGACACTTGTGAGGGGAGCGACACTTGTGAGGGGAGCGACACTTGTGAGGGGAGCGACACTTGTGAGGGGAGCGACACTTGTGAGGGGAGCGACACTTGTGAGGGGAGCGACACTTGTGAGGGGAGCGACACTTGTGAGGGGAGCGACACTTGTGAGGGGAGCGGCACTTGTGAGGGGAGCGGCACTTGTGAGGGGAGCGGCACTTGTGAGGGGAGCGGCACTTGTGAGGGGAGCGGCACTTGTGAGGGGAGCGGCACTTGTGAGGGGAGCGACACTTGTGAGGGGAGCGGCACTTGTGAGGGGAGCGGCACTTGTGAGGGGAGCGACACTTGTGAGGGGAGCGACACTTGTGAGGGGAGCGGCACTTGTGAGGGGAGCGGCACTTGTGAGGGGTGCGACACTTGTGAGGGGAGCGGCACTTGTGAGGGGTGCGACACTTGTGAGGGGAGCGACACTTGTGAGTGGAGCGGCACTTGTGAGGGGAGCGGCACTTGTGAGGGGAGCGGCACTTGTGAGGGGAGCGGCACTTGTGAGGGGAGCGGCACTTGTGAGGGGAGCGACACTTGTGAGGGGAGCGACACTTGTGAGGGGAGCGGCACTTGTGAGGGGAGCGGCAGTTGTGAGGGGAGCGACACTTGTGAGGGGAGCGGCACTTGTGAGGGGAGCGGCACTTGTGAGGGGAGCGGCACTTGTGAGGGGTGCGGCACTTGTGAGGGGTGCGACACTTGTGAGGGGTGCAACACTTGTGAGGGGTGCAAGCGGGGAACAAGGTGGAAGTGCTGGAGGTGGAACAAGGTTTGGGATGAAGGGTTTATGGGCTGAGGTAAAGGGCTTTGAAACCTTCGATGGTGGCAAATTAGCCGGGCGCACCTGTCATGTGCTTCCGGTCAGTATGTCCACCAATAGCGTTCCGCCACGTGGATACCCGGTGACCATGGCTGCCCATGCCATGCCCGCCTCTCGTCCCCTGGCACATCCTGTATTGTTGTGCTCCCCATGATACGGCATGCCTTGCAATCATGCCATGTCCTTTCCCCTCCCTCTCCTCCCCGCCCTCCTCTTCTCGTTCCTCACCCCACCCCCTCACACCCCCTTCTCCCCCTCCATCCCCCCCCCCCTCCCACCAGCTATGGCAACATGGCGCTCTACTTCCATGCTATGGGTGAGTCAGAGCTCGCCCTGCGGCACTTCAAGCGCACCCCCCATGCCCATAGCCCTTCCCAACATGCTTCTCGGCCCCTCTCCTTCCTCTGTTCCCCCCCCTCCTCTCCTCCCCCCCCCCAACCCCCACCAGCTACGGCAACATGGCGCTCTATTTTCACGCCATGGGTGAATCAGAGCTCGCCCTGCGCCACTTCAAGCGCACCCTGCAGCTGCTCTCGCTCTCTGCAGGCAACGACCACCCCGAAGTGGCTTCTCTCTTTGTCAACATCGCCCTCACGTACCAGGTGTGTGTTGAGTGGGTGGTGCGTGGTGTGGTGTGTGCTGTGGTGTGTGCTGTGGTGTGTGCTGTGGTGTATGTATGTGTGCTGCACGTAACTTCAAGCGCACACTCCAGCTTCTCTCTTTGTCAACATCGCCCTCACGTACCAGGTGTGTGTTTAGTGGGTGGTGCGTGGTGTATGGTATGTAACACGTGGCGTATGCTGTGGTGTATGTATGGGTGTCATCATGCAGCATTTTTTAGTCGACTCAAAATCGACTTATTACACATGTGTGTGGTGCATGCTGTGGTGTATGTATGGGTGCGTCATCATGCAGCACGTAACTTCAAGCGCACCCTGCAGCTTCTCTCGCTCTCCACCCGCAATGACCACCTGCGACCACCCATTTCCCCATCACTATGTCATAAACTTCGAACTACTTCATCGTGAGAAGCTTCTCGTCAATCCTCCTCCATAAGCATCTGCCTTCATCCTTCGCCCCCTCCCCCATCCCCCCTCTCCCTCCCCCTCCCCCCCCCCCCCCCTTCGTACTCATCACCAGGACATGGGCAAGTTGCAGAACGCCATGAAGTACCTGCAGGAGGCGGTGCGAGTGAGTGAGAAGCTGCTGGGGGAGAATCACGTGCAGGTGGCCGTGTGCCACCACGCGCTTGCCCTCGCCTTCTCCTCTATGGGCGCATTCAAGCTCGCGCTACAGGTGAGCTCAAGCTGCCTTTCCAGGTGCGTTAGGCTGTGAGGTTGGGAGGGAGTGAGAGAGTGATTGAGAGAGTGAGTGAGAGAGAGTGAGAGAGTGAGTGAGCTGTTGGTTGACAATCATGTGCACGTGGCCGTGTGCCACACTTTCGCCCTCTTGTCCCTAGTAATGTTAAAGGACGAAGGTATTCCATCGCTCTTCTTCATATGCCTCTTTCTCTCCTCCTCTCCCCACCTCTGCCCACCACAGGAGGAGCGCAAGGCACAGGCGGTGTTTGAGAAGGCGGTGGGCAAGGAGGACCCGCGCACCAAGGAGTCGGAGCAGTGGGTGCAATCGTTCCTCGACCGGGAGCTCAGGGTGAGTTGGGGGGCTGCTGCATGTGCATGTTTACATGTGTGCGTGCATGGTCGGTTGGACGTTCACTCCAGCAGCACCAAGGAGTCGGAGCAGTGGGTGCAATCGTTCCTCGACCGGGAGCTCAGGGTGAGTTGGGGGGCTGCTGCATGTGCATGTGTACATGTGTGCGTGCATGGTCAGTTGGACGTTCACTCCAGCAGCACCAAGGAGTCGGAGCAGTGGGTGCAATCGTTCCTCGACCGGGAGCTCAGGGTGAGTTGGGGGGCTGCTGCATGTGCATGTGTACATGTGTGCGTGAATGGTCGGTTGGACGTTCACTCCAGCAGCACCAAGGAGTCGGAGCAGTGGGTGCAATCGTTCCTCGACCGGGAGCTCAGGGTGAGTTGGGGGGCTGCTGCATGTGCATGTGTACATGTGTGCGTGCATGGTCGGTTGGACGTTCACTCCAGCAGCACCAAGGAGTCGGAGCAGTGGGTGCAATCGTTCCTCGACCGGGAGCTCAGGGTGAGTTGGGGGGCTGCTGCATGTGCATGTGTACATGTGTGCGTGCATGGTCAGTTGGACGTTCACTCCAGCAGCACCAAGGAGTCGGAGCAGTGGGTGCAATCGTTCCTCGACCGGGAGCTCAGGGTAAGTGGTGTTTTTTTGCACATCTGACTGCATGAGTGCTGCATGTGTGATTCATGTGTATGCTTGAGTGCAGCCGTGTGTGCATGTGAATGCGTGTGTGCAAGCTGCAACAAGGAGTCGGATCCGTGGGTGCAGTTTAACAGCAGCTTCAGTCAAGCAGCAACTCTCCCTCAATAGCAATTTCTCTTCCCTCCCATTCCTTGCGCTTCTCCTTCTCATCTCTCCAGGCGCAGAAGCAGAAGGTGGGGCAATCAGCAGCAACGGTCCAGCGGCAACAAGCAGCAGCTCTCCCTCTCTTTTGTTCGCTTTCCCTCCCATGCCTCCCCTCCTTTCCCTCCCCATCTCTCCAGGCACAGAAGCAGAAGGTGGGGCAATCAGCAGCAACGGTCCAGCAGCAACAAGCCGCTGCGCTCCGTGTGGCCGAAGCTCTCAAGGTAATTGTCAGCAACAAGTCGACTTTGCTATTGCCAACCCGTAACACGTCACCATCACTTATCTGACCTGTGTTACAGAGTTCTGCAGAATTGTTGGTGCTGGCAAACTGTCTAACTTTGTGTGCTTGATGCTTCAAATACTCTTTGTCTCTCTCGTCCCTGCCCCCCTTGTGTTACAGCAACGGCCGGAGTTGCTTCAGGTGTTGCAGGCAGCAGCAGCACCTGGAGCAGGAGGCTCCACCTCGTACCAGCGTGCCGTGGCTGACGCTCTGCTTCGGGGAGAGGTTCCCCCACCTGCCCCCGGAGCTGGTGCAGGCAGGTTTGGCGGAGGCCTGGGTGCCACTGGTTCTTCAGGCACCGGTATTCGAGCCAGGGGCGTGGACGAGCGGGCTTCCAGGGCTGCTGCTGAGGCTCGGCGAAAAGCAGCAGCTCGGGGGGTGAACCTGCGAGGAGCTGCAGGTTCGGCAGGCTCCCGAGCCGGTGCACCCAGTGCGATGGACATGGAAGAGCTTATCAATTTCATCAATAGCACCTCACCAGCTTCTGGTGTGGCCAGCTCTTCCGCTAGCAAGACAGGCCCGGCAGCTGGTCCGGCAGCTGGTTCGGCAGGTGGTTCGGCGGCGCCTGCTGGGCTTGGTGGTGTGGGTCTGGGTGTTGGTGTTGGTGCGGTTTCAGGAGCTCCGCCTCCCACGAAAGCTGGAGGGAAGAAAGGTGCGGGAGTAGCAGCGGCAGCAAGCAAGCCTGCAGCTACGGCAAATGGAGAAGCAAGCCAAGAGGGGGCTCCTCTAGGTCTGGGTGGGGGGCTTGCTCCCTTGCCCGGTGGCAAGGGGAAGGGCAAAGCCAAGTAGTGAAATGGAAAGATCCTTTGGATAACTTCTGTAGGAAATTTTGGATCATTGAGGTGCACCGTGCACGTCACATGTATTGCAACCACAAACAAATTAGTGTATCGAACACAGAATGTGCTATCAGTTAGCTGTATGTCTTGGCCGCATGTCCTAATTGCAGGAGCTGCTGACATCTTGCAGTCGCATTACCGTGCGGTGCTCTTGAACATTCTCTCTCTAGAACGAGCTTGTATTTCTTTTTATTTGCACATTCGAGAGTAGTGTTCTCTGTGGTTCCTTGGTTCTCGCAAACAAGACCGAGGTCAGACTCCTCCAATGGGCTCCCAGCCAGCATTGATTTTTCCGTTGCACGAAGCTCGCGAACGCAGTAACCCCGCCATCCAGTGTGTGCATGGAAATCTCCGCGCCAATGTCCCTGACACATGTCAGAGGGAGTTCCCGCGTTATCGCCGCGCTTCGTGCTTCAGAAACCTCAGACTTCCGCTTTGACCAGTGGAAAAGGCCATCAAATTGGCCCTTGACAGCCTCGAGTTTCTCCGAAGCTCGGACGCTTTGGGAACTCCACGAATCTGGCGTAGGTATGGTTTGCCGTTTGTATGGCTTTGTGCCTAGCTGTCTTGGCTCGGAATATACCAAACCACCGAGGTTTGCCTCCTGAATTCAGATCTGGGCACGCATTCTGTCAGGCAAAAACTCTCATCCAACCTCCTGTGTCTGCTGGCTTACCCATGACAAGGATTATATAACCTCCTCAGAAACATCTTTTCATCACGCATCGAGTGTTGACGACCTGATATCGTCACACGAGAGCCTTCGAGCTATCCGCCTTCAAGCTTTCTAGCTTTCCTAGCCTTCTGAACCCTTCTAGATTTTTGAACACTAACTTAGCCACCATGCGTGAGTGCATCTCCGTCCACATCGGCCAGGCCGGTATCCAGGTCGGCAACGCTTGCTGGGAGCTCTACTGCCTGGAGCATGGCATCCAGCCTGATGGCCAGCTTATGACCGGCGAGAAGACCTGCGGAGGAGGCGATGACGCCTTCAACACCTTCTTCAGTGAGACTGGCGCTGGCAAGCACGTCCCTCGCGCTGTGTTCCTCGATCTGGAGCCGACTGTGATTGACGAAGTCAGGACCGGTGCCTACAGGCAGCTGTTCCACCCGGAGCAGCTCATCTCCGGCAAGGAGGATGCGGCCAATAACTTCGCCCGTGGTCACTACACCAGTAAGTATTTTTTTTTACTTACACGATGTTTCGCGTTTATTCGGCATGCTGATAAGATTACCTTTATGTTCCTTATGTGATTTTTTTTTTTTTTTTAACTTCGATTTTCCAACGTGATGTGATCGCAGTTGGCAAGGAGATCGTCGACCTGTGCCTTGACCGCATTCGCAAGCTTGCTGACAACTGCACTGGTCTCCAGGGCTTCCTCGTCTTCAACGCCGTCGGCGGTGGTACCGGTTCCGGTCTCGGATCCCTCCTCCTGGAGCGTCTGTCCGTGGACTACGGCAAGAAGTCCAAGCTCGGCTTCACGGTCTACCCGTCTCCTCAGGTGTCGACCTCCGTGGTTGAGCCTTACAACTCCGTGCTCTCCACCCACTCGCTCCTGGAACACACCGATGTCGCCGTGCTCCTCGACAACGAGGCCATCTACGACATTTGCCGCCGCTCCCTGGATATCGAGCGTCCCACCTATACGAACCTGAACCGTCTCGTGTCTCAGGTCATCTCTTCCCTGACTGCCTCCCTCCGCTTCGATGGCGCTCTGAACGTCGACGTTACGGAGTTCCAGACCAACTTGGTGCCGTACCCTCGCATCCACTTCATGCTCTCCTCCTACGCTCCGGTCATCTCTGCCGAGAAGGCCTACCACGAGCAGCTGTCCGTGGCTGAGATCACCAACAGCGCGTTCGAGCCTTCCAGCATGATGGCCAAGTGCGATCCTCGCCACGGCAAGTACATGGCCTGCTGCCTGATGTTCCGTGGAGACGTCGTCCCCAAGGATGTCAACGCCGCCGTTGCCACCATCAAGACCAAGAGGACTATCCAGTTCGTCGACTGGTGCCCTACTGGCTTCAAGTGCGGTATCAACTACCAGCCTCCCACCGTTGTGCCTGGTGGTGATCTCGCCAAGGTGCAGCGTGCCGTGTGCATGATTTCGAACTCCACCTCCGTTGCGGAGGTCTTCAGCCGCATCGACCACAAGTTCGACCTCATGTACGCGAAGCGTGCGTTCGTGCACTGGTACGTCGGTGAGGGCATGGAGGAGGGCGAGTTCTCTGAGGCCCGTGAGGACCTGGCTGCGCTGGAGAAGGACTATGAGGAAGTCGGTGCTGACTCCACCGAGCCTGGTGATGATGAGAACGAGGAGTACTAGATTGTATAGTTTGCACCTCTGCGCCAGACTTGTATTTTGTTTCAGTAATAAATCAACATACGCCATTTCGCTTCACAAAATTTGCTAGTACAGACCTACGAAACTATCTAGACCCATGTAACCCACCCGAGAAACGGGAGGAAGGGTAAACCAACCTCTCTTCCATCTTTCCTCCGCGTCCACCTCCCTTACAAGTTCCATCTCTCGCCTTCCTCCCATCTTTTCTGTGAGAAAGATACGGGCGCACATAAAAATACAGTACATGTTTTTCAGATAAAAGACCAGCATATTATGCAAGCTTCTACTGTCAAGGAAGGGCATTCGTCCCAACATCTACCAAGCTGCCATTGTAAGCTAAGTATGTGACAACTTTAGCCTTGTTTATCGTCAATTTTCTTCAGGTCTTTCATGTTGGTGGTCTCAACCCTGCAGACAAATGAGACAACGTTAAATCTCAGACGAAGTGAATGCACCTCAACAACGAAGAGAATAAGGAGGGCAGTTAGCGGAGTTGGAAAGAGTTAGGGCACTCACGTGCTTCCAAGTATGGCCAGCTTCTGAACTTTAGTCACATCATCACCAGACTGGTTGCTCTCGATGAATATAGTAAGACTGCGAAGGGGAAAAACTGTAAGAGATAGCTTATGGGCATGTAACTGCGAACGCTGAAAGTTCGTGTAATACCTTCTGACATTTTGAAACTTCACATATTTCAGGGGTGTTGCCTTCCCTTCCTGCAAAGTCAAGAGATTAACTATGATGATAAATTTGCACACTTTACAAAGTTTTAAAGTTTTCAGATGCAAAATATAGCCCCTTTCTCACCTGAACCTGATCAGCTGTAAGATTGATGGTGTCACTCGGCGGTATGTCGCTCACATTGCTGCGTCATACGAGATACTTTCTCAGACGTTGATGAAACGATAACAGATCATAAGGGAAAGCAAAAATGCCTTCGCATCCTACCTGAATCCCATGTTCGGCCTATTTGAGTAGAGCTTTATGCATTTGGGTCCTGCGAGCGCCAAGATGAAATATGAATCGTATTGGAGGGTTGAAAGAAAGATCACCACGCGGTCGCTTAATTCGTACCTTCTTCTTCGGGACCTTTGATCACAATCGAATGAAGCTTCACAACTTGGTTGAATGGGACGTAGACCAGTAGTTGCTCATCGACGTCGCTCTCTAAAAACAAGCCATCGTCCTCTCTATAACCCTGCAAAAAGTAACGAAAGAAACTCAAGGTGCGTCTCGACGTGCAACGGCGGCAGAGTCACGATCCCCGAAAGTATTTGCTGAAGGAACTGACCTGCTTGATTGCATTATCTACATTCTTCCCAGGTTTTGCGTTCAGACACTCCACTGATGGCCAGTCTACGCAGTCCAATAAATCAGCCTGTCAACCGATTAGGGAGATCATGAGACACGGAGCCGCCGAATGAACCTAAGTTATAGAGGAAGATAGCAAAGTAGCTTACGGACTTGGCCTTTGGCAGCCATGACGACGAGTGACACAGAAACGGATCTGTTGATAGCTTCTGAAATGTGATCACAATTTTTCGAATCGAAGAACCGAAACTTGCGAAATGGCATAGCTCACTTATTCGTAGATCACTCGTCTGTGGTTGACTGTATATCGATACAAGTGTTTTGAAAGTCATTTGTTAGTGGTAGTCAGTCTGTGGCTACCATTGTTACATTACTATATTTACCACATCATTAGTGTGCATGGAGGTAACTGATATGGGAACGAACTTAATGAGAAGCCATAGACTACTGTGTGGACGGACCATTCCATCAAGTTGTGCCCTTCTCCATAGCAGTACCAACGGCTCCAGTAGAGGACCCTGATGCAGCTCCATCTTCAGACACCTCCGGAATGGCTTCATCAATGCGACCTGGAGTTGCAAGGTTCAGAAGGAAAACCATTTAGTAATGAGAGACGGACGCAAAAGGAAGAAGCCTCAGAGATGATTTGTCGCAACCGGGAAATTCACCTTCCTACGACCAATCGCAAGCTCCCACACTTCCAGCTCAATATCATCCTTGGTCACTCCAACGCACATACCTGCACTCTGTTTTGGAGTCCACAGCTTAGGCACCAAAGCCTGTCCCTTCGCAACCAGTGAGCTCATCCCTTTCTCCTTCTCCCTCTCCATCTCCCCGCTCCTTGTTGGCACCACAGGAGATCCCCCACTCCCCTCTCCCTTCACCACCCCACTGTCCCCACCAACACTACCCTCCTCTCCACTTCCCCCACCACCTCCCCCTTCTTTCTCCTCCCCCCCCTGCTGCTTCTGCTGCTTTTGCTGCTGGTGCTGCTGGTGATGCCGGTGGTGGTGATGGTGATGCACCTGCTGCTGCTGCTGCTGCTCTTTGCTCTTAAGCACATGCTTGGCTCGCCCAAGCTGATCCTTAAACAGCCCTTTAACCGACGACACGAACCCATCTCCCATGCGCTCCCCCTTGTTCCCCAGCCGAGCCAGCAGCATCGACGCCCCGCCTCCCCCCACGGGCAGTGAACCCGCACCAGAACCACCAGCCGTGCTACCACTGCCGCCGCCCCCGCTGCTGCTGCTACTGCTGCCACTCACGCCTGTTGTACCGCCACCAGGAGCAGCAGCAGCAGCAGTAGCAGCAGTGGCAGAGGCGGCAGCAGTGCCAGCACCAGCAGAGCCTGTTCCTGCAGCAAACGAACCTTCCCCTGAACCGCTACTGGTGATGCCCACATTGCCCATGTGAGCACTGCTGCTGCTACCACTCGCAGCATTGGGAGCAGCACCAGGAACAGCAGAATCTGCCTCTGACCCACCCACCCTTCCCCCTCCTGCCCCCACACTCCCACCATAACTCCCATCACCCACCCCCTCCCCCCCTCCCCCTCCTCCCCCACCGGCCCCTCCTCCTGCCCCTGCTGCTGCTGCGAGGATTTTCCTGCCAGCCTTCCCATCCACCCCAGCCCCTGCTACCCCTCCTGCTGGTGCGCTCTCGTCGTCACTGTCACTCTCCGCCATCTCTGCTGCTGCTGCTGCAGCCGCTGCTGCTTGCGACTTGGATGGGGCGGTCGTGGTGGTGCTGCTGCCTGCTTGTAAATGCGCGTCCTTGAACTTACGACCCTGGAGTTGTAGGTCAGGGTTGAAGGGTGGGAAAAAGGGAGAAGGGGAATGGGAGGGTGTTGCATTGAAAACGAGCTAGCAGAAAGACCTCACAACACAGCCATATCTGCTGCTGCTGCTGCTGCAGCAGCAGCCACCTGCTTGCAGATGCGTGTCCGTGAACTTGCAGCCTTGAGATTAAAACAAAGAAAAGGGAGGAAGGGAACGAGGCAAGAAGAGGAGTGAAGGGGGCGATGCATTTAAATGACGAGCTGGCAAAAGAACATTCGAAGACAACCATCTCTGTTGCTGCTGCTGCAGCCACCGCAAACCTAAACTCCGTACAATGTGGTGCAGTGCGGTTCAGTGCAGTGCAGTGCGGTGCGGTGCGGTAACGTCTCACACTCACCTGCATGCCTGTGACAGACTTGAGCACCCCCCAGATGACGAGTTTCGTTAGTCGCGAGAAGAGCCAGCGCCATGGCCCCGTGTACTCGGTTCAGCGCAGTGCAGCACAGTGCAGTGCGGTGCAGTGCGATTATGCGGTTCCCACCTGCATGCCTGTGACAGACTTGAGCACGCCCCAGATGACATGCTTCCTTAGCCGGGAGAAGAGCCGGCGCCATGGCCCCGTGTACTCGGTGCGAGCAAACGTGTCCATGAGCAGACGCAGGTCGGTGACTGACACGGGATAGCCCTCGTACGTGATCAGCAGCTCCACCTGTGAGGGTTGGACAAGTGGAGAAAGGAAAGGTGTGGGCCTTAAGTGAACTCTCGCTGACTGAGACACCGAGACTGAGACAGGATAGCCCTTGTACGTGATCAAGAGCTCCACCTGACAAGTGGAAGGGGGGAGGAAGACGGCAAGGAAGAGGAGGGGAGAGGAGAGACATGGTTGAGAAAAAGATCACCCAGTGCCTACCAGTATGGGCAGGTGAACGTGCAGGAGCAGGGGCAAGTGAACGTGCAGGAGCAGGGGCAAGTGAACGTGCAGGAGCAGGGGCAGGTGAACGTGCAGGAGCAGGGGCAAGTGAACGTGCAGGAGCAGGGGCAAGTGAACGTGCAGGAGCAGGGGCAGGTGAACGTGCAGGAGCAGGGGCAAGTGAACGTGCAGGAGCATCCAACCCATACCTGACTGGCGTAATCACCCACCTGGCTGAACTTGAGGTTCTGAATATACACCGCTTGCCTCCTCGTCCTCCTCTGCTCTTCCAGTGCCAACTTCTTCCTCCTCTCCTCCTCCTCACCTCAGTCGATTAACAAGCACCCATACCTGACCGGTGCAATCACCCATACCTGACTGAACCACGAAACACCCACCCACCTGGCTGAACTTGAGGTTCTGAATGTACACAGCCTGTCTCCTCGTCCTCCTCTGCTCCTCCTGAGTCGACTAACAGACACCCATACCTGACTACGAAGCTCCCACACTCAACCATGAAGCACCCACACTCAACCATGAAGCACCCACCCACCCACCTGGCTGAACTTGAGGTTCTGAATGTACACCGCCTGTCTCCTCGTCCTCCTCTGCTCCTCCAAAGCAAGCTTCTTCCTCCTCTCCTCCTCCTTCAGCTCCATCCGCATCCTCCTCTTCTCCAGAAGCTCCCTCTTCTCCCTCTCCCTCATCGCCACCCTCTCCTCTGCCTTCAGTTTCCTCCTCTCCTCCTGCTCCTTCTTATCCCTCCCCTTCTTCTTCTCACTCGCTCCCCCCGCGTCCTTCTCCCCCTTCCCTCCCCCATCTCCGCCCTCTCGAATCCCTTCCAAACTCAACCCTCTCGCACCCGCAGACCCGCCCATTCCCCCGCCCCTGCCTCCTGCTCTATACCCCAGCCCAGCACCACTACCAGCTCTACCAGGGGGGTTCGCCAGGTGGAGAGGGGCTGAGGAGGAGTGAGTGAGAGGAACAGCAGAGGGACCTGCAAGAGACCCGGAAGGGAAGGCATCCCTGCCAGGAGAAGAATCACCGGCACCAGAATATGCACCAGCAGCAGCCGCAGCAGCAGCAGCAGCAGCAGTATCAACGCCAATAGCACCGCCCAGCACAGCACCAGCGGCAGCACCAGCAGCGGCAGCAGAGGTGGGGTATCGGTCTGCTGAGAATGCGCTTGCATGGGCTCGGAACGTGGGGCTGCTCTGAGAGCGACTGACCACGTAGGAGGGCAGAGGGGAGCGCGATGGGAGCGATGGGACGGGTGGAAGGGCGACGCGGAGGAGGGGAAGGGGGAGGTAGGCGGAGGGGAGCGAGGAAGGGAGGTAGGAGGAAAGCGAGGGGTTCGAAGGGAATGAGCCAGGGCCAGAACCGGTGGAGGTGAAGCTGTCTGTGGTGGAGCGGCGCTGGTGGGGGGAGAGGGGGATGAGGAGGGAAGAGGGGAGAGAGAGGAGAGAGAGGAGGGGAAATGAGGGAGGGAGGAGGGGAATGAGCCGGGGCCAGAACCGGTGGAGGTGAAGCTGTCTGTGGTGGAGCGGCGCTGGTGGGGGGAGAGGGGGATGAGGAGGGAAGAGGGGAGAGAGAGGAGAGAGAGGAGGGGAAATGAGGGAGGGAGGAGGGGAGTGAGCCGGGGGCAGAGCCGGTAGAGGTGAAGCTGTCTGTGGTGGAGCGGCGCTGGTGGGGTGAGAGGGGGATGAGGGGGAAGAGGGGGGAGAAGAGATGTGGTTGAGAGATCGGGGATCAAGGGAAGGGAAGGAGGGGAGGGAGCCAGAGGCAGAGCCGGTGGAGTTGATGGTGTCAGAGGTGGAGCGACGCTGGTGGGGTGGGGAAGGGGTTCATGGGGGCAGGGGGAAAAGGAGGGGAAGGGGGTTAGTGAGGAAAAAGGGGAACGGATGGAGAGCAGGAAGGGAATAGAGGAGGGGAGGATGGCCCTCCTCTCTGAGACGGGGTGCAAGGAGAACGACTTTTGAGTCGACTCAAAAGTGGACTCATCACACGCGGAGGATGGCCAGGGATTTTCTCCTCGACTCTCTGAGATAGCCAAGGATCTGAAGAGGGTGCAAAGAGAAGGATCTGGGTTTATATAAAGACCTGAAGCGTTTTGACAAAATTCTGAAGAGCTTCAACGAGAGTTGAGTAAGGTTTGACAAACATGAAGAGTGCTTGCATTGCACGCTCTAAAATATTTCTACTCTTTTTTAGGCGCCCCAAGCCTAGCTTTTGGATGCTCTAGATCGTTTAAAACATTTTCGAGGCACCTCAAAACTAGCCTCTCCACTCCACGCTCTCTAAATTGTTTATATTGTTTTTTTGGCACCTCAAAGCTAGCCTTTGCACGCTCTAAATCGTTTAGATAAGTTCAGGAATTGTTGTAGGAGGGTAGGAATCAGGCGTATAAAGTGTTGGTGCAACCCTACAGTTTGCACTCGGCTTGTTGTCCGTGTGCGTGCATGCGTGTGTGCATGGAATGGTATAGTCGAGTGTGCAAATGGATGCACATTTGAACCTATTGTGACTATAACATTTGAATGTGTGCATTCATTATTATAATAGTGTGTGAATGATGAGTCATGATGTTGAATGTGTGTGTCGAGTCAATAGCGAGTTATCGCTAGTCGCGGGTCACGTTGTCGTTTGTGTCTCGTGCGCAACTTCTATTTTGTCGTGTGTCGAACGTTCGGCGTGTCGCAGGTGTGTGCAGCAAACCATTCAAGAACTCAAGAATGAGTTTATGGTGGAAACTCAGAGTCTTGGACTTAAAGATAGTGAAAATAATTACATTACAATGTGTAGTGTAACATTACCCTTGGTGTAGGCCCTTGTGAATGTAATTTCGAGACTCTTCGTGGTTGATGACAATGTGGCACTATTCCACATCATTGTACCTCGGCTCTTGGGGTTTGTAGAGGCTGGGAGTCATTCCCAACTCGTAACTCTTCCTAATTTGTGTTGTAAGACTATAGTGGTTGTCATAGTGGCGTTCGTTCAAACCAGCGTTGCGTCGTCAATACTTGATGAAATTGTATAAATCAAATTGCTTATTGTAGGCGACGTCAAGACGCTCCAGATCCAATTTGTAGCATGTCATTTGGAGCTGTGACCAGAACGCTATGAACGTTTAAAGCCGCTGTGCATAAATCGAACTGCACTCTATCTTTCGTTTTAGGCACATTTGAACCTATTGTGACTATAACATGAAGCGAGGAAAGAAAGAGGCTTACGATAGTCTCGTCGCCCAGCAGAGCAGAGGGCGGAGCTGACGTCTGGTGCTTCAGCGGGCGAGTCTCCTCCCCACCCTTCCTCCCCGCGGCCCCCGCACCCGCACCTCCAACAGTTGTTGACATGGGGAAGGTCCCACCAGCAGCAGCACTGCCGGCAGCAGCAGCAGAGGAGGAGAGGGTGTCGGGAGCAGTGGAGCGGCGTTTGTCCTTCTGCTTCACAGGGAGCGCCACAGGACCCCACATCTCCTGGGGTGTGAGAGAGGAGAATTTGGATGGCATAGCAGAGGAAGCAACAAGGAGAGATGAGCAGTGGGGAAAGTCGCAGCAAGAGTACATGGCACACGGAAGAACAGCACGTGAAGGGCAAACACAGCTGTGCTACACATAGCTGTCCTGTGGAGGCTTTTTTAATCCATATTCAGTGATATGAATCAAGTGGTAAGTGGCATCAAGGAGAGGTAACCAGGGGTAATATGAGCTAACCTGCTTCCGAAGCTGTTCGTCCGGTTGCTTGGCAAAGAGATAGTCCCACACAACTCAGAACATCTGCTCCGTTGGTATTGCGTCTGATATTTCGTAAAAGTTCCACGGTAGCAAGAGGCTTCACGAGGTGCCAAGTGGTATAAGGAGCTGACCTGCTTCCTGAGTTGTTCGTCTGGCTCCTTGGCAAAGAGATAGTCCCACACCACTCGGTACATCTGCTCTGTCAGGTAGATGCGCAGCGGGTAGATCTCCACCTGCTCATGCACACGCACACGCACATATGCACGCACGTGCTCAAACAGTGAGTGAAGAATGGCTTTATTATGATGCCTCCCAGCAGCCCACAGCAGTGAGTGAAGAATGTCAGGTACATGCACAGTGGGGGAGAGTCTTTATCAAAAGAGGCAGCAAGAATTGGCAACAGGCAGCACTTTCATGCAGAAATGTTTGCGTTTCATCTCTCCTGGGGCGTTTCATCTCGCCTCAAGGGTTTCATCTCACCTCAGGCGTTTCATCTCATCTCGGGCGTTTCATCTCACCTCAGCGCTTCATCTCATCTCAGGCGTTTCATCTCACCTCAGGCGTTTCATCTCACCTTAGGCGTTTCATCTCACCTCAGGCGTTTCATCTCACCTCAGGCGTTTCATCTCACCTCAGGCATTTCATCTCACCTCAAACGTCTCAATGGGGGAGACACCGTCGACAGGTTTGCCAATCTTTCCCACCACTCGAATCATTGCATGGCTGCAACATGCATGGCATGGGGTGGGGGATGGGGGGAGAAAGAGGATTGGGGAAAAGAGGAGGGATGAGGGGACCACTCAAACCTTGGCGTGGCTGCAACACGCATGGCATGGGGTTCGAAACAGGAGGGGACAAGAGGGAGGATGGCATGGGGGCTGGCCAACAAAGGAATCACAGCCAGATATAGCATGAGGTTATCTGGTTATCCGTTCACAACCAGATATTAGCATGAGGTTCTGATAACGGACACTGGAGACACATGGGCTGTGTTTCGTGGTGTGGTGTGTTGGGGGTTGGGGGAGATTGAAGGGCAAGCACTGACCGGGACCAGTTGGGAGGAGGGTTCCAGGCGGAGAGCACGAGGCGTGACTTGGCTTGTTTAAAGCACGGGTCAGTGAGGTGGAATGGGGAAGGCAGAACGAGGAGTGGCGGGCACTGACCGCGACCAGTCGGGAGGGGGGTTCCAGGCGGAGAGCACGAGGCGTGACTTGGCTTGAGGCAGGCAGTTGCGCACAGCGATGGACTTGATGACAAAACACGCCATGCCAATGTCGTTGAAATCCCTGTCCACGTTCAGGAGCTGATGTGAGGGGGGGAGGGGGTTTGGGACATGGTGTGTGTGTGTGTGTGTGTGTGTGTGTGTGTGTGGTAAAAATGGAGAAAGAGGAGAGGGAAGGCTTTTGAGACGTCTCAAGAGAGGGGAGGGGGTTTTGGGAGATGGCGTGTGTGTGTGGTAAAAATGGAGAAAGAGGAGAGGGAAGACAGGAGGGAGGAAGGGGGTGCAACACTGAGAAGCATGCCGTGCCATGCCATGCTGAGAAGCATGGCGTTGAATTCCTTGTACACGTGGCCATGGCCATGGCCATGGCCATCACTCAGTGCCCAAACCCATCCCTCCATCGCCCTCCACCCCCCTCCCACCACCCTTGTCAAGCACGCACCATGTGTTGGATCTCAGCCTCGGCAAACACATGACCATCGCTCAGTGCCCAACCCCATCTTTCCTCCCCATCTCCCTTACTTCCCCACCTTCACAGCCACACCACTCACCATGTGTTGGATCTCAGCCTCGGCAAACACATGACCATCGCTCAGTGCCCAACCCCATCTTTCCTCCCCATCTCCCTTACTTCCCCACCTTCACAGCCACACCACTCACCATGTGTTGGATCTCAGCCTCTGCAAACACATGACCATCGCTCAGTGCCCAACCCCATCTTTCCTCCCCATCTCCCTTACTTCCCCACCTTCACAGCCACACCACTCACCATGTGTTGGATCTCAGCCTCTGCAAACACATGACCATCACTCAGTGCCCAACCCCATCTTTCCTCCCCATCTCCCTTACTTCGCCACCTTCACAGCCACACCACTCACCATGTGTTGGATCTCAGCCTCTGCAAACACATGACCATCGCTCAGTGCCCAACCCCATCTTTCCTCCCCATCTCCCTTACTTCCCCACCTTCACAGCCACACCACTCACCATGTGTTGGATCTCAGCCTCTGCAAACACATGACCATCACTCAGTGCCCAACCCCATCTTTCCTCCCCATCTCCCTTACCTCCCCACCTTCCCACCCACACACCATGTGTTGGATCTCAGCCTCTGCAAAGACGTGTCCATCACTCAGCAGCGACCATGCGGCCCTGCCAATGGTCCAGATAACCGCCACTGCAGCCCCTTAACAAGTTGGTTACTCACCATATGCTGAATCTCCGCCTCTGCAAACACGTGCCCATCACTCAGCAGCGACCATGCCGCGCGGTCGATGGTCCATATGACCGCCACTGCAGACGACGGCTGCTTCTGCTTCTCCCGCTGCTGCCGCGCCGCCCGCCCCAGCGCCGCCCGGCACTCCTGCCTCGCCTCCCGCAAGAAAGCTCTGCGCACGAGGTACTCTCCCTTGAGAGCAGCGACCTGCGAAAGGGACGAGGGGATGAGAGAATGATTAGGGTGACAATGAGGGGAACTTGAAAGCCGCCTGCAGGAAAGCTCTGCGCACGAGGTACTCTCCCTTGAGAGCAGCGACCTGAGAGGATGAGGGGATGAGAGGACGACGCAGGGAAAATGAAAATAATTGGCCGTCTCAGAAAAGTCACCCACGGGTAAGCTCTGCGCACGAGGTACTATCCCTTGAGAGCAGCAACCTGAGAGGATGATTGTAAAAATGATATAACGTGACGGAATAAGAGGATGATTAGGGTGCCAGCGACGGGAACTTAGAGATCTCTTGAAAGCCGCCTGCAAGAAAGCTCTGCGCACGAGGAACTCTCCCTTGAGAGCAGTGATCTGAGAGGATGATTGTAGTAAGAATAATATAACGTAAGGGAAAATTGGAAACTAAATTTGTTTCAGAAGCCGCCCGCAAGAAAGCTCTGCGCACATGGTACTCTCCCTTGAGAGCAGCGACCTGGGGAACGGAGGATTAGAGGGTGACGACATGGGGAACTTAGAAGCCTCAAAGCCTCCCGCAAGAATGCCCTGCGCACGAGGTACTCTCCCTTGAGAGCAGCGACCTGGGAAAAAAAGGATGAGAGGATGACGATGCGAAAATAAGAATAACTAGCAGTCCAAGAAAGGTCACCCGCAGTTCGTTATTCAGCAAGCCGAGAGGCAGACGGTTCAAGAGAAGAGGGTACGGCCTTCACGTTATCAGGGCCCCGCTGCCAGTCACGAGAGAAACGACACAGTCACCGGCACCATGGGCGGCGCGAGCACTAGGCTCTTGTGGGTCGGATCCTCCTCTCTTCTCCAAAATCAGACAAGTGCTGTCTGAGTCGTTTCAGCTAGCCACACACACCAGGGGGACGACTCACGCACACACACACACACACACACACACTCACCAGCACCATGGGCGGCGCGAGCACAAGGCTCTTGTGGGTCGGATCCTCCTCCTCTAGAACCAGCCGCCCCGACCCAAACACACCCGCATTCCCCGCTCCTCCCCCTCCTCCTCCATCCCAGCTTCCAGCAAACGCCAGCTCGGGCCCCTGAGCCCTGGAGGCGGTGAGGGCGGCTGTGCTCCAGAGGTCCAGGATGAGGGCGTTCACTGCCCGCTGTGCTAGCTCCGCTTTCACCTCCGCCCCCTCCACCTCGGGAACTCCGTCAGGCCGGGATCCGTACTCTTCCTCCTCCTCCTCGTCCTCGTCCGCGTCAGGTCGCACCTTTGGCTTCTTCAGCCTGGATGAGGGGGGGGGTGGGGGCGGGGTGTTGGAAGGTAGGGACACAAATATCAAGACCCGCACTCCTCTCCTCCTCCAGAGGTCCTGGATAAGCCAGCTCGGGCCCCTGAGCCCTGGAGGCGGTGAGGGCGGCTGTGCTCCAGAGGTCCTGGATGAGGGCGTTCACTGCGCGCTGCGCCAGCTCTGCCTTCACCTCTGCCGCCTCCACCTCGGGAACTCCGTCGGGGCGGGACCCGTACTCTTCCTCTTCTTCCTCATCCTCGTCTGCGTCGGGTCGCACTTTTGGCTTTTTCAGCCAGGATTGGAGAGGCGAAGGGGGCGAGGGGGTTGAGGGGGGCGAGGAGGTTGAGGGGGGTGAGGGGATGGGGAGGAGAAGGGATTTCCGGGAGGAGAGGTGATTGCACCGTGGGTGCATGTGAAGGGAGGTCTCGTGTTTGGAAGTGAAAGAAGCTAGGAGTGTGTAGGGGTTGAAAACTCACTTGGGCGTGGGCGCGAGCGCAAGGTTCATAATGATGTCGGTGAGCGTCTGGAACTGCTGGGAGGTCATGGTGGCCGTGATGTTGGGCACGCTGAAACTCACTTCCTTCAGCGGCTTCTTCTGCAGACACAGAAAATGCGGACGACGGGGCAGAAGTGAAGCAAAGGGGAGGACGGGACACGGGAGTGGGTGGTTCTGGTGGCAGTGACGCTGCAAGTGGGCATGCTGGCTGGCACTCACGTCCTTCAATGGCTTCTTGTGCATCAGATACACAATGGGTTGGGGGTGAAGGTCTCTTGTGTTGTGAAATTAAGATTACCTGAGCACGAACTTGGGAGGTGGAGCCTGGAGCATTACTCACCTGGGCACCCTGAGAACCGCTCTTGCATCGCGTGTACTCCAAAACATGGTGCACGGCGCATGCATGGTGGTGCACGGCGCATGCATGGTGGTGCACGGCGCATGCATGGTGGTGCACGGCGCATGCATGGTGGTGCATGGTGGTGCATGGTGGTGCATGGTGGTGCATGGTGGTGCATGGTGGTGCATGGTGGTGCATGGTGAATGGTATTCTGTGATCATCATTATACGCTCCTCACCTGGGCGCCCTGTGAACCACTCTTGTATCGTGTATACTCCAGGTACATGGTGCACGGCTGAAACACCTGCTTCAGCAGGTGGCTACCCTCCATATCCCCGCTACTAGCAGCCCCCCTTCCCAGCATCAGCACTCCGTTCGACCCAACACCATCATCATAATCACCATCACCATCCCCAGCACACCCACTAGCAAAATCACCTTCCGATCCCCTCCCAGTCATCCCCCCACTCCTCCTCCTCCCCTTCCCCCGCCTCCCTCCCCCCCTCCCTCCTCCCCGCCTCCCCGCACCCATGGGCACATGGGCCAACCACTGCACGCCAGCTGTCAGGTCCACGTCAGTGGGTGCCACGTAGGCCTGCACGTTCTCCAGCATGACTGCCAGCTCATGCCGGTTCCACTGAATCGTGTCCAGGTCATCACCGAATCCCGGCATGATGTCAGACGTGTGCGGGGGTGGAGGGGCTAGGGAAGCCACTGCTGCTGCTCGTGGTGATGCTGCTGCTGCTGCTGCTGCTGCTGCTGCTGCTCCTGCTCCTGCTTCTGCTCCTGCTCCTGCTTCTGCTCCTGCTCCTCCTGACCCTGTCCCTGTCCCTACTCCCACCCCTGTCCCTTCCGCTGCGCCTGCTGCTGCCGGTGCTGCCACTGGCGCTGCTGCCACTCCTGCTCCTGCTGCTCCTGCAACCCCAGCTGCAACTGACCCCGGTACAAGGGGAGCGGAGTCTGCGGTACTAAGGGTGGAGAGAGGAAGAGCGGAGGAGGATAAGGTAGAGGCGTTGGAGGAAGAGGAAGGGGAGGGAGGCACGGTGGAGGGAGGGGTGCTGGTCAGGGAGAGAGCAGGTGGAGCAGAGGAGATGGAGGAGGAGGGGGGAGGAGGAGGAGGAGCAACCGAGGAGGAAGAGGGGAGAGGAGGGGGAGGAGTGATGGAGGCAAGGGCCTCGATGGCCCCGGCAAAGACTGAGTGGAAGGTGCGAGCGAGCACACGACCGCTCTTGGCAGCGAGGAGGAAGCGGCCCTGAGGAGTTAGAGAGGGGGCGGTGGGAGAGTGGAGGGGAGAGGGGGAAAAGGGGAAGACAAAGGGAGTTAGAGAAGGGAGGAAAGCTAGCGGGCATGAATCTGAGAAGATTGAGTCGAAGGTGCGAGCAAGCACACGCCCGCCCCTGGCAACAAGGAGGAAGCGACCGGGGGGTTGGGGGGTGGCGGGAAGGGGCGCGGATAGGAGAAGGAAGAGGAGACAGACGGTTGGAGAGACAGACGGAGGAGACAGACGGAGGACCACCAAGTGTTGTGTTGCAGAGGGTTGGTTGACGGGCGAGCAAGCACACAAGCACTCTTGGCAGCTAGGGGGAAAGATGCTGCGGGAAGATACAAGAGGCCATTCACGACACATGACTGCACTCCTCCACAACGCACACTCGCATTTTCCAACTTACGTGCGCATCTTCAGAGTGGAAGTTGAACTGCGGCCGAATGATGTTGATCATGTAGTTCAACGTGCAATTGTCCTCCTCTCCCCCCGCCCCCATACCCGCCGCCACAGCCCCCATACCTCCCCCTCCCCCACCACCACCCTCAGCAGCACCCCCAGCAGCAGCAGCACCAGCCACACCACCTCCCCCTCTCTGTGGCCCCTCCACCGCTCCCGCTCCCTCTCTTGCCGCTTTCGCTTCCGCTTCCGCCGCTGCCGCCGCAGCCTCAGCAGCAGCAGCGGCCTTAGCCGCCTCCTTTTCCGCCTTCTCCGCAGCAATCTGCGCCGCCACTTGTTGCGCCACCAGCGCCGCCCCCACCACCGGCGGCGGCACCCCCCCGGCCGCCTCCAGCCTCTTGCGTTGCGCCAGCTGGCGCGACGGGGACGGCTTGTCTGACGCGAATCCGCGCTGGAACTCCGCCATCCACGCCCACAGAGCGTCCCTGTTGCGGATGGTGAGGAGGAGTCTTAGCCCCGGGACCAGGATCCTCCAGCAGTCGTCTGCTACTAGCAGAGCAAGGATGTCTGCTAGATCCTGCTCCGCCTCCCCCTCTTCCTCCCCCTCCTCTCCCTCCTCATTCCCCACCCCTCCCTCCTCCCCCTCCATCCCCTCCTCACCCTCCTCTCCATCACTCGCTGAGCCCTCCTCCTCCCCGTCAAAGTTGCTGATCCGGCTGCTGCTCCCCTTCCTACTCCCACCCAACCCCCCTCTGCTGCTCCCCTCCCCGTCCGCTCCTGCTCCTCCCCTCCCCCCTGCCTCCCCACCACTTGCTGCCCCCATGAGCCAACTCTTCCACCCCTCCCCAACACGCCACTTCTGGATCTGCTCCGCATTCCCATCAGGTGCCTGCTTCCTGATCATCACCCCGTCACACGACATCAAGAAGCTCTGATCAGCCTTCGTCCACCCTTCCCCCACAATCCTGCTGCTACTGCTGCTGCTGCTCCGAAATCCTGCTGCCCCCGTGCCTCCCCCCCCGCCCCCTGCTTCCTCCCCTAGCGCCCCTCCCTCTCCCCTTCCCCATCCCTGCTGCCGCCCCTCTCCCCTTCCCCCCCATCCAAAGCTGCTGCCGCCGGTGCTTCGTCTGGTAACCAGCCCTTTACCCAGTGGCCCCCTCTCAGCCACCCCTCCCACCTCATCCTCCCCCATCAGCAACTCCAGAATCTTCTCAGAAGCTTCATCCCCTTCCAAAACCCGCCCACTCGTCCCACCAACACCCCCTCTCCCCGCTCCCCCTCCTCCCCCTCCACCCTCCATCCCCCCACCTCCTTCCTGCCCATCCCCTTCCCCCTCCCCGCTCCCCGGTTCCTCCACCACTATCCTCATCCGCACAACATCAAGCCCCGTATGCGCCGTCTTGAAACTCGGCCGTCTCGTCTTCCCATCCCACGCCTTCAGGTTCCTGCTATAACACAACTCATACACCAACTCATCCACCAGCAACACCAACCCCTCCGCCGGGTCTGGGTTCCGGAACGAGTAATGCCGCCACGCCCCTGGGGCGATATGCAGCCGGATCAGCATCTCAGACATCACCTGGCTGAGGTTCAGGTTGCCGGATTTGGGTTTTCTTGCGATGCCGTAGCGGCGGCGGCCGAAGTTCCGGAGCTTGTGGGAGGAGAGGTACATGAGGTTGTAGAACTTGAACAGCCACTTGATGTCGTGGCTCGCCAGGTTGAACGTCGGCTGGCGCACTCCCCCCCCACCAGCAACCTCAAACCCTCCTCCCAACCCTCCGCTTCCTCCCATCCCTCCGCTTCCTCCGATTCCTCCTCCTCCGATGCGTGGACTGTCAAAACCGCCAGCCACAGCAGCAGGTGCACCCCCACCTCCTCCTCCCCCTCCCTCTCCTCCGCCTCCCCAACTCCCCGCTCCCACCTGCCAAGGTATATTACCCGATGAAGTTCTTCTGTGTCTCAGCGAGTGCCCATGCCCGCTTGCACCCAGCCCCGCCCCTGAATCTCCTCCTCCTACTGCTCCTCGCGGCCAATCACCAGGCTGGGATGCGCTGCCGTTTTCGAATCCAACGGACGAGAACGACCCGCCGCTGCTTGACCGGTGGGCAGTTGAGCTGCCCGAGAAGAAATCTTCGTCCTCGGGGAAGCGGTGGGAGGAGGAGGAGGCTCGGGAGAACGAAGCGGAAGACAGAGATGTGGAGCGCGGTATAGCTGGTACTGCCGGGGATGCATGAGAGTGCCTGCCTAGACCAACGGTTGCACCCGCAGCAGCAGCAGCGTTGCCAGCACTAGCTGCACCTGCACCAGCAGCAGCAGCAGAGCCAGAGGCAGGGAGATCAACGGCACTGCTGCTTCGACCAACCCTCACCCCACCAGCCCCACCAGCATCCGCACTGCTCTTCCCTTTCTTCTCCCCTTTACTATGAATCACACTCGCCTGCTCCTTGGACAAAAACCGCCAGTCCCACCGGAAATTCATCCCCACAGACCGGAACGGATCGTACAGAACCGTTCTCATGCCCGGTTCCGTCGGCAGCGCGTGCAGGTAATGCGCGCACGCGTCCCCATTCCCCTCCACCTCCCAGTCTATCCTAATATCCAGCTCCAGCACCGGCGTCTCTATCGCAGGCGCGCGAAGAAACTCGTCTCCCTCCCACCGCCCGCCCTCCGCTCCCCCGCCCGTTCCCCTCCCAATCCCGTCCGACCCTCCCTCTCTCACCCACGCATCTGCCTTCCTTAACGGATCCTCCGGAACGCTCGACATGTGCGCCTCTAGATCCTCCCCTCGCACAAACATTTGCCCCTTCTTCTGGGAAAACACCAGCCGGGACCCCACCAGCGTGAGCATGTCGTTTTGCTCGTACGGATCCACAGTCGCCTGAACAAACACCTGATAGTCCAGAGCCACGAACTGCGCATGCCCGTGCATGTAATACCGCATAATGTCCCACCACGGCAAGCTCCTTTCCACCGGCGGCCAGACCGGAGGGGCGGCAGCAGGGTCTGCAGCAGCCGCAAGAGCAGGCACAGACAGGGTGTTTTGCACCGGAGGGTACGGCTTCCCAGCCGCTGCTGCCGCCGCAGCCGCCGCCGCAATCACCTTCGCCTGCCTCGTCGTCGGCTGGCCCTTCCTCACTGCACACGTTACCGCGTAACTCACATCGGCAAACAGCATCGGCTCGTACCCCACCCCGTACGACAGATCAGCCGATTCAAACTCCGCCTCGGCCTCATAGTAGAATTTCAACGGAGGCGTTGCTCCGCTGGCCGTTCGCAGCACTGTCACCCGGCGGAACCTTCCCAGAAACACGTCGGACTTCTGCTGCGGCTGGTACACTGTGGCCTGCGCCGCCATGATCGCCGTCCCACGAAGCTTCGCGGAAGCAGCCGCAAACAGCGGCAGAGGGAAATCCCTCAGGGAAAACTTCAGCCCCACACACGAAAGCTCCAATGCTCGCCCGTACATCCTGGCAATGGGTACCTTGTCCGACGCAGGAACCGTGTCTAGCTCGCGAATCTTCGCCACCATGCCTTGCCGCCCGTGCTCGATTGGTATCAGAGCCAGCTCTGCAAACGCAAACCACAGGCTAGCAGCGCTTCTACGAGTAGTGGTCATCGGAAACTTTTCATTCAGCCCGATTTTATACGCCCAGCCTGTGCCTGGATCCTTCACAAGATTTTCGCACGCTGCTTTGTACGCAAGGCATGCCCGCCGGTGCAGATCCTCCCGGGCAGCCTGGAAACGTTCCCGGAAAAGTTTCAACCTGACCGCAGTACCCTTGGCTTCGCCTGTAGCTTGCGTAGCCCCTACAGCCTCTGCTGCAGCCGCTGCTGCAGCCAACACTTGCGGACTCACGCCTTTCCCCCCTCCGCCCCCTCCAACCCCCCCTCCTCCCCCTCTCCCATCCTGAGGTGACTTCTCCCCATCCCCCCCTCCTGCTGCCTCCCCAACACGCCCCTCCAAACCAGCGGGAAAAATATCCCCGCCCATCAGATTCTCCTCTTCTTCCTCCAGCAATCTCTCCCTCACCAGCCTATCTTCAACCAGTGGTCTCATAAGCTGCCTCCTCTCGTCCAGCCACCCTTGTATTGGCTCTTCCTCCACCTCTAAAAGCAGCTCCTTCACTATAAGGCGTATGAGGCCTTTCTGACGCGCAGGGGGCTTCTTGGGCTTGGGGGCGGAGGAGGAGGAAGGCACGGTGGGGGGGATTACGCCCTCTGCCTCTGCTGCTGCGGCAGCTGCAGCTGTTGCCACGGCTAGTGCTGCTGGATCGCCCACTGCTGCCGCCGGGCCTGACCCAGCAGCAGCAGCAGCAGCACCAGCACCAGCAGCAGCAGCAGCAGCAGCAACACCAGCAGCACCACCAGCGGCAGGAGCAGCAGCAGAGACAGGTCCAGCAGCAGCGCCAGCAGCAGCGCCAGCAGCAGCTCTTTCCTGGCACAAGCGCCTTGCCTGGCGGGCCATCTTCTGGGCGGCGGTGACGGCCTTGAGCACGCGCATCATGTCCTCTGCACTGTCCTCCACTGCCCGCACCTCAAACTGGAACGGCAGGATGAAGCGCGATGAGCTCGCTTGAATCACATAATCCCACACTGTAGGTGTGCTCTCCCCTGGCTGTGGTGGGGGAGCGGTGGGAGGTGCAACCACCACTGGCGTTGCACTGGGCACGCGCGAGACCTGGAGGGGGGAGGGTTGGGGAAGAACAGGATGAAGCGGGGTGAGTTTGTCTGAATCGCATCGCATCGTCCCACACCTGGATAAAACGTGATATCTATCCTCCCCCACAGGGCTGTGGCAGTAGGGCAGAGGGAGCTGCAATGCAACCGCACTTAACCCCCGTTGACCCTCACTGACCCCCATTGACCCCATTGACCTGGACCCACCTGGAACGACTCGCTAAAGAGCATGGCAGCTCCATTGATCCGCAATGCCAGCCCCTCCAGAAGCGCCCCCATGGCCGCGTCCTCTGAGAATAATCCCTTCGCCTCCACACGCATCTTCGTCTCATTACCATTGGCGACGGTTGACTGCCATTGACCCCCATTGACCCGGACTCACCTGGAAGGACTCGCTGAAGAGCATGGCCGCCCCGTTGATGCGCAACGCCAGCCCCTCCAGAAGCGCCCCCATGGCCGCATCCCCAGACCAGACCAGAGAACAGCCCCCTGGCCTCCACGCGCATCTCAGTCTCTCAACTATCAATACCACCTTTGAATGAAGCGCCTAAGTACTGTGTTGGAGGGACCTCAGTCACTCACCTGGAATGACTCGCTGAAGAGCATGGCAGCTCCATTGATGCGCAACGCCAGCCCCTCCAGAAGCGCCCCCATGGCAGCGTCCTCTGAGAATAATCCCTTCGCCTCTACACGCATGTCTGTCTCGTCGCCTATCCCCACCGTCACCACCACCCCCGTCACATCCACTGCCACCACCGGCTTCGGCTTCTTCGCCTTCACGGGCTTGCTCGGGTTCGCCGGGGCTGCGGAATCGCCAGCAACCGCTGCTGCTGCTGCTCCTGCTGCTGCTGCTCCTGCTGCTGCAGCAGCAGCGGTATCCGATGGTGATGGCGATGCCCCTGCGCCACCGACGCAGCTGTCGCTGTTCCTGCGCCAGATACCACCCCCAGAACCACCCTCGATCGCAACCGCAGCACCGGCGGACTTGGCAACTCCAAAGGAGCGCCTGCCCTCACCACTGGCACTGGGTGCCATCGGTGGCAGCGATGCTCCCATGCTGTTACTGCTGGCCCTGGGCGTGGTGCTGCTGCTGCTGGTGCCTCCTGCTGCTGCTGCAGCTGACGCACCTAGCTGAGTCCCACCTTCTCTCCCGAGCAGACTCGCATCAAGACTACCACCTGATGTGACAAGCTTCCCTGCACCACCCCCTCCCTCTCCCTTCCCTCCCTTCTGCTCCTGCACCCGCTGCTGCGTCTCCTGCTCTGCCTTCTGCTCTGCCTTCTGCTGTGCCTGTTGCTGATTCACCCGTGCCTGCTCCGCCTCCCCTTCTCTCTCTGCCATCGCCCGCCATTGCTCTATCACAGCCTTTCTCCGACCCGTCAACTCCTTCACCTCCTCCCCTACCTCCACCACCAGAACCTGCACGTCCGGCTCCCACCGAGCCTCCAGCCCAGCTGCGGTAACGACCACCCGGTCCGGTGCCGGACCTCCGTCCGGACCTAGCAGCCCCTTCCGAAGCAACACGTGTGCCATTTGTAACTGGCACACCACAACCTCTGCTATCACCCCATCCTGCCTCCTCCCACCTTCCCTCCCCACTCTCTTCTCTTCCCCTCCCTTCCCTTCCAAACCCCCTTTTCCCAACCCAGGACCACCACTCCGCACCCCACTCCCCACCTCCCCCACCTCCCCTTTCTCCACATACACCACTCTCGCCCCTTCCACCCCCACCTGCAACTGCTTCCCCAATGTTTTCCCCCCCACTGACACCGAAGGCAACTCCACCCGCAACGCACACACCACAGAGACATGCTCAACCCCCTCCCACTCAAACCTCCTAACCCTCGCCACCCGAAGGTCCCCCTCAGGGGTGAGGTGGAACACTCGCTCTCCCAGCTCATCCCCGAAATGCACTTTCTTCGGGTCCAGCACGTCTGCTTCTACCACCGTGCACGGGCATTCCAGCTCCAGAAGAGAATCGTCTAGGACTATACGAAACGCCTTCACGCCCTTCCCCTTGCTCTTCCCCTTGCTCTTGCTCTTGCTCTTGCTCTTCCCTTTGCCCGTCTCCTTACCAGCAGCAGCAGCAGCAGCGTCAGCCCCAGCTGCAGCAGCACCCGCTGTGCTAGCACCTCTCTTCTTCTCCCGTTTGACAAACTGCTCTGCCCGGGTGATTTCCTCTGCCAGCGATCCCAAAAGAGGGAAGGAGGGGCGCAGCCTGAGTCCCCGCACCCCCACCTGCACCATCAGCACCTTGTCTAGTATCCCCCCTCCACCGCTCCCCACTCCTCCTCCTCCACTAACCACCCTATATGCACCCCCACTCGAAAAACTACTAGGAGAACTGACACTCCCTGCTGTTACTCCTATTCCCCTTCCTGCTGCTCCTCCTGCTCCTGCTCCTTCTACTCCGGATGATTCCCCCCCTCCCTTCCCTCCTGACGAATCCCCAAGCTCTTCCCAGTTGTCGGGAATCCCAGGTCCCCACTCTACTCCCAGGCGCGACACCTGAAGAAACACCTGCTCTCGAGGCACAGCAGCCGCAGAAGCAGAAGCACCCACAGCTGCAGCAGCGGCAGGAGCAGCCGGAGCACCAGCACCAGCAGCACTGGCAGCACTGTGTGTCTCAGCAAGCCAGGCAAAGTCCTCCTCTCTGGGCAGCCGTGCCACCTGCACGCCTGAATACTCCACCTGTACCTCCATCACACTATCTCCAGCAGCCGCAGCAGCACTGCCAGTCCCACCAGCAGCAGCAGCAGCAGCGGCGGCGGCGGCGGCGGCAGCAGCGGCAGGGGAAGCGGGGATGGAGGAGGAAGGGAAGGCGGAGCCAGAGCCCCTACCAAAGCCACCACCACCACCGCCACCACCACCAGCAGCAGCAGGACCAGCGCCACCAGTTGGACTGCCAACACTAACTTTGGTTGCTGCTTCTGCCCTGCTGCTAGTCCTGGAAACCCCAGGACTGCTGCCCGCTGCTGCTGCTCCATCTCTCCCTACCCCCCCCGCTCCTCCAATCCCCCCTCCGCCCCTCGCCCCCACGCCCAGAACACTCCCCGACCGGCTCAGAAACGAGTGCCGCCCCCCCTTGCTTCTGCCCCACGCTGCCTTCCCACCAGCACCAGCACCAGCAGAACCAGGCGAAACAGGGCCCATCGGGGTCGAAGCAGAGGCGTGCGCAGCAGCAGCAGCAGCAGCAGCAGCAGCAGCAGCAGGGTTTCCAGTGGATTTGGAGAGAAAGAGGTGGAACTTAGCAGCAGAGGCCCTGTAGAGAGGGGTACCATCGTAATCATGCACTGTGAGCTTTGCTCCTACAGCACCCACCACAGCCTCCAGCCTGAACGGCCGCTTGGGCTTCTTTGGCTTCGGAACCTCCACCACTGCTGCTCCTCCTGCTTCTCGTGCTCCTCCTCCCCCTCCTGCTCCTCCTGCTCCACCTTCTCCTCCTCCTCCTCTTCCTCCGTTTCCTTCCTACTGCTGCTGCTGCTGCTGCTACTGGTGATGCAGCACGTTTGCCTGCTCTTGGTGACAAAAGCCCTTCCAAGTACCCTTGCTGCTGCTGCTGCTGCTGCTCCAGCAGCTCCTGCTGCAGCTGCAGGTGCTGGCGCCTGAGTGCTGCTGCTTTCCTCCTCCGCATCTCCTCGAAAGCTGCTGCCACCCACGGGGCGAGAGTGGCAGGGAACACCCGCCAGTCCACGGCTGAGAGGGTAACATCTACCTCTGCCCGCACTGCCTCTGCCGTCTGAGGGGAGAGAGCGTAAGGGGGGTGCAGAGCGGTTGGAAGTGGTGAAAAGGGGAAGTGAAGGAGAGGGACACACGGGACGAGAGTGGCTGGGAACACCCGCCAGTCCACGGCTGAGAGAGTCACGTCCACCTCTGCCCGCACAGCCTCTGCCGTGTGAGAGAGGGGGAGACTGGGGAAGAACGGAGGTGCAGGGAGGTTGGAAGTGGTGATAAAGGGAAGTGAGGGAAGGGGCACCCACGGCTGATAGGTCACCTCCACCTCTGCCCGCACTGCCTCAGCCGTCTGAGAGAGGGGGGAGACAGTGGGGAACGGGGTTGAGGGAAACGGATGATGGGAGGAGCACAAGAAGACAGCAAGGAACATGGGCAGGGCTAACTGGCATAGAGCGGAAATCAGATGCTGATTCACTAAGTGCGGGAAGAAGAGGCAAGCTGACTCACATAGTGTGGGAAGGAGAGGCAAGCTGACTCACATGGTTTGGGAAGGAGAGGCAAGCTGACTCACATAGTGTGGGAAGGAGAGGCAAGCTGACTCACATAGTGCGGGAAGGAGAGGCAAGCTGATGAAGATACTCGTGTGACTGACAGCACACTGCCCTCCGCACTCTTTAAGATCTGACGAGATGGGTGGCGGGAAGACAACAGAGGGAGGAAGGGAAGGGGGGTGAAGGTTAACTTTTCGGACGTCTCAAAAGTGACTGACAGGGCACTGCCCTCCGCACTCTTTACGACCTGGGGAGATGGGTGGCAAGACGACAACAGAGGTGCGGGGGGGGTGGTGGGGGGAGGGAGGAGAGGATTAGCTTAAAAGATGAATCATGAGTGACCGACAGGGCACTGCCCTCTGAATTCTTTACGATCTCAGGAGATGGGTGGCAGGAGGAAGACAACAGGAGATGGGAAAGAGGGCGAAATGGGAAAAAACGAAAGGGAGGGTACTACCAGGTAAGATGCTTGAGACGAGAAGCCTCATAGACTGACTGAGAGAGGAAGAATGAGTGGGAGAGGGGAGGAGCGAGTGCGATAGGGGAGGTGAAATGAGAACAAGAGGGTTGAAAAACGCCAAAAAAAAAAAAAAAATCAACATCCCCCCCCACCCGTTTTGCAATACCATCAGCACCCCTCCCTATCAGCACCCCTCCCTATCAGCACCCCTCCCTATCAGCACCCCTCCCTATCAGCACCCCTCCCTATCAGCTCACCTCCACAATGCCGATACTAAAATCGGCCTCGATGACTGAAAGGTCAGGAGCCGGGCGGGAGAGCGTGGAGGAGAGGGTGATGGGGCCGCAGCTGCTGCGCAGCAAGAGGCCGCAGCGGTGGTGCCACAGACGCAGCATGATGCGCGGTAGGGTGACTTGCACCTGATGCAGGGGGAGGAGTGGGGCAAAGACGGGGAGCACGGGGAGCAGGAGACGCCAGGGGGCGCAGGGGTAATGAGGGCGCAGCAAGAGGCCGCTTCGGGTGCCACAGGGACAGCATGATGCGCGAGAGAGTGACTTGTATTGTACCTTGTGCAGAGGGGGAAGGGGAGCACGGGGAGCAGGGGACGCCAGGGGCAGGGGGACAGGGTAATGGGGGCGCAGCAAGAGGCTGCTTTGGTGGTGCCACAGACACAGCATGATGCGCGAGAGAGTGACCCGAAGCGGCCTCTTGCTGCGCATCATGCTGTGCAGAGGGGGAGGGGGAACAGGCGAGGCTGGTGGGGTGGGTGAGCGGACTAGCAGTGCACCTTCAACTCAAAATTCTGGGTAGCAAGAAAGCAGCAGAGCATCTTCTTCATCAGACACGCCTTTGAGGCCCCTTCAGAGCAAACAAGCGGCCTCAAAAGCCCAGCCCGAGTAGCAAGAAAGTGTTAACGCACCTTCTCTGGGAGGTTGGGACGTTTCCTCTCGTTCACCAGCACAGGAACTGTCGTGGCAGCTACGGGCGCGGCAGGCAAGGCAAGGGCCCCAACAGCCTGGCTTAGCCTGGCCCTGGGAACGAAAAGATCCACAACTCACCTTTTCCGGGAGGTTGGGACGCTTCCTCTCGTTCACCAGCACTGGAACAGTCGCTGCTGTAGCCACTGACGCGGGAGTAACAGGAGGCTGGGCAGCAGGGGGTCGCTTGGGGGGCTTGACAATGCGCAGGGCGAGCAGACGCTCAGGGAGGGCAGTGGGCGGCAACACACCTTTTCCGGGAGGTTGGGACGCTTCCTCTCGTCCACCAGCACTGGAACAGTCGCTGCTGTAGCCACTGACGCGGGAGTAACAGGAGGCTGGGCAGCAGGGGGTCGCTTGGGGGGCTTGACAATGCGCAGGGCGAGCAGACGCTCAGGGAGGGCAGTGGGCGGCAACACACCTTTTCCGGGAGGTTGGGACGCTTCCTCTCGTCCACCAGCACTGGAACAGTCGCTGCTGTAGCCACTGACGCGGGAGTAACAGGAGGCTGGGCAGCAGGGGGTCGCTTGGGGGGCTTGACAATGCGCAGGGCGAGCAGACGCTCAGGGAGGGCAGTGGGCGGCAACACACCTTTTCCGGGAGGTTGGGACGCTTCCTCTCATTCACCAGCACAGGAACAGACGCTGCTGCAGCCACAGGCGCAGGAGGAGCAAGGGGCTGGGCAGCAGGGGGGCGCTTGGGGGGCTTGATGATGCGCAGAGCGAGCAGACGCTCAGAGAGGTTCAGCTCGAGCTCCGACCAGTTCAGCTGCAGCAGACGCACTGCTATGCCCACCTCCCTGGGGGAGGAGTGGGGATGGATGGAGAGGGAGAGAAGGTTGGGACTGCTTGAGAAGGTTGGGAGGGAAAGAGGGTGGGAAGGGAGGGGGAGACGCTCAGAGAGGTTCAGCTCTAGCTCCGACCACTGCAGCTGTAATAGACGCACTGCTATGCCCACCTCCCTGGGGGAGGAGGAAGGATGGGGAATAAGGAAAGAACACAGGAGACGGGAGGCAGGGGAGAAGGATGACAATCCCAAGTAACTCTATGGGTGAGACAAGGACGAGGAACCAAGAAGAGAGGAGAAGGAGCAGCAAACGACCAGGGGGGAAGGAACTGAGCGGGGATGCAGGGAAAGAGCGGTTGCATACAGAAGTAGTGGAGGCTGAGCAGGTCTGCAGAAGTGGATCATTGCAGAAGGTTGCGTACTCGTGCTGTACGTAGCTCCCTTCTAATGCCCAATCTCGATACTTACAAGAGCTGACGTGTTATGCTCAAAGCTGAAGTTTTCTAATCACAGTTGACTGACCTGTCAAACCCTAGAGCCACATCAGTCGTCCAGCTCTCCAGCAGCATCAACGGCAGCGAATCATCCCCACTCCCCTCTCCTCCTCCCACACTCCTTCTTCCCCTCCCTTCTCCCCCACCATCCCTCTCCCCTTCCCCCTCCCCCTCCTCCCCACCCCCACCCCCACCCCCACCCCCAATCCTAAACAGATTCATCGATCTAGATCGGAGCCCAGGGCTCTTTTCAGAAACAGGGGGGCGATGAGACAGCGACATCCCCAGCAGCTCCAACCTCATCGCCACCTGCCCTTTCCCCGAGGCATCAGCCGTGGAGAACAGGTCAAACTCCCTCAGCTGGAAACACACATCCGGAGCCTGAGCCCACCGAACAGACACGTCAAACAGGCACACCCGAACCACCCGGGAGAAGCTCCCCAGAAGCTTCCACCGGCCCCAGGCGGCGGCAATCGCCCCGGCCTTCCTGGCAGGGCCCTTAGCCGCGGATCCTCCGCTGCTGGAGGCGTTTTTGGAGGGTTTTTTCTTCTTTTTGGAGGTGGAGGGGGGCGGGGGGCGGAGCACGATGTCAACGTCCTTGATTTTGACGCGAAGGCGCAGCTTCAGGCTGCTCAGGGATGCCAGGTGGCCCTTCACCTCGCGTATAGTCACGCTCTCTATGGGGCCCTGTTGTTGTGTGTGGGGGAAGGATGGGAGTTTTTTTAGTTTGTTTTGAGGCGACTCAAAACACGCCAGGTGGCCCTTCACCTCCCGTATAGTCACGCTCTGTATTGGACCCTGTTGTTGTGTGTGGGGACGGGAGATACGGGAAGGAGGAACGATGTGGCACGGCATTTAGCCTGGGATTAGACAATGCGTGGTATTGTACAAGGCGCGGCATTGAACTGAACAATGTGGAATGCACCTGGGGAAAGCGAGAGGACATACAGGGTATAGCAGGAAACAAGATGATTCAGTGATAAATGGAAGTTCTCTCGAGCTAGAACAAGAACGTGCAGGAACGGAGGGTGCTTTTGGGTGGGTGAAGTTAATGAGGCTGGAAAGGAGTGAAGAAGGGGAAAGAGACGGACCTTCTTGAAAGCGCAATGGATATCCTTGACCTTGAGGAGGCCAAGCACGCGAAAGCTCAACGAATTCCCTGTGGTAACCTTGATCGCCAGGGTCACGATCTGCGTGAAGAACCTGCGTTCGAAATCATGTGTATACGGGGATTTTGACAACGTAAGTGAACAAGGTTCAACGTATCCTGAGAATCAGGGCGATGGCAGAGGAACAGTGGCTGATAAGATACATCGTGAACCGTTAATCAAGAGCAATGGACAGTCCAAGGTGTCTGGTTTTAACTGGAGCGCTGGTCTTTCCTATTATGGCACGGTGAAATTTCAATGTGTCGCATGAATCGACACTGGAGCTTATGGTGTTTCTTGGAGTGACTGGAAACTGTTTGAGAAGTTGATGATGAAATTATTATCTTACTTGGAGACTATCCATGCTCCCACGGTGCAAACAATGAAGACCACAAGAAACGTGAGCGGCGCGACGTCCAGCATCGTGCCCGGCTGCTAATGACGGTCCCTGACGGTTTTCGTTGCCGATTATGAATAGCTACGAACTGATCGTCACAAATCTACATCACGAACGCTCATCGCACCGTCAGCAACGGACGCGTTACACCTGACCTACAGCCACGGGAGCTTTTCCGGATGCTAATTTCGAATCGCGCAGTTATACAATTTCGGCAAGACTAATGCCACTACCCTAAATTGCTATGTCTGAGCATATGCGCTGGTAGGACGGCAAGGCGTTGTATCAGCGAGAGAAAATGCTGAATAATTTCGTTGGAAATGGTGGAGATATTTTGGCGGGAAGCTGCCGTCAATCCCGGTGCAGAGTGATGGTTCTGGGGAATGGAAAATGTGCGTCAAGGTTCCGTCAAGAAGTCAAGAATTTCTGTCAGCATGGGGGAAAATTCCGTCAACAACGCCTTGCACGGAGATTGCAGAGGCAGTCCGGTTGGATACGTGTACACGAAGCAGGTACACCCCGCATTTCGGGGTGGAGTGAAGCAGACGAAATCTCTTGTGACCAGTTCAGGGGGGCACTCGAACTCAGAGCTTGTCTTAGGATGCGGTGCAGATCGGGCGATCGATCACGTCAGATCAGACGATCGGTTCGGTTCGGTTCGGATTGGGTGAGATTGCCCCGATCTGAGGCAATCTGTCGATTGCGTCTCGAGCCGCGTAATCAGACGATGAATTTCGAGGAAGTAAGTGAGAATCAGCCGCGCCGGCTTTAGGCTATTCACCCGTTCCTTCCTTGCAAAGTTGGCGACACCTGGCGATAAATCTGTATCGTGCAATTACAATGTAGCCCCATTTTGGGTTCCCGAATCTGCGATGCTGCAATATCCCGATATCCGCTGGTGCTGCGAGCAGCTTCAAATTTCGTCAGGATAAGTTACCGCTCGCAGCTGTCGCCAGGACCCGCGATCTGAGGCAATCTGTCGATTGCAATCGATCGCAAGAGATTGCGTCAGATCGGGGCGATCGATTGCAATCGATCGGATCATCGATTGCAATCGACAGATTGCCCCCGATTGCATGCGATTGCCTCAAAATACCCCGCGGCTTTTCGGAAATGGTCGACTGCACCGATCTGACGCGATCGTACTCAGATTGGGCCGATCTGCACCGCGTCCTTATGTGAGGGGTCCGTGCTGACCTGGTCTGTGGCTTTATTCATATGCCTAATAAAATCATACTTTTTGAGTGTATTCTGTAACTTCGTGGAGAAGTAATTGCAAATCCCGTCGCGTTCGCATCAGAACTCCTCATCTGATTGGCCAGCGAAGATATTCCCTTACCCTACCTCTGACACGGCTGCTACTATTGAGGTAAGGCGTAGAGACGTATTGCGCAATACGTTATGGTCATGGACCTCTCTTCGGCCACCACCATTTTTTTCCCTTTCGCTGGACGTATTGCGCATGGCCTTTCGTTTCAGTTAATATCACGCAGACTTCGTTCCCAGCTTCACCATCAATCATTCGCCTTCTGGATTTGAGCTCCTCGTTAAGATTCACTAGGTCAGAAGACCGCCAGAGAGAACCTTACGTTTTGTCTCTAACAGACAATTACCCCGTAAGCAGAGCCTACGATTACTCATTCTTGTAGTCTTCCTAATTTTGTTTTTTTCAAATTACCATAGTCGCGGCTGCTTGAATGCCGCTATTTTGCCTTGCCTGACTCTAGTGCCAAACTCCAGTAGGTGACTCTGAGACGACTCAGTAACTTCTCAAGAATTCTGGGAAGTTTCCGTCCAGTGCCGCCGCTAAAAGCTCGCCTGCGCGTCCGACTCCGAGTCGTTGCGAATGGGAAAGCGAAAGTCGGCTGCGAAGCCCGAGGCGAGGAAGGTTCAGAAGGTCCCGACGACTTTCAACTGCCCGTTCTGCAATCACGAGGCCAGCGTCGAGTGCAAACTGTACGTGGAACGAGCGTCCGCATCCTGCTGTGTGCAACAAGCGCAGTAGTAACGATACGCAGCACTAGGCCTTCAGACCTCCGTATTCTCCTGACGGGTGAACACCACGTGCTTTCGCGCGACGGCTGGCTTAATCTCTCTGACTGCCATAAGCCACGTTCCTCTTTCGTCCAACACAGCGTGCCGAAGCCCCTACAGTCCCTACAACGGCTTTCGCTTTCCTTGCCTGCCTCGAGCAAGTATTGCATGTTATCATGCATATCCGTGACTCATTCGTCTGATCGCATCCCGGTTTTTCGATCACTTTTCTGTTCCCAATCACCCTGGCGATCTCTTTTTCGACCGGCTGGACAATTGCGTTGCCGTGCAGGGATAAAAAAGCAGGCATAGGAACGGTGTCGTGCCGCGTGTGTGCTGAGCAGTACCAAACCACCATTGACAGTGCGTGCCCATCCATCCATCCGTCCGTCCGTCCGTCTGTCCGTCCACCCGTTCGTCCGTCCGTCCGTCCACCCACCCACCCATTCTTCTGTCCGTCCACCACTGATTTCCCTCTTTTCTCATCAGTTTTTATCACATCGTGTTTTTGACGGTGGCGACACTCAACCCCTCTCCCCCCCTTTTCTCTTCCCCCCTTCCCCCCTCCTCTCCACCCCTCTCATATCCTCCTCCCTGTTTCCTTCCTACCCTTCCATGCGATCCTTGTAACAAAATCCTAAATTGGGATCACCTTGTTCTTGGCGGCGTGGGACGTATTGATTGTTGTCCTTGTTTGCTTCCATGTGGTGGTGTTGCTGCTCTGCTTCGCGAACAGATTTGAGCGAGCCCATTGACCTGTACGTCCAATCTATTCACTTCTTGCTTCCATCCTAATTACCTCGTGCTTCTGCTCTATCCGCCTCCTCTCTTTTCACGCGGTCATGCCATTCGCCCCTCCTCTTTCCGCACTCTCTGCCTTCATGTGTTTCACTAACATTCATGCATGTTCTCTGTGAAACGAGTAATTCTAATGCTCGTCCCCTTGGCTGCTGCTCGCAGGTTTTCTGAATGGATAGATGAAGCTGAACGTGTCAATGCCGAGCAGTAAAACTCTTTTTAGTGATTCACAATAAAGCAGTGTTCGTTGTAGTGTAGCCCAATAATAGAGCATTTTCCTCTCTTTAGCGATTCCATGTAAGCTGTCTGGATTCTAAGGTGTACTTGTTTGTGCTAAGTCTCTCTGGCGGGCGAATGCAAATTCAGAGTTCAGGTTCTTGTAACCTTGGTTCTTGGCTTTGTTCACGCCGTCTCCACCAGGGCCTATGTTATCAGGGCAATTACCCTGTTTTGACTGAAATTATAAGGTTTTTTTTCGATGAACCCTGTTTTTCACAAGGTAGCTTTTGGACGAGCCCAGAAAACAAGAGGGTGATTTTTGAAACAACTCGGATCTCTCCGGGATGTTTTCGAGCGGACCCGGATAGTTTAAGCAACACCTATTCTTCCCGACCTTCTCCACTCCTGGTTTTGCCTCCAAGTGTTTGATTTCTCCCCTCAGATTCTATACAGAGTCTATCTTTCTACCCTCTAGAGCAGCTCCTACCCTCCAAAGATTTTTTCTAAGTCCACAATCTCCATCCCTCTACAGCCGCTCCTTCATATACAGAGGAATTTTTTCGAAGTCTAAACAAAGTCTCTCTTACCCCTCTAGAGGCGCTCCATCTTCTCCAATCCCCCCAGCCCTCGTGCTGCTGCATAGCCCACGGTGAGTTTCGCGAAATTCTGGTAATGCAGGTTATCAGGTCTTTTTTTGCTCGAACCCGGATTCGTGAAGGCTTATTTCCCGCTGGCTCGGATTTTACAGGGTCTTTTTCACAGGGGCCCAGATCGTCCGAGCTAGCAGAAATCCTAGCAATAGCCCTGGTCTCCACACAACCGTTAGCGATACACCCTCTAACAACGCGTACACCCGCACAAGCTCACGGCTCAACAGTGCAACCCTAAAGCACCTCTCAGCAGCACCTCTCTAAAGCACCTCGTACCACAAAGAGGAGATTCTCAAGAAAACACACCCACTGCTGCTGCTCCTCACTTATCTCTACGCTGCCTATACGTGGACTTAGGCCACCATCCCTCACGCTCCGTCGATTAATCTTACCGTAAGTGCTGAGTTCTCCCGTGTCTCAACAAGCCTTTTTTTTTGTTTGTTTGTTTTCCTATTTCGTTTCCGTCTTTTCTCTTCGTCCGTGAACCGAGTATCCGCAGTCACCCCGTGTTTACCACATGATAATACTTTGCGGGATCCTTTGTTCATCTGTTTTCGGATTCATGCTTCCTGCTCGACTCCTTTCGGAATCAGGAGAGCGAATCGCTCACCATGACGGACGTCAGCAGTGCGCTTCGGGAGCAGCAGAAGCTGCTGCAATCGGCTCGCGCACTGACGCACATGAAGCTTCCCGGCGATCGGGTCACGAGCGTCGTCATTCCGTCTGTGCTTGCGCTGACCGCCACCGTGCTCATTGTAAGAAGTATATCGTGGCGCCGTAGTGAATCGCACTGAACCGCACTGAACCGTTGTGCATAACATTCAATCGGCCTAAGTTCCGCGAAAACCATCGCAGTCAGCTCGGTCCTTGACATACTCGAAGGGTCCCCGCGATCGGATCTCGCGCGTCGTTATTCCGCCGGTGCTCGCGCTGGGCGCCACGCGGCGCACGAGATAGCATTGTACCGCACCGCATTGTTTCGCACTGACATAGATTCGCACAATAGCTGTTGCAGTCGGCTCGCGCCTTCGCGCTCTTGAGTAGTGTATCGGAACACGAACCAGCGCTGTGCTACGCTGTGCTCACGGTTGCGCGCTCGTTCCGTCCGTGCTCACGGTCGCGCGCAGCTATGCTCATCATATGTGCTCATCACTGAAAGAAGAGGACTTTTGTCTTACCTCACTGAAGCGCTTCAAATCGCACAAACTTCCGCGGTGCTTATCATAAGTGCGGACGCTCTTGTCCTGCACAGTGCGAGCGCTTATGGCCCTATCGTCTACACTGCATTCTTTAGATTGACACTGACATCGAGGGCAGGAGTGGCGGGGAAGAACACTGGCCATAAACGGCCGTTTTGTTTTTTATCTTCCGTGATCTTCCAGGTTCTTCTCACTTGGGTTTGTGGTACCTGTGGATCTGCATATCTGATAGACTGATGCCATTCCCTTGTGTGCTGTTGGTGATTTGCAGGGCAGGGGCTTGTTCAACATGTCCTTTGGGATTGGCAAGAAAGAGTGAAGGTCCTTTCAGGAATTGTGTTCTTTTCTGTTACATCTACGGTACCGTATGATTTGACACTCAACTGTCAGCTGTAGTCTCGTTTCTTCCGTACTGTACAAGTTTCATTTTAGTGGACTGCAAAACAATGCTGTGAATATTTCTCTCCTGCACCTTTTCTTTATTGGGGACGTGCTAGAGCTTGCTGCTCCGACTACTGTTGTGCATGGGTGGGTGGTTGGTTAGTCTCTGTTGGAAGGACGTAGAACAGATGAGACCCTGAAGTTCACCTACGGTACTCTTTGTTTGCGTACAGTAATTGTTATAATACCGTATTCTGGTTATGGAAGAACAATGATCAAGCTGGTCAAATGTATTCATATGCTTTTTATGTACAATATTGTACAATGCAGACACCCCATACAGCCAAGAAAGGGCTGATCCAATACAGGAGCACTTGGTTAGTTTGAAGCCACTCAGCAGCACTGCTCAGACCACTGAACATGCTTCTGAGGGACAACGATCCTCCCATCTTCCACGCTCCCATATGCCGGGAGCGCATCATGAGACCGATACATCTTCTTCAACCCCCCACTGCTGCCTCCTCCCCCAGCCCTCACCTGCAACGACCCCTGTGATTCCAGAATCGGCATTTCAGAGAGGCTGCTGCTGCTGCCAGATGCGCCGGTCGTGCTGTACTTGCCTCTGCACTCACTCCTGGACTTCGCAGTGGTTGGGCTGCGAGCATTGGTACTGCTGCTGGCACTGCTTCCTGTGGGACTAATGCTGCTGTTGCCAGTGCTGTCGGTACTGCCATTGCTGCTGTCATCTTCAGTTAAATCCGCAAGCAGGGGAGTGAAGCACAGGTGCCGAGGGCGGAGGTGGGAGGAGTTATCACGAGGCAAGCACTCACTTGAACCACCACCACCAGCACCAGCAGCAGTTGCTCTAGCCACAGTAACCCTAGCATGCGTCACAGCCGCATCCCTCTCTGCTCTCATCATTTCCAGCTGCCTCTTAATCTCCGCATACTGCCTCTTAGTCTCCGCCAACTCACGCTTTAACTCGCCGTTTTCCCTCTCCACCCGTGCCTTCTCTGCCTCTACCCGCGCCAGCTCCTCCGCCTTTTCCGCGTCCGACGTGGACCACGCTGACAGCGTGGCCTCCATCTCAGCCACCAGCAAATCGCGCTCCGACCGAGCCGCATCCATGGCTGCTCTCGATTCTTGGGCCTCCTTACGAGCTTCTTCCAGCGATATCGCCAGCTGCTGCGTGGTAACTGAAAACACCTCAAGCTTATTCTGAAGCTCCTCGAACCCGCTCGCGAGCCATTGTCCGTCCCTCGCCGCATCTGCCGCCGCTGCAGCCGCTGCGGTGACTTCAAGGCCCGCAACCACCGCTTCCGCAGCGACGTTACACTTGCTTGTGCTGCGCTTGCTTTTACAGAGTCGCGAGGCGGCTGTTAGCGGGGATGAGGGCGACGAAGCCATCGCAGCCGCGACGCTCGTGCGACTGAGCGCGTCGCACACCTCCCATGCCGACTCTCGCGGGGGCGACGTCTTTAAGATGCTTTTCTGCTGCTGCGGCTGCGACTGCTGCTCTAGGCGCTCAAGCTGCGACGAGGAACTGTTGTAGTGGCGGCTCGGCCTTTCGGGGCGCTCCGAATGCGAAACCTTCCGCAGGCGGCGCCGTTCATCGCGGCGCTCCTCGCGGCTCTCTTCGCGGTGCGGCTGGTCTTTGCGAACGAGCCGCGCGTCGGGCGACGAGGGCGAGCAGGGGGAGATGTGACCGGGATTCGACTGCTGCCGCGTCTTTCGCGGCGGAAGCTTCGGCGAAGGGACCGAATAGTCCACCCCCATGCGGTGCGGGGTAGGCGACGGCGACAGCAACGGCGACGGCGACGGCGGCCTTGGCGACGGCACTTGAAGAGACTCGACTCCACCGACGAGCAGCCGAACCGCGAGGCGGCGCGACGAGGTGGGAGAGTTCAAGTGGCTGGATGACCGGTGCGCCGACTCGAAGGGTGCTGACTCTGTGGTCGCGCCGCCGTCAACGGACGCAGATCGCGAGAAGCGGGAGAGAATGTCGTCGACGCGGTGCTGATTGGCCGAGGACGACGATGCTGGCACGCTATTGGATGATGGAACGCGGACGCGCGTGGAGCTAGGAGGCGACATTGTCGGGAAATTCAGTGAGATGAGGTGGAATTGTTGACGTGGAGCGAAGGGTAAGCAGAACTATTGGACAACAGTCTTGGAAAGGAATCGTGCCTGAATTCAGTGCTGGGTGTGTAAGCCGCTAAACAGGGAGAAACATTAGTCTACGCGTGGGTGTTTAGTTTACGCGACGCAATGTGTGCAACATCGAGCTGCGGCCGTTTAGATCCAAGAAAATTCAACGATAGAGGCCTGGTGACGGAGGGTTGTACAAATAACGACCAGTCAGGAGAGAAGGATAAGATGAGAGTGAGATGGGAGAGCCTTTCGTTCTTTATGCACAGCTGCGTCGAAGTTCCACGGTGGTTGCTGCTGACGAAAACTTCGCTCGATTCACTCTTGCTGCACCTTTCGTGCCCCCGTGCCAGCCACGCATTTTTCTTGCCCACATTCTTCTCTCACGCTGTCATTGCTGCTGCTGACGACGAGTCTCTCGAGTCTTCTCCATTCATCACCACGGGAAAACGCTTTCAACCATTGGAAAAGCGATTTTACCATGCACTACCGACGGTTCTGTTCTGCTTTCGGTGAATCTTTCCTACTTCCGACCCAGAAATCCCACCAAATCGAAACGGAAACGAAGTGTACTCCACAGGTATTGGTCGGCACAGTGTTCAGTTGAAACGAACTCCCTCCCACGATGCTGTTCCTTCCACCCCAACGAGTTTTGAAACGATTTCGACGCAGAAAATCGACACTGGGTGAAAAGAGCGGTTCACATTTTCTGATTCTGAAAAACTACGAGCATGCGAAATGCCAATTGGCGAACTACTTGTACATACAAAGCTTAGTTAAGAGAGATAGATTTCCCAAGACAAAGGCTTTCCGCTCGTCGACGCTGATTGGGTTTTAGCTGTGAAAGAGGCCGGAACATTGAAATGTTGTAAAGAAGACTTGTAGAGCAGAACAATAGTAAAACATGAGCAAACAGTGTCTGCTGCCCCTGCCCTTCGGCCCAGCAGTGAAAGTTGGTGATTCGTAATCGGGCACAGTAACAATACAAGACAACGTTTTGTAGTTGGTGTGAAATGAGGCTACACTTCCGTCAGTACACACAGGTGCGTTGGGTGATCGACGCCACTGGGACTCCCCACCCCACTCCTCAGCCGCAAATCTTGTAGTGCAGAACAATATTGAAACTAAATCGTCCATAAAGCGAATATTATTCCTGCCCGTGAAAAGGGCATGGCACGGGTGTTGTCCAAGTGTGGGGCGAGTCACTTGTCTCGTACAGCTCGACTGGAGGAGATTCAGAAAAAGGCGGTTTCCGAACCGTACGAACGAAAATGATTCGTTCGCACGCGAAGAAACGGCACCACCAGTGGCATCTCAGGAAACGGGCCAGGTGTTTCCACATTCGTGAGAGTTGATTTGCTTCTGGGATGTCGATCAACCAACAAACCGCACCTGCCAGCCATCACCTTCCCCCATTTCCCCCCTCTCCCCTTCCTGCCGCCTCAACCTCCCCTCTCTCGGTCTGTCTAGTTTCCCCCCCTCGTCCCTCCCTCGCGCTACTTGCACGCACGGGCAGGAGGATGGGATGGGAGGATCATCGGGGATTCCACAGTGGATCATCGCGCTCTGAGCTGGCCGGGCCGCTAAGTAGCCTGTGGCCTGACTGGCAGTCGCTGCCGCTATACTTGTAACGGTGGGATTTCATCTCCTCACAACAAGCAGCTGACAAGAAGAATCGTGACCGTACGAAGAGAAGCGCCAAACTTTCCGTAACGCACGCACTGCAGCGCACTGCCTGTGGGAGGGGAGGGAGGGAGGGAGGCAAGGGGAAGGACAAAGTCACAAAGCTGACAAAGTCACAAAGCTGCCTTTGTTTGCCTTGCCACGTGTTCACCGACCGAAGCTGCCCAAACCGCCACTCGGGTACAGAAGCGCCTACAGCACAAATCAAGATGATCCACAGTGTACGGACCCGTTACTTGAAAGGCTACTTGCTGAACATGTACAGAATGAATAGCAATGTAATTTGCAAGATTGACCCCCTCTTCCATGACCTAACTTCAGAAATTAAATTGACAGTTGCAGCACAAAAGCAGCAGGGGAAGTCATAGGTGCATTGTTTAAATTTTGAAGGGAACTCTACAAAACAGGGCTGCTGCTAACGGAGAGGTTAGTGGCATAAGGGGAGCGAGGAGACAAGCTTGAAAACCGGAGAGGCGGGCTGCCCGGCGAGAAAAACAGCGCAGCATGCCCAGGAACTCTAGACGGGCTGGCAGGAGAGCGAGGGGAAAATCCCGGAGAGGAGCAGCGAGGCGATCTAGGCGGATATGATGGGGATCGTGGTGGTGGGTAGGGGGGAGACCTTGGGGAATAAGAGAACGAGCTGGTGTGCCTTGCCTGCTGCTGGTGGTACATGTGCTGCTGTTGGTGAGATGGGGACCTGGGCGGCAAGCTTTGTCTGGAAGTGTTGGTTGGGGGGTGTGGCGGACGAGGCCCTTCATTACAAGAACGCGAGCCCGTAGAGGAATCACAATCCGGGGGAGAGCTCCTGCTCACTCTAATATTGCTGCCTTCTTGCTGCATCTGTTGCTGCTGCTGCTGACCCTGCCTCCGCTCTCTTTCACTGTCAGTCTCCTTCACAAGAAAATCCACCCAGAGGTCAGTTAAGGACTGCAGGTTTGAGGATTGGGTTTAGGGGTAAGAGACAGGCAGAGCAGGGAGGAAGAAGATGCAGGGGGAAAGCTATGAGTTTCTTCTGTCATCATCTGTCTCGTTTACAAAAAACGTCCATCCAAAAAGCCTGTGAAAGACTGGAGGTAGTTAAAAATGGAAGCAAGATCTTGAGAAATACTACAACAACTAACAACTCTCGAGGCAAATGTGGCGGAAATGCAGGTCAAGCACTCGCTTACCCCTGATTTTCTTGCCTCTGACTTTTTCTCCACCTCTTCCTGCCCCACAGAATCCTTCCCCGTCTCTCCAAAATTCTCTGAACTGCTCTTATTCGATCCCAAAAACCCGCCCGCAATCCGTCCGGGCAGCCCGAAAACTCCTCCTCTGCTGCCCTTGCTGCTACCCTGCCGCGCACTCCCTTTGAATTTGAAGCTGGCGCTTCTGGTGAGAGAGGGGTGGAAAGCTGCTGCTTCAAGCTGCTGCCGTTCATCCTTGGAGCATTCAAGGATGCGGCACATGATGTCAAGCACCTGTTGTGGGACAAACATACAGTTTAGGAATGACGTTATAGGCATATAAAAACATCGCTCTGGTGAGAGTGCGGAGGGAAGAGCCAGCTCGAGCTGCTGCCTCTCGTCCTTGGAGCATTCAAGAATGCGACACATGATGTCAAGCACCTGATGGTGGGGCACACGATATGCAGGTTATGTTTTGACAATCCCAGTACAGAGATTTAGGTGAGGCGCCTCTGCTGTGGGATATAAAATAATTTTTTTACGGGCGCCTCAGAAAAAACGCTTCTGGTGAGAGTGGGTATGGAAAATAAGTCTAACATGTGCCATGCGAATGTCCATGCCCATGCCCATGCCATGCCTCTGCCCATGCCCATGCCCATGCCCATGCCCATGCCCATGCCCATGCCCATGCCCATGCCCATGCCCATGCCCATGCCCATGTCCATGCCGTTATGCTCACCTCTCTGCTGCGGTTGCGTTGGAAGTATGCCACCAGAAGCTTCACCACGATTCTCCTGCCACAAAATATGACATTGTTCAGGCGAGACACGGAAAGCACGTCAGCTTCCCAACAATTTCCCCGAATTGTTCATAGCAGCAACGGGGCATTGGTGACGGTAACACGCAACGGCAACACGAAGTACTTCGAGCAAATGGAAGGGACCGAAAGAAACACGCCATAATGATTCAATCCAGGAGCCTACATCAGCAGCAACAGCAACTTCAGCTTCACCCACGCACCACCTTTTGAGACGTCTCAAAAGTCAGCACCACCGCAGCCGTAACCGCGGGAAAGGAAACAGTGTTGATAATTTCCAGCTCAATTGTGCAATGTGGCATTGTGCATGCAGAATGAGCATCGCTTACCTGTCCACCATATAAGCAGAATCGCTATTGAGTCGCAGCATACACTGGTCCAGAGCACACTGCAGCCGAAGCAACTCCTCTTCTAGTGCCCCCCTCTCCCTCCTCCCCGCTGCAACCTCAGATAACGCCTCCTCCAGCTGAGCCTGCCTCTGCCAGCATAGCGCCTCTGCCTCCTGATGTGTGGGACGGAAACAGGAGAAGAGAATGGAGGGAGGAAGGAGGGGAGAAAGGAGGGAGGAAGCAAAGTTATGTGCTCCCTACTACCTCACACTTGCTCTTCTACCAGCCGCCACACTCTCTCACAACTAACCCCACCAACGTGTAAAAAGAAGTGTTTTGAGACGCCTCAAAAGTCTTCTACCAGCCACCACACTCTCTTCTACCAGCCACCACACTCTCTCCCAACCAACCCCACCAATGCTGCGAAGGGGTCACTTTATCACTTCACACAAACGCACTTGTAGGTTGCCTCGCAGCTCTCGCAGCTCCTCACCCGCCCTCGCACTCCTCCCCTCGCCTCTCGCCCTCTCTTCTACCAGCAACCAAAGCTCACACTAACACACCTGCAGGTTGCCTTGCAGCACACGTATTTCCTCACCCGCCCTCGCACTCCTCTCCTCCGCTCTTGCCTTCTCCTCCTCCGCCCGAGCCCGTTCCGCCTGCAGCCTCCCATTCGCCTCCACCAGAGCTGCAACCTCACACTCCCGCCCTGTCTCAGCCACACCAGTTTCCTGCCACCCAGCCATCTCACGCTGCTCTCCTGCCCCCCTGGAGTGACGAGCCTCAAGACCAAGCAACGGTGTGGACACACTGGGATGCACCCTGTGCTGCCTGATTCGATGTGATCCAGGGCTGCACAGAGCCTTGTGGGAGAGCGATGTGGTAGACGCATCTTCATGGGGTTGGAAGTCAACTGGTTCTTGTGAAGGGGCGTTTTGTGAAGGGGCGTTTTGTGAAGGGGCGTTTCGTGAAGGGGCTTGTTGCGTCACAGATGCTTGTATCGGCTCGCCTTGTGCTGGTAGCAACACCTGAAATGGCTGCCCGTGGCGCAATGTTACTGTTGATGGTGATGGTGATGGTGATGGTGATGGTGATGGTGATGGTGATGGCGAGAGCAGTTCAAACACTGATCCTGCTGCATCTCGTGTTTCTTCTGCACCCTCTGCTCCCTGTGATGACAGTGCTGCTGCGCACTTTGCCTCTCGCGCCAACTCCTGAGTCAACTCTTGAGGCGCTTTTTCAGTGATTGACTGTACAGGCGATGTGGAGGACGCTGGTGCTGCTGCAGCTTGTGAGCCATCTGCAGCGCGTGCATTGGCAAACAATGCTGCTGCAGCGTCTGCCGCATCTGAAGCTGATGCAGCTGTAATTTCTGAACAATCTGCATCACGTTCATTTTCAACTGATGCTCCCGCTCCTGCCCCTGTACCTGCCCCTGTTCCTGCGCCTGATGCATGATGGGATGCCACGTCAGCATGTGATGCATCTCCATCCGCCATGGGTTGTATGCTCGCCACCATCCCAGCATGCATGCACATGGGATGGCGCGTGATGATTGGCCGATGAGCCGCTTCCAACACCTGACGTAACAAATCTGGTAACACGCCTGGTACCGTGCCTGTTGCCGAGCCTGGTAACGTGCCTGGTGCCGAGCCTGGTGCCACGTCTGGTACTGCCTCTTTCTGACTCATGCCTTGTCTCTCCTGCTTCTCCTCTGCCCTTACAACCCCACCCTCTCCTCGCAAATCCATCTGCCTCGCCTGTCCAGCAGGCTCGGGCCGAGCCTGCAGCCGAGCTAGCTGCATCCGAGCCTCCCGAACCTCCCTGCTCCTCTCCTCCAGCTGCTGCTCCAGCTGCGCCCTCCGCCACTCCGATTGGCCGAGCTGGATCGCCTTATCCGCCAGCTGTCGCTCCAATACGACCCTCTCGCACTCTGATTGGCCGAGCGCCTTTCCCTTATCCGCCAGCTGGCACTCCAGTTGGCGGATCCTCTCCGCCTCTCGCTCCAAACGCAGCGCCTCGTCAGCATCCTGAAACACAGCGCAACAGAGGGGAATGAATTTTGAGGCGCCTAGAAAGCCGTCAGCATCCTGAAACACATCCCAAAGGGCGGGAACGGAGACGCTTGAAACTTATTATAATCATACAGCAGTATTCTTACAGCTGCTACCTTACAGCTGCTACCTTACATAGTTGTGCAGTTTCTTCTCATCACCCTCCCCACTACCTCCACTCACCCTCCCCAACCCATCCCCACCACCATCCACCCACCCGATCCAGCAGGTGTTGCTGCAGCCGGCCCAGATTCCTGGCCAACCGCTCTCTCTCCCTCTCCACCTCTCCCAACCGCCCCTCCACCTCCGCCAACCGAGCAGCAGCCGCCTCTGCAGCCCTCACCCGCCTCCTCTCCTCCATCCCTGCCTGTGCCGCCAACGCCTCTGCTGCCTTTGCCTCTAGCTCCTCTCGCTGCAGCTTCAGAGAAGCATCAAAAGCAGCCTCCCTAATACCAGCTTCCTGTAATCGCTCCTGCAGGTTCTGAAACTCTGCTACCTTTGCCTCTAGCTCCTCTCGCTGCAGCTTCAGAGACGCGCCAAAAGCTGCCTCTCGGGCGACTGCCGCGTCTAACTGCTGCTGCAGCTCTGCTGCTTCTGCTGCTCGTGCCGCCATTGCCTCTGCAGCCTTCGCCTCAAGCTCCTCCCGCTGCAGCTTCAGATTTGCTTCCAAACCCGCCTCTCTGGTTGCTGCTGCATGCAATCTCACCTGCAGCTCCTGTATCACTACTGCCTTGGCCTCTACCTCCTCTCGTTGCAGCTGCAGTGCTGCCTCCAAAGCAGCCCTTCGAGCATCTGCTGCTGCGTCGAGCTGTTTCGGAACGACTGCTGCATTCTCTGGTTCTACGGCTTTCGCCTCTCGCGTTTCAAGTTCCTGTATCACTACTGCCTTAGCCTCTAGCTCCTCCGGTTGCACCTGCAGTGCTGCCTCCAAAGCAGCTCTTTGAGCGTCTGCTGCTGCTTCCAGCTGTTTCGGAGCGACTGCTGCATTGTCAGGTTCTGCTGCCTTGGCCCCTCGCGTTTCAAGTGCCGCTGCTCCTGCCTGCACGATGGAACCCCAGACGGGAGCCACCCTGCCGCTGCTCCTGCCTGCATAATCTTTACGTGCCGCTGCTCCTGCCTGCACTTCACCCTTTGCCGCCCAAGATTCACCCGATGCTGCCCGGGCTTCACCCTTTGCCGCCCAAGATTCATCCGATGCTGCCCGGGCTTCACCCTTTGCCGCCCAAGATTCATCCGATGCTGCCCGGGCTTCACCCTTTGCTGCCTGCACTACAATCTCAGTTGCCCGCGCTTCCCCCTCTGCTGCCCGAGCCTCAGCTTCTGCTGTACGCATTTCGGCCTCATGGGCAGACGCTGCCCGCTCAGATGGACACGTGGCATCAGCGGATTGGTCAACCTCCAGCGGGTGTACGTTGCCAGGGTGGTCTGTTGAAGGCACACCGTCGTCCACGGAACCAGGACCCCCTCTTGTTGCTCTCTCGTGAAAAGCGTGCCATTGGTCCAGCTTCCTCGTGAGCTTGAGCTGACGTGGCAAATTGTAGGGACAGAAGAGAATGGTCGTGGATGAGTGGGTCATGGGAAAAAAGGGGCAGGCCGGATGGGAAAATAGCAAAGCGGAAAGCTCAGTCGTAGTGTAAATGAACAGGGTAGTGGGCTATGATGGAGTCACTCTTTAGAATTCCCAAGAATGAGTAATGGGCTTATTTACAAAACTCCTCAACTTCTTCAAGGAGAAAAACGAGAAGAGAGACAAACAAAACCCACTTTCTTTTACCTTTTTCTTGCAAGCAAGCAATTAGCACTTCCTTTTCGTATCTGACCTGGAAAGTCGCATCTCTGTCTACATCTGCAACCAGCATTTCCTCCAACTCCTTCCGCAGCTTCTCAGCCGTCGATTCCAGATGCTGCTGATAAAGATCCCGCTGCCCTTGATCCTCCTGCTCATGCCGCCTCTCTTCCAATCGTTGCTGGTCTCGGTCATACCACGCCTGCTGCTGCTCCTGCTGCTGCTGCTGCTGCTGCTGTTGCTCCTGCTCCTGGTTCTGCTGTCGCCAGAACGGCTCGGTAAACAACGAGCGACGGTCGCGCGGATTGGAGATTTTTTGTGATCGAGCCGACGAGCCGCCGCTATGGAAGGCTATGGCGTCCATGCGAGCTCCCACAGGACAAGGCGATTATGGCTTCTGAGACGCCTCAAAAGCCGCCGCTATGGAAGGCTATGGCGTCCATGCGAGCTTAAGAAAGAGGCTCAGTCCATGTTTGAACCGCGATGGCAGCTAGACGAAATATACCGCTCCGAGAGCTCATGACAGCATAATATGGGGCAGCTATACGGAACGAGACGCTCCGAGAGGCCATGCGAGCTCAAGATAAGGACTCATTCCATGTTTGAACGGCTCACTTCAAATTGAGACGACGACAGCATGCACGGCTAGAAAGTTACACTATCGGTTTCATTAGTTATATCACAGAACGTACTAACAATATACCCTGTGAGGTTCTAAGGGTACAGTAGAGCGTGATATGCGGGGAAGATTGATGGAACACGAGATGTCGCCCTATGCTGACGAAGTGTGGCGCTCGTTGTCTCAAGAAAATAGCAGCCCATTCGTGGTACTTGATATGTGTGCTTGCGTTATCAAGAAATGACGAAACATGGAGGTTTGTGAAAAGCTCAAGCGGAGAACCGTCTGGTGCTCGCAAAGCCTGCGCAAGATAATTATTGTTGACGAAGAAGTAGGTCTTCGTCACACCCTTGGGTTTTCCGTGAGAGTTTCGCAGGGCGGCTTACCCAGCAAATCACGTGTCTGCTGAGTTTTCGCGACATCTCGCGACTGCGGGAATCTCGAGGTTTTTGGTGTATGTGACTGGAATCTGGGAGCTCGAACGCGTTGGGGTTGCGCCCACGGCATCATCGCTTCGTGTACCATGGCATGGGATGACATGACGTCGTCACGTCGCACGGTGTGGCTGTGCCGCTGCGATACCTTTCCATGCGGTTCAGGAAGTTAACTGACGGTTTTGTGAACAAAGAAAGCGGTTCGATAGTTTTTTTATGGCAGCCGAAGTGTTACGGCATCATGCGGGAATTGGATTAATTTCAGCTCCTCGGGCGCATATAGTGGGGTCCCGGAACAGAAGAAATGCCGGTTACCATTCGTAACACTCGTCCCAGAATGTTTGTGCTTGTGTTTCATATTGGTAACGATATTTGTTGCATTTGGGGAACAGATTCTTTCCGACGTTCGGGGTTCCGGGACTCCACCTGGACCCGAAGGCGTAACGAAGGGCGAAAAGAAAAACCATCGATCTGAGATGTTTCACGACCTCGGTTACCGTGTCAGCTTTATGCTTAGGGTTCGGCTCTTGAGTCGCACTGAGGTCGGGAGCTTCTCGAAATGAAGATACGCTTGTAACTCAATGTTGATGTCTGAATCCTTCCTAAGGTCGAGTCCCCCTCGAGCAAAATCCACACGCACACAGAGGAGAGGACCTCTTGCAAAACCTAGGATCCGTCGAGATTCACTCCGGTAATTCCGGAGGGGATATGTGAATGTAACGATTGCTCCGTAATTGGTTCTAAACCAAGCCACGACGGACCGCCATTTCCCAGCGTGAATAGGAGGAACAGGAAAGCCATTGTATTGAAATATTTAATAGCATTTCCTCCGTTACGCCGCAGCTGACAAGTCCTGGTTATGGAGCGGCCACGATGCTTAGAATGGTCGCTGTTGCGGTTCGCGGTCTCGTCAGTGGTTCTCGCATTTGTCGCAACCGTCGCGAGAGGTGCGTCGCATTCGTCGCTACCGTCAAGCGACTGTCTCCGTCGACCTCGAGTGATGTTACGAAACAGAATCACATTCAAAGATACTTGCTCGCTTTCACCGCTTCCGGTTAGGTTCTGACAAACGCTCCCTCCTTCCCCTTATCCTGCTGCAAAACGCGACAGACGTCCATCTCCTCTCACATTCTTCTTCTGAGTCAACTTAAAGGCGATCCCTTTCGCCTCTCCTTTTTCACCTTTTCCCCCATAACCCCCCCATCGCCCCCCTCCCGCCTCTCTTCCCGCTCCAACGTGACCGTAACGCACCTGAGCAGGACACCACTCACGGCTCGCCCCATTCGTGACTCTTTAGTCGGCGCAAAACACAACCTCCCCAGTGCCTTTTGAGTCGACTCAAAAGTCACCTCACAAAAAACCACCTCCCCAGTGCGCCCCTCCCGCCTCTCTTCCCGCTCCAACGTGACCATAACGCACCTGAGATGGACACATTTTCTCTAGGCGACTCAAATGTCTTGGAGGCGCCTTAACAATCCCCCCATCGCCCCCCTCCCGCCTCTCTTCCCGCTCCAACGTGACCATAACGCACCTGAGATGGACACTATTCTCTCCTATTCTCTCCAACGCGACTCTCGAATCGCCCTATTCTCTCCTCCCATTCTCCCTACACGCAGCCGCCAACGTGACTATAACCCACCTCCGTCTCGACACGACACACGACGCGCCCTACTCGCCTTGGGAACCCTCCGTCTACTTCCATTGCAACAGGGAGATGAAGCACGTGTCACCTACCCTACCCTTCCTTCCCCCAACCCCTACCCCTCCCCTCTCTCCCCACCACACGCAGCCGCCAACGTGACTATAACGCATCTCCGTCTCGACACGACACACGACTCGCCCTACTCGCCTTGGGAACCCTCCGTCTACTTCCAGTGCGAGGGGGAGATGAAGCACGTGCTGCAGGGCGTGGTGCAGGCTAATCTCACCTACAATTTCACTGGCCAGGAGGAATTTCAGGTGGGCTTCAGGTGGTTTTCAGGTGGGTTGAGGTTCCTCCGTGTATTTCCAGTGCGAGGGGGAGATGAAGCACGTGCTGCAGGGGGTGGTGCGGGCTAATCTCACCTACGGTTTTACCGGCCAGGAGGAATTTCAGGTGGGTTTCAGGTGGTGCAGTTGAGGGGGGCATGCGACATGTGCTGCAGGGGGTGGTGCAGGAGGAATTTCAGGTGGGTTCAGGTGGTTTCAGGCAGGTTATTGTGCAGACGGTGCCAACTGCAACTTCGCGTCTGTCTGCCCAGTGCAGGACCTGCGGCCTGCATGAAGCCGATACATTCAAGGCCGACGACACATTTGACAAGTTCCAGTTGTGTGCGGATGCCTTCACCTCCCCCTCCCCCCCTCCCACCCACCACTCCACGGCCTTTAGTGGAACTCGCATCTGCTCAGCGCAAGACGTGCGGACTGTAGGAAGCTGGTACATTCAAGGCGGACGATACGTTTGACAAGTTCCAGCTGTGCGCGGATGACTTGAGGGGCAGCAGGCTCAATGACGCACTCTGTTCCCCTCTTTTTTCCACCTACCATCACAGCCTCTGGTCGAGCTGGCTTCTGCCCAGTGCAAGACCTGCGGGCTATACGAGGCTGACACGTTCAAAGCAGATGACACATTTGACAAGTTCCAGCTGTGCGCGGATGACTTCAGAGGCGCCAAGGGGGGGCATTTGACGCGATGGGTGGATGGGGAGTTTAAAGTTGCAATGAGCTGCCCGGAGTGCCTCAACAGCCACGACCACTCGCCTGTGGAAGGTACATGCCATGCAGGTGTGAGCAATTTCTATCCACGAGCAGGTAGGGATGCACTATCCACAGCAGCACGGAGGGCCATGTGACGCGGTGGGTGGATGGGGAGTTTAAAGTCGCAATGAGCTGCCCGGAGTGCCTCGACAGCCACTACCACTCGCCTGTGGAAGGTGCAAATCGACTGCCTGCTTCCCCTACTGAGGCTACGCTTTTGAGTCGACTCAAAAGCTGCTTCCCCAACTGAGGCTACGTATGCATGATTGCTCTAGCAGGAGGAAAAGAGGTGGGTGAGCAGCCTATCTCTTGTACGCTCCTCAGCATGAGGATGAGGAATCCTAGCAGGAGGAAAAGAGGTTGGTGTGCATGCAAGCAGGAGGTGTGCTGCTCAACAGCAGTAAGGAGCCCATGTGACGCGGTGGTTCAAAGTCGATTTGAGCGGTGGTTCAAAGTCACATTGAGCGGTGGTTCAAAGTTGCATTGAGCGGTGGTTCAAAGTCGCATTGAGCAGCCCCGACTGTCTCAACAGCTGTGACTGCTCGCCAGTTGAAGGTACAAGGCGACTGTTTCCCCTTTCCCCCCTTTCCCCCTTTTCTGCCCCTTTTTCCCCAGCTCTCGTACGAGGAGACTCCTGGTATCCACTGCGCCATTTCCTCATCTTCCTGGAGGCAGCAGAAGCAGCCATCAGCTGTACTCCCGCCCTCCTCCCCGTTATAATCTCCTCCTTCCTCCGTCTTTCTCCCCTCCCTTCCCTCCCTCCAGCGCTCTTAGGGCGCGTGTCTTTTGGATTTTAGGCCAAAGTTCATGTTTTTTACTCGAATTTTTACGTTTGAACCGAGGTCGACCTGTACTCGAGTATTTCAATTTTTTTACCCGAATCGTGAATGCCCAACTCACAAAAAGCACATGGCACACCGAAGTTCGAGTATCGAGGTTTAACTTTATACACTCACTTTCGAGTCGTGTTCAACTTTCGTAGGTTACCCGGTTCCCACGCCTTGACAGCGCGCCACGTATGATTCAGGCGACGCGATGACACGAGTGCAACAAATAGCACGAAGTGCTTTGCGACTGTCGCATACTTAGCATTATCGAGAGGCATGCCCACCAGGACACACGATTGGCCAATCATGCAACCAACAAATTAGTACGTGAGTTCGACCCAGGTTTAGTGTCCCTCTTCAACGCCACCATCAGGGATAGGACACACGATTCTCACAAAGAGCTCTTAACGAAATCGGCGAAGCGGGTTACCAGCGAAAGTTGGACCTAATTTTTGAACCTCTACACCAAAAGACACGCGCCCTTACAAGGAGACTCTTGGTACCCGCTGCTGCCGTTCCTCATCTTCCTTGCAGCAGCAGCCATCAGCTGTGCTCCTGAGTTCACTCCCTTCTCGTTTACAATATCGTCCTTCTTCCCACTCTTCATTCCCTCCCTCCAGCTCTCGTTCACGGGGATTCCTGGTACCCTCTTCTCCCGTTCCTCATCTTCCTCACATCAGCAGCAGCGGCAGCAGCCATCAGCTGCACCGCTGCCCTCCTATCTTGCAGCATGAGTGCCGCATCTGGCCCTTCCACCAGAGCAAGCGCCGTCCACTAACCGCACAGCACGCAGCTTCAGAGAAAGAGTAACAGGGTGAAGCCACCTCTCTCATCCAGAACCGCTCTTTCCCCACTTCTTCCCCTCCCTGTCTTTTTCTCCCCTCCCTTCCATCCCCATCCCCTCCTCCCTTTCCGCCCAACCAGCTCTCTTACAAGGCGACTCCTGGTACCCGCTGCTCCCATTCCTCATCTTCCTCGCATCAGCTGCAGCCATCAGCTGCGCTGCTGCCCTCCTCTCCTGCTGCATAGAGCGCCGCATCTGGCCCTTCAACCACAAAAACCCCTCCCAACCGCTCAGCACCTTGGAGAAACAGCAACTGGCCGAAGCCACTGCTTTCATTGGGAGCAGTGATGAGGAGGAAGAAGAGGATGAGGAGAGGGGGAGGGGGAGACGGAGGGGTGCGGAAGTAGGGATTGAGATGGGGGAATTGGGGAGAAGTGGGGTGTCAGATGGTGAAGGGGAGGAGTCGGGGGGAGGAAGTGTGGGTGGGAGTGGGAGGAAGGCCCAAGGGGAGTGCTTGCATGGCCGGCCCTACTCTGTTCCGAGGGAAGACGAGAGGGTGGACGTTTAATGAGGTATTTTGGGCCTGCCCTTGCTTTTTACGCATGGACGTTTGACCCCTGGGCCTCCGGGAATGAAGCACCTTTCAGTTGGCTTGGCTTGCTTTGCTGCGAAAAAGGGCTACCGGTACAGTACCATATTTATAACATGTTCGTCTGTAATCTTGTTGGGTGGTGAGGTAGGAGGGCCCAAGAGGAGTGCTTGCGTTGCATTGTCGACCCTATTCCGTTCCGAGCGTAGAAGCGGTATACACCTGACCTCTCAGAACGAGGCACCTTTCAAATGGCTTGGTCTGTAAGGACAGCCTTTCTTGACTTGTTCGACCCTAAGCTTGTTACTGATAGTTGGAGAAGAGGGAGGAGGAGGGCAGCAGACTGAAAAGGCCTTAGGATGTATGTACCACAAAATCTTGAGTCGGAATAATATTTGCGAGCCTGTAATCGTATCAGAGTGGCGCAGCGGAAGCGTGGTGGGCCCATAACCCACAGGTCCGAGGATCGAAACCTCGCTCTGATAATAGTTTAGGAGGAAATCCAGGTTTTATCTCCAAACCTTGTTGCTACTGCCGATAGTCTTCATGCATCCTTCACTATGGACGCACCATTACTTGACCGAGCTCATCAGCAGCATGGGTGGACTCAGAAATGCCATTTAAAGCGAGCAGGCAAAATAGTGAAGGGAGGCCCAGCTTGAAATCGGGGGGGATCAAAGCACTGTTGCAAAAAGATGGGGCAATGGAGATCGAAACTTCTTGTCCAACCCGATTGGCTCCCGCCAGATAACTGATCACACAGCGGAAAATGAGGGCGCCAAAGTTCCGTGCTTCTGAAAAACTTCACGTTTGATCACGCGACACCAACTGGTTGGGTGGAAGCCGACGCCTCCCATATCCAGTTGGACCCAACTGGAGTTTCAAGTAGGACTTGGGTTCACTTTACCGTTCGTGCATCAGCCAATATCATAATTAGCACAACTATCATGGTAGCTTTAGTAGTTACTTCACGGATACTCATGCACGACTCGAACATGCTCATCCGCGCAACGATCACAAGCCCTCGCCACATTCTCATTCCACCTTTCTCGTCGCCCTCGCTGCCGCGCTCGGCCGGTCGTTATCTCCACTCCCTACACGTCGCGCTCGCTATCTACCTTTCCCTTCCCGTTGAGCTCTTGATATTTCCCCTCCCCGTCCGGTCGAGCTTTCGTTTTCCCCTTCCCTTTCCGTCGAAAATTCGTTTTCCCTTCCCCTTCCCGTCGAGCTCGCGTTTTCCCCTCCCCTTCCCGACGCGCTTTCGCTATTTCCCCTCCCCTTCCCTTCACGCTATCTCCCCTCCCGTTACCGTCGCGTTCACTGTTTCCCCTCCCCTTCCAGGAGCGCTTGCTATTTCCCCTCCCCGTCTAGTCAAACTCGCATTTTCCCCTCCCCTTCCAGTCGCTCGCTATTTCCCCTCCCCTTCCCGTCGAGCTCGCGTATTTACCTCCCCTTCCCGTCGCGCTCTCGCTATTTCCCCACCCCTTACCGTCACGCTCGCTATCTCCCCTCCCGTTACCGTCGCGCTCGCTATTTCCCCTCCCCTTCTAGGCGCACTCGCTATTTCCCCTCCCTTTCCCGTCGAGCTCGCGTTTTCCCCTCCCCTTCCCGCCGTGCTCTTGCTATTTTGCCTCCCCTTCCCGCCGCGCTCTCGCTATTTCCCCTCCCCTTCCCGTCGAGCTTGCGTTTTCCCCTCCCCTTCCAGTCGAGCTCTCGCTATTTTGCCTCCCCTTCCCGCCGCGCTCTCGCTATTTCCCCTCCCCTTCCCGTCGAGCTTGCGTTTTCCCCTCCCCTTCCAGTCGAGCTCTCGCTATTTTGCCTCCCCTTCCAGTCGCGCTCGCTGTCTCCCCTCCCGTTCCCGTCGCGCTCGCTATTTCCCCTCCCCTTCCAGGCGCGCTCGCTATTTCCCCTCCCCTTCCCGTCGAGCTTGCGTTTTCCCCTCCCCTTCCAGTCGAGCTCTCGCTATTTTGCCTCCCCTTCCCGCCGCGCTCTCGCTATTTCCCCTCCCCTTCCCGTCGAGCTTGCGTTTTCCCCTCCCCTTCCAGTCGAGCTCTCGCTATTTTGCCTCCCCTTCCAGTCGCGCTCGCTGTCTCCCCTCCCGTTCCCGTCGCGCTCGCTATTTCCCCTCCCCTTCCCGTCGAGCTTGCGTTTTCCCCTCCCCTTCCAGTCGAGCTCTCTATTTCCCCTTCCCTTCCCATCGCGCTCGCTATTTCCCCTCCCCTTCCCGTCGCCTTTTCATGGTCTCAATTATCGGCGGTTCTTACCAACGAACTGCATTCCTCACATGATGTCCGGTAACGTTCCATAGGGTTCGGTACGGTGACATTGCTGCCTTCGCGGACAGCACGTATGCTGTGTTGGTGACTCCGCGGACAGCACGTATGCTGTGTTGGTGACTCCGTTGACAGAGCGTGTCTTGCGCTGGTGGCTTCTTCCCTTCCCGCCGCACTCGGCTTCTCCTTTCCTCTCCCCGTTTCCCCCGCTACCGTATCTCCCGTCCCGGCCCATCATCTTCGTTCATCATCACTTTCCGTCGCGCTGCCTCATTGTCTCTGTTCCCCTTCGTCGCATTCACGCTCTCACATCATGTCTCCCTGGACACACTCCATCTCTCTGCCATTCTCATCACCATACCCGACCATGCGGGTTCCTACCCTACACCATCGCTTTGTCATCCATTCTGTTTCTTACTCAATAACTGTGGACATGCTGCGTGCGTGGTGCCAGGCGTGAAGGTAGCAGTTTCTCACATGTAGGAATCAACGAGCTCAATGCAAATTTGGAAGTGGAAATGCCATTGCATGCGTGCGACAGTGTTGTGCATGTTGCGACAGCTTTCTTGTCATTGCACTAGGGATTGGAAACGATGTCAATTCGTCGCTGAAGACTTGCCTTGGTACGGACAAAACAAAAACAGAAAGCCAACTTCCGGAAAAAAAAAAAGATCTTCAAGTTGGACCCAACTCGAATTGGGGGTCACTATTTTGCCTGCTCGCTTTAAAGCAAGCAATGCTGACACATTTGTTCCAATAGGAAGTACAAGACGGCTGGGTAGGTAAATCATTGCTATGAGCCAACTGATAGCTTCTACATCCTTGCGATTGAGTGGTGTGACAAATATGTCATCGTCCCTTGGATAACCGTGCAGCCCTGTCTGCCTTGCGCTCCATTTTCTCCCTCTTCTTTTTATCTCTCGGGTCTTCCTCTCCCTGTATAAAACAGGCCACCGAAAGAAAGCAGAGAAAAATAGCAGAAAAAAGGTCCTCCTTGGAATCACAGTCTCTTCTACATCTCAAAGGGAAAAGGGGCTGACTTTTGAATCTACTCAATAGTCTTCTACATCTCAAACAAAGGGAAAAGGTAAATCACGGGTTTCAATCCAACCAAGTCTCGCAGAGCTGGGTCAGCGAGAGCAGGTAGTTGATTACTCACAGGCTCAACTTTTTGGAAGAAGTAGGGGAAGAGCACGAGCTCCCATAGCTTCCATAACGCAAAGGCTGGGATCTGAGAGGGAAGAGAGGGCGGAGAGGGGGGAGGGGAACAAAGGGACGGACAGAGCAAAGCAGTGAGGCTTTGGGAGAGTGTAATGGTAGAGCATGGGCTCCCATAGCTTCCACAATGCAAAGGCCGGAACCTGAGAGGGAAGTGGAGCGGAGGCGAACAGAAGGAGAGAGTGCAATGTTCATGCTTGCAGCTGTTGGAAACAGGTAAGGAGAGAAAACCAGCTTCCTTAGCTTCCACACTCTGAAGGCCGGATTCTGGGCATGGGAGGAAGGGGAAGAAGAGGGGAGGAGTAATCGAGGTGAATTTATAGCATCAGATTTCCACAGAAAAAAGGTGCTATGCTTCAAAAGGGTCCATGGAACAAAAGGACTAAGGGCGTGTAACTTTTTCCGAAATCGCAAAATGTCCGGACTTAGCTGCCAAACCGTCCGTTTCAGGCCCGTACGGTCGTTTGGCACCAGGGTCCAGACAAAGGCACGCCTGCACACCAATTATGACACTTTTTTGGCTTTCGAATTTTGAGATGTTTGCGACGCGTAACTCCGGTACCAGAAATTCTGTTAACGAGGATCTGCGCTTTGCCTGGTATCCAACCAATTTCGCCTTCATCCTCGGCTCTCTCTTTGAAAATGTATATCCAATGACAGCTAGGCGCGTATTCAGATATTTATTGTGTTTCGTGCTCCAATGACAGCGCAGCATTATCGGACGGTACGAATTCAACTCGGACACGATTCGGACAGAACTCATCGGTCAGAAAAGAGAGGGAAGTGTCGGAAAGGGTCCAGATGCCTGCCACGTCGCAAGGGTGTTAACAAAACCGACTTTCGAAAGCTGGCGAATCTAGTTACCTGTTTTCCGTCCGGATGGGCCGACGTCCAGACTAAAAAGATGGAAAAAGTTACACGCCCTAACGGTGCAAGTTTTGAGACGTCTCATGATTTGCTTTTTCAGGCGTGGGAAAGCAGCTGGTTCAACTTCAAGCATCACGTTTTCCACAGAGCAAGGGCGCTATGATTCAGAAGGAAGGCTGGGAGAGAAGAAACAAAGGTGGACTTGAACAACGTGGTACTGGAATGAAGACACAACGCTCCAAGGCCAGGCAAAGGGCATGACAAGGGATGGCACGACAAAGGGATGGCAAGGTAAGGTATGGCAAGCGTACAATGAGGTAGATGAGCCAGAACCAGTCGGAGAGAATGGAGGCGATCTGGACGAAGGCGGTGATGTATATGATGTCATGCAGGTAGCTGCACAAGTAAGAGGGGAAAGAGAAGAAGGGGGGGGGGGGACGGGAGGGAGAGGGGGAAGTTTAGACGATACAGATACACTGTTGGAAACACATAAAATTCGGGGGAAAATAGGAGGTTTGAGGGAATTGGATGCAACCAATGAATGGATGGATGGATGGATGGATGGATGGATGGATGGATGGATGGATGGATGGATGGATGGATGGATGCACACACCGCTCGCACCAGCACATTCTCATCTCTCTCAACCACTCGTACACCCGTCCACTATTGAGTCTACACACATGCATGACGGATGGTAGCCGGTCCCACCTGCACCACACCCACCTACACAGCCCTTCTCAACCCATCCACCCACCCGAACAGTCCTCCCATGTTGAAGAGGGCGTCTCATCTTTTCTCCGTGTTACACTTGGTTGGATGTAACACTTGGTTGGATGTAACACTTGGTTGGTCTCCGTGACTGGTTGACGAATCACAAAATCTGTGACGAGCTGGGGTAGCTTTCTGTTGAAACGAATCACGGACGCGCGTAACCAACCAAGTGTTAAATGCCTGTAAATATTAGACGCGAGCTGTCAATCAGCTGCCCCGTCTCGTCGTACGTGGCTTCGGCCAGCGAGCCAACCCATGCACCAACCCAACCTACCTGCACGTCCTCACCTGCACCAGTCCTACCTGCACCAGTCCTACCTGCACCAGTCCTACCTGCATCAGATAAGCCTTCTCAACCACCCACCCGCAGAGGCCGCCCATGTTGAGGTCGCTACCACCGTCAATGAGCTGCCCCGTCTCGTCGTACGTGGCCTCCGCGAGCGACGCGATCTGGTCGAAGCACGTCTTGTACGCGAATGTGGTTATAACGAGGCCGATCCAGTGGCGCCACGTGAAGGACGCGAAGAAGAGCGAGAGCCGCACGAGGATGTAAATCGCCTGGGCGAAACGCATGCAATAACCATGGCGAAAGAGGCGAAAGCGAAGACGTTATAGAAAAAGGAAAGACGAAGGAGGAGACGGAGAGCGAGAAACGGTTGAGGGAGTACATCGCGTGGACGGAACGAAAAGGAATTAAACGAAGACGTGGAAAACAGTCGGTAGCGAGGAACGCGGAGTGGGATTTGCATGCGAAAGAGGGGAGGTGCAATGGGGGAAGGATTGAATATACCCTGAATATAAAAAGAAGTATATTTTTAGGACGATTGGGAAAGGAAAGGTTCAAGAACGTGGAAATGGCTCCGACTGCTTACAATGGAAACGATTCAGAGATGATCGCGACTGATTGCTCGGTTGAACGTACATTAACGGTCACGATGAGCTTCTGAAGCCGGTTGAGATGCTTCTCGTTCTCCTCCTTCCGCTTCTTTGCTCCCTTATTCGCCATCTTCCCCGCCGAGCCTCAACCAAAGCGAAACCCTAACGACGCGAATCCTCTTTTTCAGTAACCGCCTTGCCTGGGGATCAGGCTCACTGCTTGTCAAAAGATCGGACGTTGCTGCTTTGTTTGAGCTATCAGTAAGTTACGAGACAGCACAGCGCGGATAGGTTTTCGAGAATAAATGGCGGGAAGATGGAAGTGAAGAAAAGCAGCGCAACACACCAGCATCTGACAGAATTGGGGCACCGTTTGTGCGAAACTACTCGCCGTTGGGTTCGCGAAACTCAAGTTACGGTAACCCAGGATGTTCGGAAAGGGAATACAGTACTTGAATATCGGGCTAGATTATCGAGGCCGCTGACAAAATTCTGACGAAATGATGTCTGACGGTTCGTTTGGTTACACCGATGTCACCTGACATGATTCCACGCTGTTGGCATCACCGCACGCGTCATGCTGGCTCAGCTGCACAGAAGGATGACGGGCTTTCATTCACCCACATGCCACATTTTACAGTACTATCTCAGTCCGAACCGAATGTATGTCCGACGCATGAGAATCTCGTACGTACCCCAAACCCTACTGAACCGCTATATAAAACCCTTGAACGTAGGGAAACGCAGATCGCCTTTCTTGACCGCAATGGAGTTCACCCTTTTCTTCCTGCTTCAACAGCCAAGTCACCATCTTATTTCGTTGTTACCTAGAAACTCTTTCCTAATCACTTTCATTGTTGTCCCGTCTGTCCTGTCATAAACGCTTTCTGCTCGTCGCTGGGGTGCATGTGTCCCGCGCGACGGATCTTAGCACACGCTTTCCTCCCCTGATTTAAAACGTTCACAAGCCGTGCCATTATTCCGTGCCGTCCGGACCTCCTTTCTCAGACAATAACAAGAGTCTTTCTGTTTGCGACGACTTTTGTATTTGTTAGATTTTTTTTTCTTTTTTTTTTTTTTGAAAATATATCCGTGTCTTCTGAGCGCATCTTCCCTCAATTTCCTGCGCTCAGCCCTTCCGTGCCTTGTTTACGCAAATCCTCAAGAGGTTCTCTGACTAAGAGTACTCACTGCCATTACGCACTGCGTAAGATAATCTGCGGCACAGATTCAGAGGTTCCTCCTTTTTTCCGCATGGCCCGCTCTTCCGTCGCCGTTCGCGCGGCTCAGCGGCTAGTTCCATCCGCCGCTGCCGCGCTGTCGGCGACTTTTTTATCACCCGCCGCGCTCGCGGCACCGTTGGTAGGGTCAGTTTCCCCCGTCGCTCTTTCGCCACCCTCGATATTATCTCCTGGTGCGCAGCGGCGCAGTGATTATAGAAAGGATCTCTCGACACTGCGAAGTTCGCCGCTTCACTTTGCCACTTCAGCTCGCTCAACCGCCGGCACGTCCTGTGCCTCCCGGGTTTCAACTAGTGGTGCCACGTGTCCTGCACCTTCGGTTGCCACGTCACCCAGTTCTTTCGCTGTGTCTGGTTTCGCGTTTCCTGCCACGTGGCAGCCGAGGAGGGGTACTCCGTGGAGACATCTTCGGTGGTGGGTCCACGTGGCGGTGCCCAATTGGTGCAGTTGGATCACCTCACAGGGGACGATGAGGGTGCGTGCTGCCTTTTATTTTCAACTTACCATTTAGTTAACGGCGACATAAATAGCTCTAGACCGCCCCAGCAGCCCGCAACGCCTTCAGCAAGCAGCTGATAGCATGTCTGATCTCACCCTATCGTTCCTTCTTCCTTCTCGTAATCCTCCCCGCTCCCCGCCCATCCACCCCTCTGTCAACCTACCTTCCCAACTTCCCCACTCTTGACCCCCTCCAGGCGTCGCTGTTGTGACTCTCAACCGCCCTGCCGCCCGCAAAGCCATCAGCAAGCATCTGCTATGGCATGGATGCCATGGCGGAAAGTTTTCAGGATTTATCCCCTCCCCTTCCCCCTCTCTCTTCCAAAAAAAGAAAAAGAAAAAGAAAAAGCACGTTCTCAGGCTCACACATCCTTGCCATCCTGTTGTCCTCCCCATTTGCACTCCGTCCCACTCTGCCTTTCCTGCAGGCATCGCTGTGGTGACTCTCAACCGCCCTGCCGCCCGCAACGCCATCAGCAAACAGCTGCTGGCAGATCTGATGCTCACCTCCTCATTCCTGCATCCTTCCCACAATTCTCACTTTCCCATCTCCCCCGACCCTCCCCTCCTCCAGGCATCGCTGTGGTGACTCTCAACCGCCCCACAGCGCGCAACGCCATCAGCAAACAGCTGCTGGCAGATCTGATGCTCACCTCCTCATTCCTGCATCCTTCCCACAATTCTCACTTTCCCATCTCCCCCGACCCTCCCCTCCTCCAGGCATCGCTGTTGTGACTCTCAGCCGCCCCGCAGCCCGCAACGCCATCAGCAAACAGCTGCTGGCAGATCTGATGCTCACCTCCTCATTCCTGCATCCTTCCCACAATTCTCACTTTCCCATCTCCCCCGACCCTCCCCTCCTCCAGGGATCGCTGTGGTGACTCTCAACCGCCCCGCAGCCCGCAACGCCATCAGCAAACAGCTGCTGGCAGATCTGATGCTCACCTCCTCATTCCTGCATCCTTCCCACAATTCTCACTTTCCCATCTCCCCCGACCCTCCCCTCCTCCAGGCATCGCTGTGGTGACTCTCAACCGCCCCGCAGCCCGCAACGCCATCAGCAAACAGCTGCTGGCAGATCTCTTGGAGGCCATGGCGGAAGTAAGGGGAGATGGGGGAGTGGAGGGAGCAGGGAAAGCAGAGGGGGCAATGGCAGGGGCGCAGTAGGAGCAGACGGGGAAAGCAGCGGTGCGAGTTGTGATAATAAGGAGCACAGTGGATGGAGTGTTTTGCGCAGGGGCAGACCTTAAGGTATGCTTTGTGAGTGTATGGAGGGTGACTCAAACCTAAGGTAAGCTGTGGGTAATCGTAACATGATGGTACAAGGTGACTATGAATGCACGGGGTGTCTGCGTTTCCATTCGATTAGTAAGGGCGTGATGCTGTCAAAGAGTGCTAGGCCGTGTGAGTGTATACATTGAATTCAAGGTTTGTGAGTAGGATCTAGGAAAAATGTAGCAAGAATCTCTCTACTTCATGTAATGCAGAAAAGGGGGGTGTTCCGAGAATTGAACTCGGGACCTCTCGCACCCTAAGCGAGAATCATGCCACTAGACCAAACACCCATCAGTAAGCTTTGCCAATCATATAACCGATTGAATCACGTTTGTTTAAGTGCATAAATCTAACTTCACCCTGAACCCACCACCAGGAGCGCAAGGGCATGACACAGGAAGAGGCGGAAGCATTTGTCAGCAGTCTGAGAGAAGCGTTCACTGACCTTGAGGTGCGTGTTCATCCTGCATGCAGTGAGTATTCTAGCCGTATGCGGTGAATTTTCATGTTGTATGCGGTACATTTTCATGCTGCATCCAGTGAATTTCCATGCTGTATGCGGTAAATGATTATGCTGTGCGCGAGGAGTTCTCATGCTACATGCGGTGAGAGTTCGTGCAGCAATCATGCAGAGGAAGTTGATGCTGGATGCAATAGAATGTTCATCATTCACGGTGGCATGCTGCATGTATGCAGATGAATTTATGCTGCATGCGGTGAGCTATCCACTTCAAACATGGAAAGTGAATCTTGTGCAGCAGCAGAAGCGTGCACTAATTGGTCATTCCCTGCTGGAATTCTCAGGCTTGTACATTGCAGGTTAGGGCGCGTGCGTTCCGTCAAATTTGACAAAGTTTATGTTTTGGGGGCGAATATTTTTTTTGAACTTAAGTCGAATGGAATTCGACTTTCCTTGTAGCGAAGTTCGAACATTGCGGGAATAACACTGCGAAGATGTTATCACGCACGCAAGGTCGAACACCAAAATTCGAACCTTGATGTTACCCGGTACATGCTCGCCAAGTCAACATACTGCTATTTTTTGTTTCGCAATGCACTCGTTTATTTCGCATGGCCTTCGTGTGTGCCGAAGACACACACGCTCGCTTCAACGTGTGCAAGCACGTTCATCTATTCGACTAGAGTCAAGTTCGCTTTTCACGTTCGAACTTTCATAAGCCCTGAAATTCACGATGTTTGTCAGATGTCATGAGCGAGATTTGCGGAAACAGTAACCACACAAAGTTCGAACTTATTTTCGAACTTGGCAACGGAACGCACGCGCCCTTATGGTTTTATTCACACTGACAATGGGGAAAAGGGGTGTTCCGAGAATTGAACTCGGGACCTCTCGCACCCTAAGCGAGAATCATGCCACTAGACCAAACACCCACGTCTGTGCATGTTTCGTAAGTGAGGATCATTTCAGCTGTCAACTCCAGCAGTTGAGGGGAATAACCCGGGAAGGAGCAGAAGCGATTCTTAGCAATTTCCAAGGAGAGTTCTCTGACGTCGATGAGGGGATTGATCATGCTGCAGGCGGTGACAATGTTTGAGGCTTTTGGAGCTTGCCCTCTTCAACAGCAACCCACTTCTCCCACTGTCAATGCTCTCATTCCTCTTCTCCTCATTCAATCCCCCCAACCTCCCCCCCTCCCCCCCCCTCGCCCCCCCTCGCCCCCTCGTTTTCCTATTCTCTTTCCCAATACTTCTGTATTCTTTTCAACTTAGAACCTACCTGTACCAACAGTGGCAGCAGTTTAGGGAGCAGCACTGGGCGGAGGACTGGAAATGCTTCTGGCTTGTGACATTCGAGTTGCAGGTACGGCAGATGCAGGTACGGCACAGGCAGGTGCGGCAGAGGCACGTACGGCAGAGGCAGGTACGGCAGAGGCAGGTACGGCAGAGGCAGGTATGGCAGAGGCAGGGACGCCAGATGCAGGTACGGCAGGGGCAGGGACAGCCGAGGCGGGGACGGCAGAGTCAGGTACGGCAGAGGCAGGTACGGTAGGGGCAGGTGCGGCAGGGGCAGGCAGGTATGGCAGATGCAGGTACAGCTAGTCAATCACCACTGGTGATGTTAATAACTGATGTAACATCATGTGCACTAAGTTTTGAGTCCACTAAAAAAACGCCACTGCTGATGTTAATAAGTGATGTAACGTCATGGGCACTAATCCAGCCTGCCTAGTACATCATTGGCCAGTTTTTGAGAATTCTCAAAAACCAGTTCTCAGGCGAATGGTTGTCTTTGGCTATATATCCCCTCATCTCCTCCGCACTTCTCCCATCCCCCCTCTCCTCTTCCAGGCTTCAATGCCCAGTTTGCTGTTGAGTCGCCACAAAAGCATTCAGCCTGCCAGAGACATCTCGTGATTAGACTCAAAAGCTCGTCCTCTCATCTCCTCCGCTCTTCTCCCATCCCCTCTCCCCCCCTGCAGGCTTCAATGCCCGCTTCGGCCTGCCAGAGACATCTCTTGCCATCATTCCCGGGTGAGTGCATTTTGTCACTCACGCCTCTGCTCAATGCGTCGGGTTGTTTTTGAGAATTCTCGAAGACAACCTGCACTGCAACATCATTTTGTCACTCTCACCTCTGACTTTTGAGTCGACTCAAAAGTCAACATCATTTTGTCACTCACGCCTCTGCTCAATGAGTCAGGAAGATCAGGAAATGGGTGTCAGACCGACTCCAAGGTCATGTCTGACCCGCCAGAGACACCACGCGCAATCATTCCGGGGTGAGTGTGTGCCGTCAGGAAGGCCACTATCACTCTCCACTTCTTTCAGAGTGACAGGAAGATCAGCAGAGGAGTGTCAAATTGACTCCAAGGTCATGTCTGACCCGCCAGAGACACCACACGCAACCATTCCCGGGTGAGTGTGTGCTGTCAAGAAGGCCACTATCGCTCTCCACGTTTCTCAGAGCGACAGAAATCTCAGCAGACGAGTGTCTTTTGAGTCGACTCAAAAGTCACATGTGAGTGTGTGCCGTCAGGAAGGCCACTATCACTCTCCACTTCTTTCAGAGTAACAAGAAGATCAGCAGAGGAGTGTCAGACCGACTCGAAGGTCATGTCTGACCTGCCAGAGACACCACTCGCAACTGTTCCCGGGTGAGTGTGTGCCGTCAGGAAGGCCACAATCACTTCCCTTTTCTCATGAGTGCCAGAGTCACCTCTCGCAATCATTCCCGGGTGAGTGCGTGAGCCATCAAATCTATCTTTCAGGGTTTTGTGAGGAAATGAGTTCTGGGTCTATTTTTGAGTTGACTCAAAAATAGACTCATCACACGCGGTTTGCTATCGTTCCCGGGTGAGGAAATGAGTTTCGAGCCCCGAATCCCGGAGGGAAACATGACATCACTCTCCTCTCTGCTCAGAGAGACTTTTGAGGCGCCTCTAAAATCACCACACCATTATTCCCGAGTGCGAACATGACATCACGCTTTGTTCCTCTCATCCCTTCCCGTTTCACATCATCTCCTCCAATCTCCATCTTTTCGTCCCTTTCCTCCCACCCTTTCCTCCCATCTCATCCCATTCCTTTCATCCCATTCCTTTCATCCCATTCCTTTCATCCCATTCCCCTCATCCCATTCCTCCCATCCCATTCCCCTCATCCCATTCCTCCCATCCCATTCCCCTCATCCCATTCCTCCCATCCCATTCCCCTCATCCCATTCCTCCCATCCCATTCCCCTCATCCCATTCCTCCCATCCCATTCCCCTCATCCCATTCCTCCCATCCCATTCCCCTCATCCCATTCCTCCCATCCCATTCCCCTCATCCCATTCCTCCATCCCATTCCCCTCATCCCATTCCTCCCATCCCATTCCCCTCATCCGATTCCTCCCATCCCATCTCCTCCCATCTCATACCTCCCAACCACTGCAGGGCGGGAGGCACGCAGCGGTTATCATGCCTCATCGGTGCATTTTGTGCCGAGAAGCTCATTTTCATTTCAACTCATCGTCGCATTTCATCTCATCCCCCATCCCACTCCCCTCACCTCATACCTCTCAACAATCGGTTCAGGGCGGGAGGCACACAGCGGTTACCACGCCTCATCGGAGCATCTCGGGCCAAGGAGCTGATTTTCACGGCTCGGGTTGTGCGAGCCGATGAGGCTCTCTCCCTTGGTGAGAGGGGAGAGAGAGTGTGAGGCGTGTGAGGCTCATATTCACAGCTCGGGTTGTGCGTGAAAGGGAAGTGAGAGAGGAGTGACTGAAGGGCTAGTGTGGTGCAGGCGCTCCGTGCGTGCAAGGTGCGCGCAGAGCATCTTAAGCCTAGGAGGCACCGTCGTCTCTGGGTGAGAGGGAAGAGAGGTGGTGATGAGTTGACTTTTGATTCGACTCAAAAGTCAACTGGCCTCTTAAGCCCAGGAGGCACTCTCTCTGGGTGAGAGGGAAGAGAGGTGGTGATGAGTTGACTTTTGATTCGACTCAAAAGTCAACTGGCCTCTTAAGCCCAGGAGGCACTGTCTCTGGGTGAGAGGGAAGAGAGGTGGTGATGGGCTAGTGTGGTGCATGCGTTTCGTGAGTGCAAGGGATGTGAATAGCATCTCGAGCCAAGGAGCTCATTTCCACGGCTCGGGTTGTGCGGGCCGATGAGGCGCTCTCCCTTAATAAGAAGGGGGAGAGAGAGCGATGGGATATATATATGTATGTATATAAATATGTATACATATATGTATATATGTATACATATATACATATATGGTCACCTCGTTACCGAGGCATAAGAAAAATGAGCCCTGACCAAAGTGTTATTTTAATCTCGTCTGACAGCAAGGAGTTTGCAGACCGTTTTCACCGCTCATGTGACCGTAAGTGTCTATGCATGTGGGTTTATCTGCATGAGTGCATGTGCGTATGTGTGTGTGTGCACCT